TTTCACTGAATTAACAACGCTTATCGTCTCAACGGAAAGTGACGGTGACCTGACCACTATTACGTCGGTAATAACCAGCCCCCAACCAACCAGCGAAGGATTCACTGCATCAACAACGCTCATCGTCTCAACGGAAAGTGATGGTGACCTAACCACTATCACATCGGTCATAACCAGCCCTCTGCCCACGAGCCCAGGATTCACCGAGTCAACAACAATTATAATCTCGACAGAAAGTGATGGTGACCTAACCACTATTACTTCGGTTATAACCAGCCCTTTACCAACGAGCGAAGAATTTACTGAAATAACAACGGTCATCGTCTCAACAGAGAGTGATGGTGATTTGACCAGCATTACATCAGTCATAACGAGTCCCCTGGAGACGATTAGTGCAAGTGTTACCGAGATAACGACGGTCGTCGTCTCAACAGAGAGTGATGGTGACTTGACCAGCATTACATCTGTCATAACGAGTCCCCTGGAGACGATTAGTGCAAGTGTTACCGAGGTAACAACTATCATCGTTTCGACAGAGAGTGATGGCGATATAACGAGCATTACATCAATCATCACCAGCCCTCTGGAAACAATCAGTGCAAGCGTTACCGAGCTAACATCTGTTATTGTTTCGACAGAGAGTGATGGCGATGTAACTAGCATTACGTCGATTATTACCAACCCTCTGGAGACGACTAGTGCAAGCATTACTGAGGCAACAACTGTCATCGTTTCAACAGAGAGTGATGGCGATGTAACGAGCATTACTTCGACCATTACCGGCCCTGAGCCGACCAGCCCTGAGCCGACCAGCCCTGAGCCGACCAGCCCTGAGCCGGCCAGTACGTCGTCGAGCTTCACTACCGGCCTGAGTGTAACTACCAGTGTCAGTGAATCTACTGGAACCGACGGCGAGGTGAGCAGCTCCACCTCTGTCATCAGCAGCACCGTGTCTTCGGTCGTCGAAACCAGCCTCAGTTTGTCAACAAGTATCGGTTTGACTACCGGAACCGATGGCCAATTGAGCACCGCCACTTCCATTATCAGCAGTGTTATAACTTCTCTTTTGCCCACGTCTGATCTCACGAACATTCTGCCTACGCCTACAAATCCGTTAAGCAGTATCCTCTCAGATGTTAGCAGCCTTTTGTCAGAGGTCACTGGCGAAATTTCCACTATTTTGCCTACGCCTACAAATCCGTTGAGCAGTATCCTCTCAGATGTTAGCAGCCTTTTGTCAGAGGTCACTGGCGAAATTTCCACTATTTTGCCTACACCTACAAATCCTCTAAGCAGTATCCTCTCAGATGTCAGCAGTGTCTTGTCAGATGCCACGGGCGAGATTTCGAGCATTATTGAGAGTGTTACTATCAGTCCTAGCATCACAGTAACTGGAACCATTCTGCCCACGAGCAGCTTGACGGAACCACTGACTGGCACAGACGCCCTAAGTAGTATCCTGTCCAGCTTAGGCAGCGAGGTATCCAGTATCTTGGATATTACAAGCACGCTGCTTCCCACCACAACCCCGGATGTCATCGCTACTATCTCAACGAGTGATATTATTAGCCTGACTACCTTACCGACCAGCATCCTAAGCATCAGCACCAGTCTATCAATCGGACTTGACACTACATTAACCAGCATCGCCACTTCCATCATCCCCACAAGCACCATTCTATCAGTCACATTGAGCACCAGTGTCACCCTTGACGTCAGTATCAGTACCGGAGTGGGCACCACTCTCAGTTCCATCATCTCCACGGTCATACCGACGACCACGGCGGTAGTTACAGCTCCAGCTTGTGGCACAAATCCTCCTGCCTACTACATTGATAACAATGCTCTGATACGCGCAGACTTTTCGCTGTCTCTCCTTGGGCTTCTATCTGTAGCCACTTTCACAACGGTCAATCCTGCCGTCGGTAATGGTAATCCCATCAATGCGATGGGCTACAATTTTGCGGATGGCCTCCTCTACGCCGCTATGGGTGCAGCTCCCTCTCGACTCATCCGTATCTCGCCGAGCAACGGTAGCTATACAGACTTGGGATCGCTTAATCTGACTGCCAATGCAGTTGCTGGTGTGATTGACGAGAACGCCCAGTATTGGCTGCTAGACGCGACAAACACACGCTGGACGCAAGTCAATTTGTTCCCCGGCACAACCACAGTCAACAGAATCGTTGGATCTGGTGTCACACCGAATACACCAGCGCACACGGTAGGGGATTGGACATATGTCCCGGGTACCGGTAACAATGCTCTTTACGGCGTCGGATGGTCCACTACGGGTGGCTTGTTGCCCGTGAGGACAAATTATCTGGAGAGATTTGATCGAAGCACCAAAGTTTGGTCAGAACCAGCTTTATTCCCGGACATCACTCCGTTGCTGCTGGGAGCCACCACAAGAAACTGGCAGTCGGTCTACTCGACCGACAATGGTCTGGTTGGACAGGTTGGCGTGACAGGCACCCTGTTCGCCACCGACTCCGTATCCGGGAGCACCTTCTACTTCACTGTCCTGCCAGACGGAATTACTGGCAGCCTGATAGGCACTGATTTGGGCATCGCAACGATTGCGCAAAACATTGTCACTGCCGATGCTGCCAGGTGTGCGGTGGGTCGTGCCGGGCTGATTGCATCCCTTGTCTAATTTGTACTCACGTATATAACCACTCTGTCTCTGCCACGTTTGACGATACCAGAGGAGGGTACAACATTTTCAACGGCTCTTCAAAAGAAATTTTTCTCTTCGCTCTCTCTGTTCCTATCTTTTCGCTCTTTTCTTTCATTTTGGGTGGGCATGTACAGTAAGTCAGGATGTATCCGTGTCATGTTACCCTACTTTTCCTTCCCTCATAATATGTAGTGATTTATGCAATAGGTAATTATTTACAAGAACATTTGTTCAATTTCAGTTCAACCACCTGAATGTGCCTTACTTGCGCAACTGATAAACTTGGGTAACTCCTCGAGCAGGCACTAAATAAATGCTCCATGCCTTGGAAAATACTACTACGAACTTTCAAATTTTCACTTTCCAAGATGTCACTTCCTGAGCACTCACATGCGATGTGTGACTCAAGATTGCACTCATTGGCAGACAACGATTATTTTGTAATTATCGCTGATTGGCGATCCAACCCAGTGTCAAAGTGGCAGCGCGGGCTATTTTATCTCTTCTCAAAAAAGTATTTACAAGAAACTTTGTACTCCTCCCATATCCTGAAAAAGGGACATGTCCTCACGGATCTAGGCACGGAATTTAGCAGAGCGCTTGCATCCCTTGTGAGCAGATGCCGAGCTCGAAACAGCAGGGGCGCTGCTGCTGCTGCTGCTGGCGACAGAGGTCACGATCGGGGCAGGGGCCGACGAGGTGATGCCGACCGAGGGGGCGCTGCTGGATGACGTGGAGACGGCCTCGGCGCCGACTTTGCTGCCAGTGGTCTTGGAGGTCTTGGCCGCCTTGGTTGTCGAAGAAGAGGACTTGGCAGAGGAGGACGAGGATGAGGCAGCGGAAGACGTCTTGACGGCGGCGGAGCTGCTGGCCGTGGTGGAGGCGGCCACGGCCTCGGCTGCCGAGGCGGAACCGCCGGCGGCGCCGTTGAGAATGGCGCTGATGGGCTGGAGGCCGGGGTAAAAGGACGCGGGCATGGTGGGGATGGCAATCGAGGCGGTGAGGCCCAGTCCGGCGGTCAGCTCGCCGGCCATGGTCGAGTACGAGTAGCCGGCGACCGTGGTGACGGTCTGGGTGGTGGTGTAGGCCGTGTGGGAGCTGCCGTCGTTGAGGCAGACGCCCGAGCCGTAGGCGTTTTGGCAGCCGTAGAGCACGCTGCTGCCCGACTCGGTCCACACGGCAAAGTCCTCGACGGTGATGTCGGTGCAGGGCACCTTGGACGGGCAGTTGAGCTTGACGGGGCCGCGCTGCACGCCGTTGGAGGCGGTGCCCTTCCAGTTGCTGAAGCTAATGTTGGAGTAGGTGATGCCGTCGCCGTCGACGGCCGACATGCTGCTCCAGGCCGTGTCAAAGTCGAGGGTGTAGGCGTTGCTGTGGCCCATGAAGTTGTTGAAAGCCACGTTGTAAACGTCTCCATCTCCGCCGTTGGACTTGATCATGTACATCTGGTTGGCGTGGTGGGTGTAGATGTTGCGGTATTCAATATCGTGGACAGCTGTTGTTATATTAGTGCCATGCTATTTGAATTTGAGTGAGACTTTTTACTTACCAACGCCGGAACCGAGGGATCCCATGGCACAACCACCGGACCAGTTGCAGTGGACCTGCTCAACCAGAATGTGATCGGCAGGGCTCTTGACTGTGACGCACTCGTCCTTGTTGGTCACCTCAATATCGTGAATCCAAATGTTGGTGCTCCAGACATCGATTCCGTCCAGACCACCCTCGTTAGCACCACGAATAATCATGTTGTACAATTCACCATTGGTGCAAGTGTCGAGAGACAAGTGAAAAGCAGGAGCTTGAGCGAGTGTCAGTGGTGCGTATTGCAATTTCCAAAAGGGACAACTTACAGTCAACGAGGATGAGATCGTGGACAGAAAAGTCAGTGCACTTGTAGAAACGCAAAAGACGTGGGCCATAGGTGTCCTGGGAGTGAAACTCGTATCCGTAACCCTGCATGGCTCCCTTGGAAGTCGCCGAGTAGACCTCGACGTCGCTGCTGTCCCGAATCATGATCATGTTGCCGCCGTCGGTTCCCGTGCGATAGATTGTGCCCTCAATGTTGATCGAGACTCCCGTTCCGCTCTTGAGCGTGACCCAGGTAGCCATGCCATAGTCTCCCTCGGGGATGTAGACCTGACCACCACTCTTGCAGGCGTCCCAGGCGGACTGGATAGCAGCGCCATTGTCGGTGGTTGCGCTGGCGACACCGCCATAGTCCAAGATGTTGCAAACCTTGGTGGCTGCCTTTGCAGAGGTGGATGTGGTAGGTCCGACTGTTCCTGACAGTTGTGCTGTAGCGGGAAGAACAAAAGAGGCTGTCGCCAGGAGACCAGCCAGGAGAGCAGCCATTGTAAAGAAGTGAGAGAAGGAATAAAGAAATACCTGGGTAAGTAATAAAAATCAAAGAGAGCGACTGATTGGTATGCCAACGAGTGGCGTGTAAGAAAAGAAGGACTGTACGGTTGGAAATGAGAGAAGGCAGAAGACTGAGGCAAGGGGAGATGGCTTCCCAACCGTATTTCTACTATGAGATATATGGCTCAACGCCATGAGATGCCACAGCTTGGTTGGACGTACATGACGAGTTGTGGCACATTGCCGGATGACCCCCTTGTACAGATCATCAATGAGTGGGTTGGTGGATCGAAATAGTCAAGGACCGGGGGTGCATAGGCTGGTAGGATGCGGACATTATTTTACGGTAGCCCAAAGATTTGTCGTTTTAGTTTCAACGTTTTGCAGAGAGGAGAGAGCACTCAGATCACAGGCCCTTCTTTCAGGCGTGCAGATAGGAGAGAAACCATCTCGGTGTTGGCTCTTGAGCTTGTTGCAGTCGTGATCCTCTAGACCAACCATCAACTGTTTGCAAAAGACATCCATGATCCAAGTGTATCTTTGCCATACAGGATCTTTCGTCATTGACGGATATGTTATGCCGGTAGTGCTGCCCACTCTGCTTCTTTTTGAGGGCCCAAATAGAAGCTTATTGGTAGCAGAGAATGTGAAATGATCAATCCGATGCGTCGGGACTTCGTGTCGTCGGTGGAAACCGCAGAGATGTTGTTTCAATGCTTGTGCTTGGCATCGTTTACTTGAGCCGCTTACTAGAAGAATGCGCCGCCGCGACCGATTCGGATAGGGGCCGGTCTCGCTAAGTCATTACAGCGGAGCCTGCGGCTCAATCAACATGAGGGTTGCCAATCTATCTACCTAGAGGGCCAGAGCTGGCGTACACAGTAGTAGAGACTTGAAAGGATCCCGAGATCACTTTCGCAACGTTTGGTGGCTTGCATATCATCTAGACGCGTAAGATTAGCAGGAGTGAAGGGCCCTGCATCCCCCGCATTCCACGCGATGGTCGGCTAGGTACTGAGTTGCTGTGGGTTCAGGTCCAGCGGTTGGGTGTGGTGGCTAGGACCCCCTGTAAAGTGCCTAGAGTCTGGATAAAGATATTGCTTCGATGCGATAGCCAACCATGATGAATCGAACGATGCCAATGGGCCCATTTCATCACAAGGCTTCAATAACATCCTAGTCGAAATTCACCATAAAAGATCCGGACCTAGTTGCATTTCTTCTTACATCAATTTCTTCTCAAACAAACATTCTCGTGCTTGAAGAAGTTGTTGAGGCTCAAGTTGTGCTTGGAATCAAAAGTCGGCGCAACCCGCTGAAAAGCAACTAGGAAAAAAAAAAGATACCTATCCACCATGGCGTCTCCCTGGTCTGTGCCACCCCTGGCCCAAAGCTGGCGCCGGGCATCTCACTTCAGATGAGGCCGCGTTTCAGTCAAACAAAGTGGTCAGCAAGGGGGAGGGAAAGACGTGGCATTGCCAAATCCGTGGTCAATGTCAAGTTGATTGACTGACCTCTCACCATCACGCGCGCGGCATTCGATCGTACCACCATCGCTGGCTGCATTCGTTCACGGACGGGACGAAAAGAGTTGCCTCGTGGTGTAGCTCGGCAATTGGTGCGCGCGGACCGTCTCTTCCGTCTGATTGCCCCCGTCCTTGGCGGTCCTCTGGAAACCCGGTTACCACTGTTCCACACCCGCGCCCTGCTCACCGACCCGTGTGGAGGCTCCATTTAACCGGTACCGGATCTCACTACTATACATTGAGAAGATGGCTTGGCCCTATGAGTTTCTGGAGCTCACCAAGGCCGAGAAGCAGGAGCGCCGCCTCTCGCTTGACCGTCATGCCGGATACTCCCAGCTGTCTGCACTGGTCCCGGTGGTCATCTTCCTGCTTGTTCGGTTCGCGTCGTGGGTCTCGCTCAAGATATCGGCAAGAAATCAAAAGTACGACCAAGTCCCTGGCTCCCCGGTATCCAAGTATAAAAGAAGCAACGAGTCGTCGACGTCTCCGGCTGCGACTCTGAGGAAGACCACCTGGTGGCTCGGCGACGATGTCGTCTTTGCCGGCCAGAATTGGGGTCGGCGGGACACTCTCATCTTTGGCTCGGTATACACTGTCTGGCTCTTATTTCTCTGTGTTCAAGGCACAGGCAGAGGTGAGAATATCTTTCTAGAACACTGGGCTTATTATGCGGATGTAAGCCGACAAATATTGTTATTCAATATGGTCGATAGTCTATTCCATTGGGCTGCTACATTACATCCTGCATCGCGTGCTGTTGGCTGACTCTGATTAGACTATTTCCATCTCACCAAGCGTTTTGGTGCCGTTGCAGCAGCTCAGTTCCCTATTCAGTACCTGCTTTCACTCAAATACGTCAATCCAGTGGCTTACGCTCTCCGCTCTTCTCATGAAGAAGTCAACCGATGGCATCGAGTCATAGGTCGCATCATCTACCTACTGCTATGTCTTCACGGAGCATTCTATACCAACTATTATATCCAGACTGGTGTGTTGATGCAACGTTTGACATCTTCCAAAGTTGTCATCCTCGGCGTATTGGCCCTTTTTGGTATGACGGCATTGACGACAACGGCATTTGGTTTGATACGAACCTATTCGTACAGAATGTTTTTCATCACTCACCTGCTCGTTGCGTTGGCACTGCCGCCAATGATATACTTTCACGTGCATCATGCCAGGGCTTATATGATTCAATCATTGGTGGTATTCCTAGTCGACCTGGCAGCCAGGAAATTCACCACGACTACAGCTGCCGCGACTCTTGAGCTCATCCCCGGAACCAATCTGGTCAAGATCGTTTCCAAAGTGCCCGAGAAATTCATCTCTCGCTTTGTCGATTTTCCTGCTTCGCATGTGTACCTTAGTATCCCGGCCGCTTCTCGCTCAGGCTCTTTGAAGATGCTTTACGAGTTCATGTTCAATCCGTTCACGGTGGCGTCGGTAAACGAAAACAGCCAAGAACTGACGCTGGTAGCCCGTCAATTAAAAGGGCCGATGAGTCGAGCATTCATCAACCTTGCCAATCTTAGTTCTTCGGGAAGTAAAGTACCGTTGAGCATCGAAGGGCCTTATGGTAGTAGCCGGTATTGCTTGGGCAATTTCCAGGCTGATCGAGTCCTTCTGGTTGCCGGAGGTGTGGGCGCCACCTACATCCTGCCGTTGTTCCAATATTTCGGTAGGAAAACACCCTTCTCCTCTAGTCTAACAGACGCTTTTGGAATGCAAGAATGCTAACAAGTAGCAATAGTGAGTTCTACCCTCATGATCTAGCGCATTGCCTCCACACTTGGCGAGTCTGTTCTCTGATATTCCAGTTGTTGCGGAAATGCTAGTTTCAAACTTTTGCAAGTCCGGTACTAACATCGAGTCCAGACAACCGAAACCACGGCACGTGTTGATGTAATCTGGGCGCTCCGCACCCCTGGTGAGGCTACTTGGGCGACTCTCAACACCGAGAAGAGCATTTTGGAAGACGAGCGAGTCCAGCTTTTCCTAACTGGCGAGATGTTTGAGTCTAGCTCGAATGGAGGGTCCGGCGATGTCGAAATGGAACAGCTTCCCCGCCGCGAGCGAAACAGGAGACCTTCTCAGCGCAGTTCCAGGCGGCCCGACTTTCAGCGGATAGTCGATGAATTCTTCAGAAAGGGCCAAGAGGACCGTGTGGCTGTATTCGTTTGCGGGTCCGAGGGCATGGCTAGAGAGCTGAGAGGCCATGTTGGGACATGGGTCAAGAAGGGAAGAGAAGTCTGGTGGCACAATGAGAATTTCAGCTGGTGATCGGTTCTGGAAGACTTTTCAGCTAACCTGGCCAAACTCACGACTCTGCCATGGGATCGATGCGGAGCGTCCCCGGAATCCCGAATACACGACAGTCTCCGTAAACTCGGGGTTTCATTATCATTGGTAGAAGGTTCAATCGGTAAAGGCATGGCTCAGAATGTATGGTGCTCATTGCCGCCGACGACAATCACGCACAGGCGGAACCAGTGAATCTCATGACGAGAGTAGGGTTTCTCCAAAGACTCCATTTAGGCTCGTGTTCGCGTTTTGCTTTTTATAGAATTTGGATAGCTGAGCGAAAGATCTAGTTTCAGATATTTCCGTTATCAAACTCGACACCAATAGCCTTGTCATTGATACTCGTTGACCTCTCTTGTCGTACATTGGGCTTGAGAGGTTGCAATCCCGCCGTCTTTTTTCTACTTCCCTGACCTCTCCACGGCAATCTGGTCAAGTATTGCATCAATATCAGCTGAATGTGTGTTGCCTTCTTTCTCGATCAGACTCCGAACCCAGGAGCCCCGAGGGCGGAAAATGGCATTGAACGGTCTAGGCTTGATCGAAAGACCCGGTGTGACGGCCAGCGGATCAATTACGATTTGTTCTCCCGTTTCGCCGTCGACCGCCGATTCGACATCAAAAGCCCACAAGACTCTCGCGACCGTCATGAATAGACTAGTGAGTCGGAATGTGTTAGCTTCTCAATTCTTTCATGTTTATATAGAAATTTCCACCAAGTGCTCGAGCTACCGTTACCAGCCCGGCAGGTATTTCCCGAGACAAAATTACGGGACCGGGAAATCTTATACATAGACTCTTCGAGAAAAACATGAAAAAGTTAAGGATGCCACAGATTTTGTCTACTTACATTTGTCGCGCCACATGCTGGCCAACACAAACCCGGCGGCCGTAACCAAACACGGTGCTGTAGAGCTCCTTGACACCATTATTGGTCTTGACGTCCACTTCCTCATCAGCATCGGGCAGCCACCGCTCAGGGACAAAGCTCTCGACATTGGGCCCGTACACGGACTCGTCCCGCGCGATACCCCAGTGGTTGGCAATGACAAAGGCGCCGGCGGGGATGCGGTGACCGCAGAAGTCATCGTCGGCGGCACCCGTGTACCGATGGGGAATACCTCCGGCAATGGTGGGCCGCCAGCGCATGAGCTCGTGCACCACTGCCATGATGTACGCGAGGCGCGGCTGGTCGTCAAACTGCGGCATGCGGTCCCGGCCCACGACGTCATCGAGGACGCGCTGCGCGCGGGCGACCCAGCCGGTCATACTTTTGCCGTCCCCGCCGCGGCCGCCCCCTCGGCGAGCCAGGCCACGACGAGCCAGTTGAGCGTCATGCTCGACGTGTCGAGGGCCGCGTCGGCTAGCGTGCCCACGTTGAACGCCAGCTCCTCGGGGGCCATGTCGACGGCTTCGGCGCTCTGGGACAAATGTGTGGCAATGTTCCACGCGGGGCTCTCGCGACCCCGGCGCAGGTTTTCGAGGTGCAGGTTCACCTCGAGCTGCCAGAGCGCCTCGGCCTCGGCCTTCCAGGGTGCCAGGGGCCCCGGCAGATGGTTTAGTGACGGGAAGGCATCGACGAGGTACCGCCCAGGCTGCATGATTTTGACGGCCTGGGCTTGTACGTACTTTGCCGTCGTGATGGATTCCTCGTGGCCCGTTTTGAGCCGATAGCCATATACCAGAGCCTTGGTTGGTACCCCCAAAATGTCAGCCTCGAGGGTTCTCTTTGGTTCTGTAATCTTATTGGCGTGGATTCGGGACTCACATAGACTGTACTGCACATTGCCCGCTCAAACCAGTGGCCCCAATCGATGCCTTTGCTGCCGTCCTTGTCGCTATTGGTCAGAATATCATGAATCAGCTGCCTCGACTCGAGCTCCATCAGTGGCCGGTAGTTGATGGCCGCGCCAGGTGTGACGACGGGCGAGTGCAGGCGCTGGTGTAGGCGGTACCGCGCATCGTAGTGACGGAGCAGTATATGCAGGCCCTTGGTCACGAGGTCGCCGGCGACAACGAGATGAGGCCGGTCCGAGTAGTGCGCTCCTCGCCGGGAGAGCAGATCCTGAGCAGCTTTCAAACTATTGATAATGATCAAGGGCTGGCCGGCCATGTTGAGATACATGACGGGACCGTATTTCTTGCTCCATTCGTAATAATGAACCCATGGCGTCTCCTTGGGCGTCTGCAGGACATTTCCGATGAGAGGGACCCCGGGAGGCCCTGGTGGCAAGGGCAAGCTGCTGCGACTTGGTCGGCGTGAACGGATCACGAGCAAGAGGACGAACACGGCCAGGCCGGCATAGATGTATTGACTAGTCATTGCTGTTCTCGAACTCTATTACTTGTCTCGAAAGTAGAAACCCCACATGTCGAGTAACCGGCAGTTACAGAAGGCTTTAAATAGTAGACGGGCGCCCAGTCAATGATTCTACGCCATTAGTATGCAACGTATGTTATTCGAGCCTCTCTCTATCAATCTTCCCCACCAACTTGCCTACAAACGGACGTCGCTTCCGTTGCGGGGTCATGAGAATCCAATCAACGGTTCTGCAGAGGGCTAGATACAGGGCATTGGTCCACTGGCATACTCAAGTGCTTACGGGGTTGTTTCACAGGGCTGAATTGATCCGAGGTTGTGTGCTCCAACTTGGCTATCAAAGAGAGAAAAGGCCATGAAGAACCGTCGATCCAACTAGAAGGTGTATCTGAAGCCTTGCACGTTCTCCAGCGTCTGCTTACCAACCCGTGCGGCCCGGTTCTGGGCCAAGAAGAAAACAGATAGTCCAGCCACGAGTACGATCATGAGGATATGCGAGCCGATGGAAACCCACACGGCCGTGATGTAGCGCGGTGCTTCATTATTCCTAACAATGAAGCTACCGGCAATGCCTCCGGCTCCGTTCATTGCCGTTACTGCGGCTGCAGTGAAGACGCGCTTCCATTGCCCAACAACATTGTTCGCCTGGTATGCATTCAATGCGGCCCAGTTGGATATGTAGGCACCCGTAGCCAGGAAACAGCCAACATATCGTACAGTAACCTAGACCCAATGTCAGTTTTACTCAATGCTATTTCTCGGGTTGACCACACTCACCTGGCTTGCAAATCCCAGCATGACGAAGCCAGCAATCAAGCAAAGACAATTGAACACAATGACAGGCCCACGCAAGCGGAACTTGTCTCCCACGATGGAGGACAATATGACTGGAATCACGGCATAATAGTATGGCGGCGCAGAGAGCAAGATTGCCTGATTTTCGTCAAAGCCCATGCCACTCTGCAGAATGATGGGCAGAAAATAAGACAATGATGTGGAGACGAGGTTGAGGAGGAAGAACAAGACAGCAAAGGCGTATACTTTGGGGTCTCTCGCGTGCACCAACACCTTGGCCCAAGCAAATTGCTCAATTTCCACATCCTTGCGGTCTCTGTTGATGCGTTGCACTGCCAGGCGCTGCTCTTCCTCTGTCAAGAACCAGATGGACTTGTGAGCTTGCTCGGGAAAGTCGACCATCCAAAAGTACGTGATTACGCCAATCACCATACTGATGAGGCCCTGCACAAGGAACATGTACCTCCAGCCGGCCAATCCTCCACGTCCGTCTAGCGTGTTGAGGCCGTAGTTGACAATGCTGCCAGTTGCGAGGATAATGACTTCGCCAGATTGCAGAAATGCGAATCGCGTCTGCTGCTCTTTCCGGGGATACCACGTCGAGATCAAATACGTCAATCCGGGATAGATCCCGCTCATGGCGAAACCCAACAGCACACGCAGCGCAATCATCTGCTTCCACGTCGTCACAAAGGCCGAGCACATGGTGATGAGGCCAAACAGAAACGTGATGCCGGCGAGCCAGAGCCTCGGTCCAAAGGTGCGGATGGCAATGGTGGACGGCAGCTGCAGGGCAATCGAGGCAATGGTAAAGACAAAGATGCTGACGCTGTACCGGTTGCCGTACAGCTCCAGGTCGTCAATCATGGACGTGACCGAGGCCGAGCCCAGGACGCCCGAGTCGAGCAGGTTGAGCGAGCAGAGGATCCCCGCAATGGTGCACAGGCGCAGGTCGACCTTGAGGCGCAGACGCCGCTCCAGGGCCTTTTCGGCGCCCGTGAGCTCGACATTGTCATTGTCGTCGTCTTCCACGACGATCGGAGACGTGTCGCCGCCATCGTGCGCGCTGAGGGCCTTGTCCGTTGCTGGGGGCTCCATCTTTTCTTTTTCTTTTTTTCTTTTTAGAACCTAGATTTGGACGACAGGGTTCACGCAAAAAACCACTTGCAGCTGAAAATGTGTCGTCCTTTCCGCGCGCGGGCTAAGTCCAAGGGATAGGCGAGGAGAAAGCAGCAGCAGAAGAAGAAGATAGAAAAAGAAAGAACTCGTGCATGATCACAGGTGTCAGCCAGGCCGACAGGTTCTGTCGGTTGTGTTGCATCTCTGCCGAAGGAGTCATTATTAATTGCGTGCAGCAGCAGCGGCAGCAGCAGTGAGCACATAGCGACAAAAGCGGAGTTACTAGCCGAGTTCGGGTGCACGACCCGTGGCTCCATGTCATTATCGGTCAATCAACGACAATGGGGGGGATCTTCTAGGAGGCAAAAAGCGTGTCTCTTACCCATCCGGCCAGTCTCTGATTGGCCGCGAGTATCTGCAGCAAGATAAGCATCAAAACTTAGCACAAAATAGTCGTCTTGGCGACTTCGGGAGTCCGTCATTTGCTGACATATAGCTTATACTATTTAGTCTCCATAAATTATAAGCAGAAATTATGGTTTTGCTTGTCTTGATAACTTTATTTAAATGATTTGAAGTGTAATATCATGAGCTTTGGTACCAATCCACCATGCAAGCAGTTGAAATACATCCTTCTCGAATTGCTGCTTCATTTCCCCTCCACTAATTACATACAAAGAAGAGAGGAGTGCCTGCCGATAAGTTGCTCTGCTTGTGCTTGGTACTGCAACGTAGAACGACATGCTCATCTCGTCTCACACCAAATTTTTACCGCCTGAAGAGCCTATCACAAAGACGGTAATAGAGTTGCTAATACTTCGATATGCCATAAATACACGAGTACTGTACCGATACAGAAGACCCATGCCAGGTAACACAACAGCAACCACATACTGCTTTCGGCCGTAGGAAAGCTGAACCAACATCGCCGGGGTGCGCATAGCGAGCAGCATCAATGGCTCGCATCAATCCACGCACAATCGAGTTTCATAAATGGAGCTGTTTTATGGCGGCTTTGGTAGTGCAAAATGGCTGTTATTGGAGCGCGACTTGGACTTTTAATTTATCTCTATTCGTGTCTTATTGGGTGGGTATTACTTAGATTAGATAAACCGAGAACCGGGGATTCCAAAAGCTGCTAGGATCTCTGGATGCACGCCGAAGTATGGGTTCTTCTCGACCGTACTTCCTGCCACTTGCTTGTTAGCTCTTGTCGATCTGCCTGGACTAGATAAGACGAGCTGAGAACTTGGTTGCTTCCTTGCGCAAGTGGCACCACTCGTTCTTCGTCCCTTTGGTGCAATATTCAGAAATGGCTCCTGCGCTTCTTTCTCGATACTTGAGGCGCCTCGTCTCTCGCGATCGCTCATCTTTAGTTGATTTCGCTTTAAGTGTGAAGGTTCGTCTCCGTTCGTTTGTTGTTCGCCTGTGGCACTCGCCATTTCTCTAGGAGATGCCGGTACTTTAATTGGATCTTCTAGTGATCTCGGGAATGTGTTTCGTATCAGGCCAGGGCTGGCTCTAGGGCGTCTTGTGCTTGGAGAGCGACCGTAAAATGTAGACTAAAGGATTTATGAGCTATTGATTCAGAGAATAATATTATGAGAGGATACTCAACGTTTATCTTATCGACACCTTCGACCTCCAATTCTCGATCGTCAGGCCCAAGGGATTCCACAATCGTAACTGAAGATGCTTCTGATGTTGCTCTCTGTCGTAAAGGTGACAACAATGGCGTTCCCAACGTCAAGTATTGATAATCTGACGGGGTGGGCGAGGCTTCGATATCATTGCGCTCAGTTTGAGAATTGGCGCAACGATCGCCATCAGCATCATCGTTGCCGCAGTCCTCCACGATGTCATCGCCACAGTCTTCCATGACACGGTCATCGCCACAGTCTTCCATGACACGGTCATCGTCACAGTCTTCCATAACATGGTCATCGTCACAGTCATCCATGACACGGTCATCGCAACCCGTCATAGCATTCTCATCCATGCCATCATCAGACCAGCCTGCTTCGCTGCCTCCATCGACTGACTCTGCAAGCCCTTCTGATGGACAAAGGTCATAGCTACGATTGACCACTTCGTCAGGGATTCGCTCAGCAGTTTTTTGGTGGTGTACCTCGAAAACAATTCCGGTCATTCTGCTCAAAAGTCGTAGATATAAGCCACAGCTTTTGCATGGCGGCTTGGTCATGTCGATAATCGCACGCCTGGCATTTCCAAGATTGGCATGCGAGAGATCGGTCAAGTGCCGAGACAGAAATGTTCTCGATGCAACTGGTTTTAACCCATGAGCAACCAAGAGCTCAACGCAATACCATGTTGCAACTTGAATCTCTGCATGGCTCGCAAAGAATCTCCCTATTTTTTTCTCTTTCACTGTGCCTGACTCCCCTCCCATGTCTAGTCTGTGGCGTTTGAAATGAAAGCCGATAGTGCGGGCAACTGCCAGTGCGAGTTGGGTCCACCGGTAACCATCTAGTAGGTCTGGGTACTTCGCAGGTTTCGGCTTTGCCCAGCCGGAAACAGCATAGGCTCTTGGATATATATCGCCTGGTGCCTTAATGGCCGCGAAGTTTTTGGACGTCGTGCTCTTTTGACCCTTTCGGAGGCTTTGTTTATGATGCACACGACTCCGTGGGATTCGAACGTTGGTCACCCTGCGAAACATCTCGATGCTATTTTGATTTCTTATAAAAATTGTTGTTTCGGTGGAGTGGTCGCTGTTCCGGTGATGTTGTGGCTTCTCTTGGCCAGGGTTTTGTAAGGCTTCGGCAATCAAGAATCGCCGCAGCTTTGCCCCCTCTGTATCTGTCTCAATGAATTGATCCGAGAAACTTTTTCGTCGAAGATCATTGAAAATGTCATCAGCTGTATAACACAAGGCATTCCTGCCACAATCATTTGTAGCGCCTAGTGACGCTTGATGTTGTCGAAGGATGGCCACGATCTCGACATGACCCATGAGGGCTGCTAGCATGAGTGGTGTTTCTCCAGTCTTTGTGAGAGCTTCTACCGCCCTGGGGTCTGGCAACAATTTCAAGAGCCCATCACGGTCTCCTTTCAGACAGAGGAGATGTATATCTTTGAGGCCTCTCGCCTCCTCGGGTCTTGGCCTGAAGACGAACATGATAGGTTTTTTGATGAAGCTGAAGGTGGTTTTTTGCTTGGTTCAAGGATGGATGAGAAGATGAAAGATGCCTGATGATGAAAATATTTGGCCATGCGGAGCTGTTTCCAATTTTCGGAAAAGTAATCTGAAAGATCAGAGACCTCAGCTTGACACAATCTTGAGGGCAAGTGCGTGGACTTGCCCTCGGTCATGTCAGCTGATTCGACCACCGTTTGTGAATGAAGTTGTAAAACATGATTGGGGTCAGATGGTGGATGGAACTATTTGTGTTTCAAGAAGTGTTGCTTGAAAATGTTTTGGAAAAGAATTAGAGAAATATACCTGAGTTGCGGTAGGTTCATAGACGTAAGGTTTGTGCTTTGATAATAAAGTAGAGTCAGCGAGGTGACTTGCTTCAAGTCACAGTGTTTGAATCGCTGGCAAATGGTTTTAAAAAGTAAGAATCTCTTAGGAAGAGCTTCAAGTCTGTAGGTGAAGTTGCAAGGAAACAGATGGCGTTTTGGGTACGGTCGGGAAACGGTCGGTGTGATGGTGGCTTGTGGGCTGTTGCCGATAAAGGCGATTAAGCTGTTGCAGTAGGCAAGTGCCCTTCGTCAGAATGATAAGGAGTAGGAGAAGGGATGGATATGACCCAGACTCTCTGAAGTGGCAAGAAGAGTCTCCAGAAATATGATTCCCTGCCATATCAAGATACATGTTGGGGACCACTTGCTGGCTGCCTGCTGAACTGAGCTTGCCTAGCTCTGGTAAAAGTTGTTTAGAAATGAGATAATATCAGCACAGAATATTTCCCTAGATGGAACGGATTCACATTCACCGCAGCTTTGAGTCTTTTGCTAGTCACGCATTCACCGTCTGCCGCTCTTCCCAGCCCTTCCCAGCCACCCTGTTGTACCGGTACTCAACCATCCAAAGCGAAAAAATATCTGCCATTCAGGCTTTACATTAGAATGCTTTCCGGAATGACCATAAATTTTTGATGATTGAGGGCTGGTCACGGAAGTCTAGAGAATGAAGCTAGTTGGCAGAGCAAGTGATTGGGGACACTCTACTGCTGGTGGGCCGTCTGCTAGAAGGGAGCTTGATATAACCATTCATGGGCTTGAGCATAATGCAAGAATTATTACTTGACTCGTATCAAGTCTTGAAATTTTCAATTTCCCGTCAGCTCAAGCTGACGAAGAATATTTCAAATATTTCCAAATACAATGCACAGCCAGTTGTATCCAATTGCTCCAGTCCTCATTCGCCTTGCGAGACAATACACAGGGTGGAATTAGGTAAATATTGTCGAAAAGTGCATCCCGATACGAACTGCACATTATTCACAAGAAGATACAGTAACGATAGACCTGTGGTGTTAAAGGCGTAAGTACTTGCTGCTCAGCTCAGAATGTTTATGTATGGCTGTGGCGCGCAAGAGCAAACTCCAAATTTAGTTCTTGGCACCGGGAACAGCGACTATACCGTTAGCATTTCTCCTCATCTCCAATCTGGTAGGGGTCAATTGAGTGAGTATTACTTTTTGCGATGCGGGCATCGAGCCTCGGTCGCTTCGCCTTACCCCTCACGACGAGGTGACGGAGGACAAGTTTGGATTCGAGCGCACCTTCGGTCCTGCTGCAATTACAGAAACATTTTGCATTCAATTCTTTCCTTCCTAATCATACATGTCTTTTTCTGTTTGGAAATTACAGTGTTCGGCAACTTTGTGAATCTGATTCTCATTGCACAATTTCTCAACCAAATCATGCCTCGTATCTATACTAACCCAAAGCTGCCAAACCCGGAGATTCCGCCCTTGGATCTTCTAAGTTTGCTTTTCGGTATTTGACTTTTCATGTAGTGGATATCAGTGAGATGCCTTTGCTTACCAGATCGCAGATTCGGACCTAGCGGTTTCGCAGGCTGATACGGTGCTTCATGCTGAAGCTGCAAACCCCCGTAAGTCCTTCCAATCCCTTTGCACAGCTGCTCATTTGAGACCACTATGACAAACCAGCGTCTAATTCATATTTGTTCATAGAAAACAAGGTTACCAAGACACAGCTGAAAGACCTCATTGAACGCATAGCCCATGGCTTGCGCAACAACTACAACATTGGTGGCCGAGGGTCTGGAAAGGACGTCGTTACTTTGATCAGTTATGGCCAAATCTTGCTTCCTGCGGCCGGCTTTGGGGTGATTGCAGCAGGCGGCGTATGCAGTTTTGCCAGTCCCTCGAGCACAGGGGCCGAATTTCGTCGGCAGCTCGAGCTGGGCAAGTCCAATTGGGTCATCTGCGGTAGTGAGCATGTCGATGTGGTAACCAAGGCTGCCGCGGAGATCAATCTTCCCAGGCGCAACATCTTGGTACTCGACTCTTCACCTTGGCGCCTCAAGAGTCTCGATGGGCAGGTGGACGCCATCTCGAGCGAGTGCCTACCCTGGAAACGAATCACGGATCCCCAAGAGCTTAAAGAGAGTTTGATCCTGTGAGTCGTAATGATCTCTACCTTCCATCTCTTCTTGATCAGACTGTCATGACGCTAACTTGGCTTTCACCAGGATTCTTTGGTCAAGTGGAACGACTGGACTTCCCAAGGGCGTCATGCTGTCACACCAGAATTTTGTTGCCGAGACCTTCATAACATCCGTCTTAAGCCGTAAATTTGTGGAGAAGCAGATTGAAGAAGGCACCTTCACTCCCGTTGAATACAAAACTCTCGCCCACTTACCAACTTCACATATTGCGGGCCTTTTTGGATGTAAGTTGATGACCTAATTTGCACTTCTCCAAGACAATCTCCCATAGACCAGAGAGAGCCCTATGAAAATAAAAGAAGTGCCTAACATACCTGGCCCATCAGACTTCATTGGACCTACTTATGCCGGAGGTACCGTCTACTGGATGCGCAAGTACAATTGGCAAGATCTGCTCAAGTATGCCAAACACTACAAAATCACCGTCTTCTACACTGTTCCTTCCATCTATCTACGCATCAGTAAATCTCCAGAGGTGACCGACCACTTTTCCAACCTCGCTGGAGCTGCCACCGGTGCAGCGCCCATGGACGGACAATTGCAGAAAACTGCCAACCAAAAGCTAGGCGAGGGCAAAGAGCAGATGCTTGGCCAGACATGGGGTCTGAGCGAGACGACGGGCGCCGTCACCGCGGTGCCTGCCGGAGAGAGTGATGATACCGGCTCGATTGGCTCTATCCTGCCCAATGTGCAGCTACGCATCGTGGACGAGGATTTCAACGACGTCGAGCCAGGGCAAGAAGGCGAGCTGATTGTAAAGTCTGCCGTCGTGACCAATGGCTATTTCAACAACCCGGAAGCGACCAAGGCAGCCTTCCACGACGGCTGGTTCCTGACGGGAGACATTGGCGTCATTCGCGACGGAAAGTTCTTTGTTGTTGACCGCAAGAAGGAACTCCTCAAGTACAAGGGTCTCCAGGTTGCACCAGCTGAAATTGAGGGATTGCTTCTTGAGCATCCGGCAATCAAGGAGGCCGCGGTTATAGGCTTGCCGGACCCATCGGCGGGTGATCTACCAAGAGCCTATGTCGTGCCCGTTGAGAATGCCAAGATCAGCGAGGATGATATCAAGCAGTATGTTGCTAGCAAGCTGGCATCTCATAAACAACTTCGCGGTGGTGTTGTTTGGTATGTCACCCCTCAAACTTTATGAACGCACGTTGAGATACTAATCATTCGAGCAGTAAGTATAAGGTCATGTTACAGCCCCGACTCGAGCGACTCACGGTGAAAGCACAATCAGTACTGCTTACTGATTGCCACAAAATATACTCAAGACCCCAATAAATTCATGAATAATTCGACTTTGATTGCTGACACATAATTGATTAGTTATCGACGAAATCCCAAAGAGTGCCATTGGCAAAATCCTTCGCCGCGAGCTTCGTGACAGGGCCAAGAAGGAGATCCAGACTTCCAAGTTGTAGAGCATGTCAAGAAGACCAAACAGTACATTTTGAATTTGTGAGACAAGTGATGTGGTGTAAAGAAGCAGATTTCTAATTCTACTTGAATAAAATCCATACGCATTGGTTGCCAGCATAAAACCTGAAAACGGCCGCTGAGGGGCATGGTGTATAGTGAAATGGGCATTTACTCTCGGTGAAATGTCACCAACTGAGATGGTAGAATGTCAATCGAGTGTTCACTTGGCACGAAGATGCTCAGTCTTGAATTACAACTGCAATTGGTCTCATAGAAGCGACGATTTTCCTAAATAGATGATGCAATCGACAAACATGTGTCTTGGCCAATTTCAGGTCTCACAAAGGCTTAGCGCAATCCCACGTTCCGCGCATTGGTTAAAAGCAGTCCTCGATGCCTGCCTACGAGCTCTTGTCTCGTATATAAACTTCCAGCGTTCTCGCTCTGCAATCAAAGCAAAGGACTCGGTAAACTGTATTGACAGACAAAATTTGCACTCTGCTTGGAGCTGACATGGCAAACGCTCCTGCAGTCACCCAAGACCCCACAACCATGCAGAGCTCATCGGCAGAAGTCGAAAAGGATGCAGCCATCTTGTACGACTATCTAAAGATGGACATGTCGCCTCGCACCGCCCAAGCAATCGACGCCGTCTTCTGTCTCTGCAGTCTTGATCTACGGGTAGCCGACCACGCTGCGAAGCTGTTCCTCGAAGGCACAGGGGACTATCTCATCTTCTCGGGCGGCTCCGGCGTGCTGACCGAGGGTCGCTTCGACGGCAAGCCGGAGGCCGAGGCCTTTGCCGACCGGGCCTGCGCACTGGGCGTGGACAGGGCGCGGATCCTGGTCGAGCCGTCGTCGACCAACACGGGCGAGAACGTCCGGTTCACCTGGGCGCTCCTGGAGGCGCGGTCCCTCCGCCTCGGGTCCTTTGTCCTCGTGCAGAAGCCGTACATGGAGCGGAGAACGTACGCGACCTTTTTGAAGCAGTGGCCCGAGGCCGACACGGCGGCCATCACCATCACGTCGCCGCCCCTGGCCTGGGACGAGTATCCCGACGAGGATAATCCCCGTGACCTGGTCATCAATATCATGGTCGGCGACCTGATGCGGATCCACAGCTATCCCGCAAAGGGCTTTCAAATTCCACAGGTCATCCCCAGGCCAGTTATGGAGGCGGGTCAACGGCTGATTGATGCTGGCTATACCCAACACCTTTCCTCATGTCCGGCTGCATTCCCCTTGGCGAGCTGACATTCTTGGCCAATTTGAAAGACTCTTGATACGGGAAGCGAAGTAATAGAGGTTACTCTGAAATCAACATTGATCTACTTGTACATTCCTTGAGGCATGCGACTACATTATAACATCTTTGGTACAGCTTAGATTGTATTTTGTACTCTCGTCCGGCCTATGCAAGACATGGTATTTCACGAGCTTGGGGGTCCACCGAACCCCGGGGCCCATGGTGAATTTGCACTGCCTGCTCTCCTGAAAGAGCAAAAGAGCTCCTCCATCTTTTTTCTCCCCTGTTCTCCACATCAGCCCAGTCATCGTCCACAGCACGATTTTGCGGATCAAGTGAAATGTCTGCAGGATGATCTGATCTCGTCCGTCGCATCTCCGGTCGTTGCTACGTTACCATGTCGCTGTTCTTTCTGGAGCCCTATATACTAGCTCTGCCCTGGACATACTGCCTGAATATCTCATGTCGTATAGCTAGGTCGCTGGCTCTATGCCAATATGAGGTGCTAGAGGCACTTCCAATGTCAGCCTGAGAGCAGGGATCTTTGTTTGGATACTGTGGGAACTCTGTGCAACATCAATTCATATAAGCTGGGCTGAGGAACCAAACCTCCGTCGCTGTCAACCATTATAGACAGCATGAGTCATCCCCGTGTAGTGTCCGTCGAACCATTGTCCAATAATCTTGTCGATCTCTTGCCACTTTGCTGTGGCTAGTAGTCTCACAACATGCGGTTGAGGACTCGGTACACAAATCGTTCATTAGTACAGCGGGATACATTAAGCGCAGGCATGTCGCGTGATGATCTGGGAGAGAGAAACAAAAACAAAAAAAAAACAATGAGTTAGCTCTAGCCTCGCTACCACACAGGACCCCTTCGACTAGGAGGTTTTTCGAGATGAGGTCGTTCCAGCTCATACACTCGGTTTCACCTTTCAGCCTTTTGCATTCAAATTTAGTTGAGCCTGGATCACACGAGCGTATGGAGTATCAAAAGCACAGGCCGGAAAGTAGGAAAACCTCGTGGCACAAAGGGGGGTCAGACCATGCCGGTCGTGCCCACAACCCACAACCAATTGATAATTTTGGATTTGGGAAATGGTTCGATTTGGTTCGAGAGAAGTGTCACTGTTTTACAACTCATTTTACATAATAATGTTTGCTACAAGATAAGTGCGATGTGGGTGCTGGGGCTGGAAGTCCAGATGGGATCTGGAGTGAGCGGATACTTGAAGCGGGCCGTAGAACCAACCTCGGCCCAGGCGAGCATCGAGGTTGCCCCCATCACCGGTGCATGGGAATTTAATAGCAATCACCAGTATTCTTAAGAAAAATCATGGTCATATAGCAAAAAGTTTGTCGGTCTGCTTCGTTTGAGCTCTAGGGCCGCTCGAAGCGGCCGCTGGTCCTTCAGGCCGTCGTCGAAAGCGTCAGGAGGATTGATGCGGCTGTCCACAATTACTATGACTTGGAAGGGCACAAATCAATGTCTTACATTAGCAGTATCAGACATTAGAGATTGTGAACGAATAATTATTCCAGGGACAGTAAATTTTCAAAACTTTCTGAGCTTTCCAATGGAAGGTCAGAAACATATATTATAGTCGTTCAAACTCCAAGATTCACTTATACTTATCATTCTCGTCTCAGGCACCATGTCCATATACTTATTTGCGCGCAGTTGTAGACTTCTAAGTATATAACGATCCGGATAAGCTTTAAACTAGCTAGTACTTGTTGAAGCAATCTGATAATCGTTGAGCAGCGCTGACAGTAAGCCCTAGATTAATGACGCGCGACTCATGCAAGTAGTATCAGGACTGCACTGCACATGTCGAAAGATGTGCAGTTTAAGAACTCGACTTGCCGTGCAAATGGTTTGTACAAGAACTCGGACATTCACAAGAGTGAGATTACCCTTTTTTTTTTTTTTTAATAAAATTGACAAGTGCCACAAAACGATGACACAGCTGACCCCTACCGTCTTGTTTGTCCATGGCTCATGGCATACACCATTGCATTTCGCCAAGATACGTGAAATCTTTGAGGATGCTGGATATCCGACATCATGTCCGCGGCAGCCCACTGTTGGTGCGTCACCACCGATAGGGCTCTTGGAGGATGCTCAATGCATTCGTGATGAGGTACAAAGACTGGTCAATGAAGATAAAGACGTCATTGTCATCGCACATTCGGTGAGTATATTTCTGATGGCGCTGACTTTCTTGTCTTGCTGGTACTTGACCGCCACCAGATAGAGTACTTACCCTTCAAGGGCTTGACACAGATGTCCTTTGAATCAATTGATCCGACAAGCACTAATATATTCCTCAGTACGGTGGTGTCGTAACGACACAGGCGGTCGAAGTGGTCTTTTCCAAAAAGAAGAGACTTGAGAATGGTCAGCGCAGTGGCGTTCTTTCGCTTGTCTACATGTGTGCCTTCATGTTGTCCATGGACACGAGTCTAGCAGGTACATTTGAGGGAAAGTTGCCTCCTTGGATCACCATCCACAAGGTGAGAAAGAGCCCATTTGATCCAAGGCTCCAGCTCCACACCAAGGCTCCCAGCACTGACAATAATGGTGGGATTCTGGAATGTGTGAGCCGGTCGATGGTGGGACAGTCTTTTACCACGATGTCGATCCAGATGAGCGCAAACAAGCTGTACAGCAGCTGCTGCAGGTCCCAGCAGTCACGCAGATTACGCCCATCACGCACCTGGCTTACCTCCACCACCCTGTGAGGTATCTGTATTGCACAGATGACCAAGCCTTGCCGTACGCGGCCCAGCAAATGATGGTGCAAAATGTCTGCAAGCAATACGGCATCTCATTCGCCGAGCACCATCTAAACGCCTCACATAGCCCCTTTCTAAGCATGCCGGAGAGAGTACTTGAAGTAGTGCAGCAAATTGCGGAAGACGATAAGAGAAGAGAAATCGGAAGCATGTAGCCAAAGACGAATACATCTTGGCAATTTGTTGGCTCCAATATACCAGTGATAGCGTCCAAGCCCCCCAGAGTAAAAAAAAAAAAAAAAAAAAAACGACGCCTTGAAAGTCGCCCATTTCAGGATATCTTGAAACCCGGGGTACCAGAGATCTAGAAGATAGAATCTAGAACTTTATTAGTATAATATTCATACAATACTAGGTGGTTCGGAGCCGATGAGCCAGAATCCAAATCCGCGTGACGCGCAAAGGGGCCCCAAGAGCAGAAGTTGGAGCATTCAGCCCTAACGACCAGGAAGCTGACTCGCGCATTTCGGATGTATTCTCCGGATAGATTCAGCCACGATTTGATAGCGACTCGATTTGATAGGCAGACTATCACGACTCGGGACCGAAAAGATGCGCACTACTCAGCGCTTCAGTGAAGATCGAGTAGATGATATGAAGCTCATCTAGCCAGAGAATCATCACCAAATAAGTCGATTGTACCAGTTTGACCAATGTTGCTTCATTGACTGCTGGCTTGGCTGGGGTCAATTTCAGGCACCCCGCCAGCACTCCAGCACTACATGATGGATGCGTCGAAGGATTCAAAAAAAAAATTCTGCAAACATGGATGATCTGATTTCAAGGTTAAGCATATTCGAGACACTCCCGGGGGGAAAAACGCACAGAAACAAAGAGATTGGGGGACCCCAGGACGCACGCGGCCTATCGATAGTATCGAACCTGGAGAGGAACAAAGCCAAGAAGACCGAACATTGGCAGAAGCCCACCTGAATCCTTCGAACAGGCGCCACTTTGCGCTAGCCAGCGATCCCAGCAGCTTGGGACAGAGGATGCAAATTTGACTTTTGTGTCCGGGCATTGTGGCTTGCAGAAACCGGAGAATTTATCTCAAAAAAGGTTGGTCGTCATGACGTTGTTTGGTCCCAACTATGTAGATACGCACAGATGCATACGTAGAAGAATATGACAGGAGCATTATTAAGGTACAGCCCGTCGACGCCGACTGCAATGACGGGCATTTTTTCAGAAAACAGACTAAGGCACAAAGCAGTAAAATAGCCAGCGGGAGCCTACCTGATTAAAATGGCAGTAGCATGTAGGTGCATATTGTTAGAGGAAACCATCGGGCAGGCAAAAATCAGTGCGTTGCTGTGATCTCCGGTCGACGTAAGATGTGTACGTATGTTCGGGGAAATCGTACTCGTACTCTTCCCCGGCCCGTTTTCATGGCAGATAAATCCACTCATGTCAGCAGAGACAGAGAGGGCTGATAGTGGGACGATGTGCAATGGCGGCGTTCGGGGTCAAGATAACATTCCGTACTGGAGGCGGTGATAGCATACAAGTACTCTGTGAGGGGAGAAATCAGAGAAGCACTGAACCGGGAGATACCTGGCAGCCTGGGGCAGCGTTGAGGTCGCCGAACAATCGCAATGTAATGTGGCCGGGTTATGATTAAGTGTAGTAGAGCACCCGCCGTAGCCCGCTGATTTAATGTTTCAGGCCCTCAAGAACCACCGTAGGCTGCTTAAGTCTTAGGTGGGAGACCCAGGCTTTCGGGTCTGGTTGAGAGGGGGAGGTTCCCAAAAGGGCAGTGTGACCCGCGCCCTAGCGACGGGCTTTATTACACTGCCATGTAACCCCCAATCGCAACAATGCCGCGGCCTTTTTTGCGCCTTGATACATGTCCGGTGGCTTGAAACTCCAAGGGTCTCTGGCATATAACCGGAGATCTGCGATGAGATGCACTGTCGCATCCCTCCGGTATATACACCTAGTAAATTCATGCAGCTTGGCCCAACTCCCCTGCCTTGAAACGTACGTTGCCCCTCATAAATGACAACGGTTCTCCAACTCCTCTCCTCCTGAAAGGCTGAGGAAACACACAATATTCCGTACTCCTTTCGTAGAGCCTATGCACGGCAGACTATCAACTGCAGGCCACTCGAGGAGGTTGCATGGAAAGCGAGCAGTCTTCTCCTCGTCTGTGTGTTTCTTCACTTTAATGCCATTATGGTTGTGTGTACTTTGTAGTTGGGTGTCCACTGGCTTGCTCCGGAAGCACTGCCTGACGATCCCTTTGTCTGTCCGTCAGTTCTTCTGCCTTACGACAAGTATCCATTGTTTACAATCCCGTCTTTCCGTGCCGTGAGCGTCATACGGGCAACTCGTTTTTTTTTCTTCGGCGTCAATCCACTGTGGGCTTACGAATGACAACTATTTGGTTCCACCCGAGGGATGACAGTCCATTCATTGCGTGCGATTCTCGGTCGTGCCGCACTAAAGAAACAAAAGAATGTACGGAATATGTCCTTTGGTGTCAATGTGATGTGCAGGCCCTTTGCTTCTTCTTTGCAAGGGTTGATCATCAGGGCCACCGCGCCCTGGTAATTGCGATGATGATCGATGATCATCTTATTTCGGTTGTCTTCGCCTGCGAGAGTCCCGCTCTAATGCAGGGGTGTTCGGCACACTTCGTCAGAGTCCTGGCAAAGCCTGCAAGGAACAGGAGCAGCAGTACTACTCTGTGCAGTGAGAGTGCGTTTCGGTGGATGTCCACTGCCGACTAGCAATTCTCTTTCATTATTAGCGGTAGTTCATACGGCAGACTGATGAAATGCAACAGGGTCTTTTTGCAAGAGCCATGGACCATGGTTATCTACTACCGTAGGGTCGTAGCAGGTGCTTGTTTGCGTGTCTTGGCTGCTTGGCAGGCTTCAAATGTTGGGTACTTTTCTATAGATTAGGTGCTTGCGGGGGGCGATCAATAGACGTTGGACGTTGGCCACAGTGAACCACATCAGATGAGCGTCGGCTGCCAGGTCCGTAGGTAATGATGGCTGTTGATAGCTTGTACATGCCTCTCCGACGAGAAGCTTCCGGGAAATTGAATCATGTCTGTTTTTTCCGGCCCTGCCTCTTCATATGTAATGGGAACATTTGTGACCTTGCAACACAGACTTTTTGTCAAGAATCGCGATTTGTGACAAGAAGCATGCGGAAATCAGTCCGGACAAGTGCTATTTGGTGGGGGTTTACCCGCNAAAAAAAGAAGACCCAGTGTTGACAGCGACAAATAAGGTGGAGAGAGAGCCAAGTGGCGACAAGGGCATCACCCGGGCTCCCGAGCTAGAATAATATTGCCGACGTTAAAACCGTCTACGATAGAGAACACTAGCAGAAAGGGAACAGAGAGACCCCTACCCTTCTGTAATATCAGACGAATATTCTACTATCATTGGTCCAATGCCGGACTGCTGGCTCCCTTCAGTTACTTCCAGGCACTCAGGCCGCCTTGAAGCTCAACGTCAGGGGCTCGTTTCAATCTCCTGGAGTCGATTTCTTTCTTTCGCCATGCAGTGGACCACTTTGATGCAACTCAGCCTGCCAATCCACCACAATGCAATGTTTGCACGGGGCAGTATAATAGCAGAGCTGTCGAAATAAAAAGAAGACGAAAAGCTAAAGCAGATGATGACAATAACAGCTTCTGCTATTGTGTAATTATCCCATTGCCCCGAGTTCGATCGTATAGGTAATCACTTCCTTCGTACTCATCTTCATCAATGGTGAGGCGGTGGAGTTGGAACCCTCGACGCAGTATGGGCCATTGGGTCAATCATATCCTCTTTCCCTTCAAGGGCTCCCAGCTGCTTGGTAAAGGGTAAAGAAACTGTTGCTGACGCCACGCAACACGCACCAAATATGGCTAGATGTATAGCACGGTTGATCAAATTTGCCTAGAACCCCAATCGGATCAACGTTATTAAGGCACTCTTGGCGATGGCTAGAAGCGACTAAACGTATCTCTGCCGATCCCATATCTGTTGAGACTAGTTGCTATTTACTGGCCAGAGAAGGAGTACATATCTCGTGATGTGTTGAATTTCATTGTCCATGAAACCGCAGTTTCCATTCCGAGGCACGAACTGTTTTTGCACCAATTAATACTTGTCAAGTCTCCTTTTGTGAAGTTTCGACCGGCAGATATTACCCTGAGTCATCATCCTCTAAGCTGCTTATTTGCTTTGGTCACGGGTTTGAAAACCACAAGAGGTCAATAGAAATTTAAAAGAAATAATTGCATTATTAGGACAAAATGGCTAGCAGAGGCAAGAAAGACTACGCGGCCCTATGACTAAGATTCTACTTATACGGAATAGAATATTTCCTAGTTCGTGATCCTTAAACTGGATACTAGTATTCAGCTTTGAAAGGATTCAGTCAATAAAAATGAGGGGCACCACCAGGATGAAATCTAGAATATTTCCTCGCTTAGATGCTGAGATATTGCTTAGCACTCTCTGCCATTCTTCCAGGAGTATTTGAAGCAAGAAGATCCCTAGTGCGTAGATATGTACAGATGGTAAACTCTCCCACCGGGGAGCCAGCTGATTGTCCTTACGGGAGATATGTGGCACTTGCGTGCGGTTCGTGCGGTACGAACGGTGAAAATATCAACAGTCGTAACCCTGTTGCGAGGGACCTAGTGCACTACATAGTATGCAAGACCTGAATAAGAAACCCCTTCGCCCCGCTCGCCCTGCCAAGCTGGGAAGATTGTTTTTCTGTAGCGGGCGCAGAAGTAGACAAGTAGAGAAGTAGGCATAGGACAGTACATACGTAGTATGTAATGAGTGTTGCTAGCAATAGAGACCGTCTCGAAAATCCACTACGGAATTTTGCGAGCCGCGGTCTTCCCGGGAGTAGTCGCCTGTAGCGCAACGATGCTAAGCCTGCTAAGTGGCTGTTTGTGAAGAAGAATATGGATACTTTTTTGCCAGCCAGCAACCCTGCCACATTAGTCTAGGTAGGTTACATGCAAACCCGCCCAGCGCCCACAAGGAGTGAAAAAAAAGAGGATTCTGACGCTGCCAACAATGCATCACTGGCATGTCCGTGAGCAGGCATGAAGAGGGTCAGACAGGATTGCAAGTCTATAAACTGAGATCTTCCAATCTACGGATCTGAACCCATCGAGTCGTTGTTGTGCGTGTCTGGCATCAAACTCAAAATCCTTCGATGCACTGTTGTCAACGATCCATGACTAAACAAGGCACTTACACATTCGGCTTCGCGGCTTCGGATGCGCGCATCCAGCAGCAGGCCTAGTCTAGTCAGGGGACTGGCAGTCTGGACCTAGTCGCCAGTCCTTGCTATACCATTTAAGGGCCCTCGGGACTGGCAAGACTGCTGGGGATCGGCTGCGGACGAGACGCTGAATGGAGCAATATATCATGCGCATCTTGCGGTCAATGGAGACCTTGCTATGGAGCCTGGAATTTCCCAGCGAGACGGTCTTGCACTAACAAGTCAAGACCCCAAATAGGGCAGTAATACTTGCTTTAGACTCACCCATGTTACCATTTTGCAGTCTGGCAAACTGGATATAGTGTACATAGTCAACTAGTAGGTAAGAGACTCGACTAAGGCGAGACAATTACCATTCTTGGGTCATCTCAGAGACTAAAGAAAGAACCCCCCGGCCTGGATCATCTCGGTCCCAGACTACGGCTACCATAATCCATAACCCGCGCTCCCGCGGACGCCACTTTGTGAACGTCTTTGATCTGAATTCTTCGTTGCTGCGAGCCAGAAGATGGTCCCCCTTCCTGGTCCCAGGGATCCTCTGCATACACCTACATATAACCCAGGATCCAGGGTCACAGCAGCAGCCAGGCAGCCTGGTATTAGAAACCGGCCCAGGTCCACCAGAACCAGAGCCAGCTTCATAACTAGTCGGTTGTGAAAGGGGTGTAACGCTGTTAAACCGTTTCCCTCTCCATAAGAAGTACCACAATGTGGATTTGAAAGCGTCACGGTTCCCCAGGATCTCTCTTCTTTCTTGAGACGAACGCCCACTTGCTCTCTTTTACCTTCTCGTTCCGTCGATTCTCGCCGTTGCATTTTTAGTCTGTCTGCCACATCGCCCGTCCGTTGCGGACGCTGGAAGCTTTTAGTTTGTTTTGTTCTCTTGTCATTGTCGTTCGTTGCCTACTCGAAAAATAAAGCAAAGATGGCCATCTTTATGGTACGGATACCCCGGAATCGTTGGAATATGGAGTATACACGAGAGAGAAGAAACATGCTCACATACAATAACAGGATGATGCGCCTCATGTCTTCGGCACAGTTATCACGATCGCCGTGCTGGCCTACGTCACATTTGGCCTGAGAGTATATACCCGAATCACGAGAGGCAGTTGGGGTATGGAGGACTGGTTAATGACAGTGGCCGCAGTATGTTCAACAACATTCGGACTCACTGAGCAACAAGAATCTGACAAAGCTTAGTTTCCTCTTTTGATTTTGACAATAGCATGCGCCACGGCGGCATTCAACGGCGTGGGAATACACCAATGGAGACTTGAGCTGGAGCAAAACGTCAAGTACCAAACCAACGGACTGTTTGTCAGTATACAGCCTTTTCATGGTGACACTCCCAGACTAACGGCTTATAGTGGTTCTTCCTTTTCGAGGTTTTCTACTGTGTCACGATCATTCCCGTCAAGCTCAGTATCTCTTTCATGTTGGTCCGAATCGCCGAGAACAGGTCATGGTTCGTGTGGTGCCAGTACGGCATCATGGCTCTTTTCACTACAATGAACGCGATCGCGGCCTTTTATATCATCTTCCAGTGCGCACCAGTCTCCGCCGCCTGGACCAACGTGGGAACCTGCAACGCCAGCTACATCTTGGCCGATATCTATTATGCAACCACGGCCGTCAACATCTTTACCGATTGGGCTACTGCTCTCATGCCCATCCCCCTGCTATGGAACGTCAAGATGAACACCAACGCCAAGGTGTCCGTCGGTGCTATTTTGGGACTGGGTATCTTGTAAGTTGCGATATATGCGCATGGTAGGAGTCGATGGCACATGGCTAACAACATGCAGCGCCTCCATCAGTGCTTGTATTCGTCTCAAGTACACTGTCAACCTGACGTCGGCCACGGAATACTTGTGTAAGTTGACATGCCAATCAACCATATGTAGCTCTATCCATCGCATACTAACATGACACGATTAGACGGTTTGGCCAACATTGTCATTTGGGGATACGCCGAAAACGGCATTGGAATGTTTGTCGGAAACCTCTCGACCCTGCGGCCCCTCTTTCGCCGCGTCCTCGGCCTCGGCGGCTCCAGCGGACAAACAGCACCCAGCGGCATGACCCCAAACGGCTTGCCCAGCAAGGCCACGCACCCGTACCGTTCCTTCGACCCGGGCTTCGAAATGGGCACCATGCACTCGATCAAGGAGAAGCCCTCCATGGCCACTTCGACGCAGATTGTCGGTAACGACCGCAGCTCCCTGTCGAGCGACGGCGAGAGCCAAAAGCACATCATGGAAGGAGGTTCCGGCGCCGGCGGGGCTGGCTCCTTTGGTGCCGGCGGTATCGTCGTCAGTCGACAGATTGACATCAGCCATCACCAGTAAAAACAAACAGCATCATCGTGTTTCATCTTGCAAAGCGGCGTTCAAAGAAAGAAATTTCACGAGAAATGAGGAATCAATCAGGCTTGTGTGTAATATCATTCTTCTTCTGGGTTATGGGAGGCGAGAAAAAAAAAGGATATCATTTCTTTTGTCATTGCAAGATCTCACGAGATCTTGCTGCATCGCCTCCATCAGGTTGTGCGGCGCAATTTATCAAGGGGGGAAAGGGCGACAATTATATCCATCTTATTATTATATCCGGCCAACTCAAGGCTTGTCAATTTTTTTTAATCATCAGCGCTACGATTCGACAACACAGATCCAGACGGAAGCAAGACCACACAAATCAAGACATTATTCCTCTACATCTCGATTCTTCCAGTATTACCGCCATGTTTTAGTAGAAAGTAAACGCCGCAGCCGGGGTAGGCGGGATTACTTGACCTAGATTCTCAAGATGAATGATTCCGTTGAGCCTCATATCATATGTCATGTAAACAAGGCATATGCTGCTGCTAGGAAAGCAATCCAGCAGCGTCAAAGCTCCAGCATCATCTGGAACATGTCGAGATTCTGCCCCTGTGAGGGAGTATAGGATCTCAGATTCTTCAGAGGGGCGGATTTCCCCCATGGCGTTCGACCCCGGCTTACGTTGGTAGAAGTCCCCGAAAGAGATTCATGCTATAATAGTATGCTGGTCACTGAACCCGAGCAATCAAGACTATCCATTTCCAGAGAGATCAGAATAGTGGGCATCTGGTGAAATTAGACGTATAATTTTTAGGAAACATTGATGGAGAATGTAAGGCATGAATAGGTATCATGGAAGGGGAAATATTGAGGTCTAGCCTATTATCTAACCACAAGAAGGGGGGCCATGCACAAGGGTTTGGTAGATTACTCATCCACAAAGTGTCACAAATAGACATAGGAACAAAAAAAAAAGTTCTGCTCGCAAGGTCTTGTGACTAGTATCTCTTTTTAGACTCCTGATGGGTACATTAGCTGATGGAACGTAGCTGTGGGCAAGCCCCATCTTCCGGAACAGCCTCCCGCTTGCGGGGTGGAAACACTGTCTGTTCTCACCAGTCGATCGTGAGCCGACTAACCCCTAGCTTACCTATGCGCTCACTGGCACACTGATACATTGGCAGTGTGAAGAATCGTGAAATTCCGGTTTCAGTAGGGCAATATTCATACCAAGTTGACTCGATCAATATCTTGGCTGAAAGTGGTTATGAAAACATGGCTGGCTTCCCCAGGTGATCCGGCATTGTTGAATATACTCAGAGATGCTTGCAATAGACCTTATCACTGTCTCCGTAAAATATAATAATCAACAGAATATGTCAGCATTTCTCTCTGATATTACCTCGCACAGGTCTCTGATATGCTCTCATAAATGAAGTCGGTCAAAGCTCTTTCTCGAATCACACTTCCAGCACAGATCAACTGCGATTTAGCACAAATGAACAAGGGTTGATTCCGCTTTTGGAATCAGAAAGTATTACGGACCTTAGCATTCCAGAAATTTCTCTCGAATTATTATACAATAGTGCCAATTTAAGCCAATTGGGTGCCCGCCAAAGTCGAATATCAGTATAAAACTAGGCAATGGAAACCCCCATCACTCATATTCCACTCGAGCGCATGTCTGCAGGTAGAAGAGCTAGTCCATGTAAATGAGAAAGATTAAATCTCAATTACTTGTAGCTCTTCCCCCTATCGGCGAGGGGCACTGAGCAGAAGTTTTCTTTCACATACACCGTTTGAAGAAAAATGAACAAGAGATCAGCCGGAGAGAAGAGGCAGCACACAAATAGCGCTTGTGTAATGGCAAAGTTATCACAAGATTTATTCACAACTTGTGTTGACAACCTTCGTAAAGATAATCGATTTGCAGCCTAAAACAACGATGAATTCATAAATCTTCTTCTATCATGGGGGGTTTGAGTGATTGACCATCATCTGAGGCAAGGGATCACCATAGCGCATGCTGCAACCAAGGGGCGACGACTCTAGATGATTCCGAATGTTCTTGTCTTTAGCAATGTCAAATGGTACTCGTTATATACAATCGATTTTGCCGTTCTAGCTAACCGAACCTACTGCCTCGGGGCAGCAACGGGCTCCCAAGCAGAGAGCTTCGGCTTGACGCTACGCACGTTGATCAGCATTTGCACCATTCCTCACAACGAACACTGGTCCCTTCTCTCCAACTTACGTGTTGTATGGCTTATATGCGCCTCTTGTCATTGTGTAGTTGGGGATAGTCTTGGCGTCTGCGTCCTCCCAGATCCGGCGCGAGTATGCGAGCGAGGCATCCTGAGATGGAGGCTTGTCGACGGCGTGCGACATCCAGGCGTGCCAGCCGGGTTCAATCTGGGCGGCATCATAGTCGTGCTTTGCGTAGTCTACCCATCGTGTTCGGACTAAACGATAAAAACATCATTGCGTCAGCCCCGCGCTTCCCCCCAAGTCCGGCGGTGGTGATGGTTCACGTACGCGGCAGCTCCTCGCTGTTCTCAAAGTACTTGTTGCCGAATCTATCTGCGCCGACAAAGGTTCCGGCCTTGGTATCACCGATGTACTAGTAGGCAAGAGCCAGAGTCAGATGGCCAAATCGCGTGTGAAATACGGGTTCGGAGTTGGATGGATGGAATTGCATACGTTCATCTGGTGGAAGTAGTCCTGTCGCGCACTCCATGTCAGCAATCAATCGCTCACAGCTGGTCAGATTTGTGCCTGTTACCTTGACTCCAACCTTCCAAAAGTTTCGAATCGTTCTCGTGATGGTCGACATGATGGGCGAAGCTCAATTGCTGTTGGCAGCTCTCCCGTCTCTGATCGCTTGAGGCCTTGCTTGTAGGTTTGGCGAACTGCAGTCGATTGACCTCAAAGCTCCAGCCGGTAATTCCTCGGACGACGATTGGCTGCTGTAGTGGTGGGGCGCTAAACTGAGTATCCTGCAAGTCACCGTCACCCAATTACTACAGCATGGCCCGAGCTCCAGAAAAAGTCGCGGTTCGCGATTTACGATAACAGATTGGGGGAAACCTTGAAGAAGCTATCCAGCTCTTCTGGTCCATTATTATTGTTGTTGTGACGTCTTGAGTTCTGTCGGGATCTTGGATCTCTCTGACCCCTCTGCAATGTTTGCAAGGACCGTAGGACCCTGTGCTAGGACATTGCGACCAGCAGTATCTCGAACTTTACCACGATGCAGCAAGATCCAGCGCCGACGCTATTCAATGCCAGCCAGCTCTACTCCGGCCGGTAGCACAACCAACTCGGTTGGGATGTTGGCGCCCTTCACCAACGAGCTCGACAAGATTGCTCCTTCATTCAAGATACATGGGTCGCAGATTCAAGTCATTCAGACCCCAACCGATTTCTATGAAACATTAAAGTCCAAGATACGCGGCGCAAAGAGGAGGATATTCTTGTCGACGCTGTATATAGGAAAGACTGAGAAGGAACTGGTACACATGGTCTAATCTTTGCCCATAGTGAGCGGCTCTGACTGATGAACAGATTGCGACCCTATACGAAGCTCTGAAAGCGAACCCCGACCTAAAGCTGAGTATTTTGACCGATGCCTTGCGCGGAACACGAGAAGCGCCCAACCCATCATGCGCATCATTGCTGGCGCCCTTGATCACCGAATTCGGACCTGAGCGAGTCGAGATACGTATGTACCACACGCCGAATCTTACTGGACTTAGAAAGAAACATATTCCAAAGAGAATCAATGAGGGTTGGGGATTGCAACACATGAAACTCTACGGCATTGACGACGAAATAATCCTCTCCGGCGCAAACTTGTCCTCCGATTATTTTAGCAATCGCCAGGATCGATACCATCTCTTTTCGTCAGCCGAGATCACTGAATACTTTGACCGCCTCTACCAGGGCGTCACATCACTCAGCTTCTTGGTCGAGCCTAGTAAGGAACCGTCTGGTTTCAATCTGGTCTGGCCTGCCACCAATGCATCGCCGTCGCCTTTGGACAATCCAAAGCAGTTCATATCAAACTCGACGGCAACTTTGAGTGGCCTCATCTCCTCAGGCCAGACTGTCACTGTGCCTAAACCCGATAGTTCTGCGCCAGACACTACGATATATATGCTTGCGCAACTTTCGCAACTACTATCACCCAACACATCGACAGAGTTGCCAGCAGTGACTCATGTTCTCAAGACCTTGGCAGACCCCCAATATGCTGGATCATCATGGACGTTCACTGCGGGCTACTTCAACCCAGCTCCCTCATTGACCAATCTCTTGATGTCTACAGCATCGTCGAACTGCACAGTGATTACTGCGTCGCCTCAGGCGAACGGCTTCTATGGCTCCAAAGGCGTGTCTGGTATGTTACCAGATGCCTATACTTTGCTTGCACGACGCTTCCTGGACGCAATTCATCGCCAGAAGCGTGATGCCGCTATTGTATTGAAAGAGTGGCGCAAAGGCACCGTTGGTGAACCAGAAGGCTGGACATATCACGCAAAGGGTCTTTGGATTACCCTACCAAAAGAATTGGACCCATCAATCAGTATCATTGGAAGTTCAAACTATACGAAGCGCAGCTACACACATGATTTGGAGGCCGGAGCTCTTATTATCACCGAGAACCAGGAGCTGAAACAAAGGCTCGGAGCCGAGAAGAACTGGTTGCAGGACTATGCAAGCCCGGTATCTCTGGACGACTTTGCAAAGACCGAAAGGCGAGTCGGCCTTCACGTCCGGATAGCCATGTGGATTGTCAAGGTTGTCGGTGGCGCACTATAAGGAGTTGTAACCGCACCACTGAATCTGTAGAACATCGATTTCTTGATCTGTCCCAACGGGGGATCCATCGACTGCTCATTTTGCTCAGGATCCTTGTCGCAGGGTTTAGTCTGCCTCGGCCGGATTGGCTGTCGGCGCCAGATTTGCCTGGCTCACTCACCGATTCGGCACGGAGACAACCGCTCCGTGCCGCATTCTACCTAGGTTAGGCGTAACGCGTTTGGCCACGACTGCAATATCCGTTCCGCATCCATGATGGCCTCCCAGCCGGTACACTGGACACAATTGCTTATACCCAAGGGCATCTATTTGCCTGCAATTGATATCGGGGAGACTTCCCGGCTACCGAACTTGGGGTGCTAGTCCCACCTCCTTTTGTAACAGTTATAGCGTAGATCTGCAATAGACATGGGGCAGAGTATACAGTAGAAGCAGGAACGGAGCTTGGCATTCCTTTCCTGATGACGCTATAGGCGGAAAGCCGACTTGGAAGCGTCCATTTCAATATGATCTTTACACCCAAGGGTAGAAAGCCTGCCGGATTCGATAAATGAGTACAAATTACAACCGGTACCCAACATCACACGCCTTGATGGACTGAAATCGTTTTCCTCATCGCATAGCGCTCTCCATCAACTACTTGTCAAGATGCATTTGTCAACAGCTTCTCTGGCTTGTCTCCTGTCCGGCGCATCGGCTACAATCTACTATGCCGGCGTTGCCGAATCAGGCGGCGAGTTTGGAGTCTGGTCCGCGACTGCTACACCAGGTACTGGTTTGCCAGGACGATTCGGTGTCGACTATTCTTTCATCAGCGAGGCAGCTGTGGATGTACATGTTGATCAGAACAAGATCAATCTTTTCCGAATTGCCTTTCTCCTTGAGCGCATGAATCCGCCGGCCACTGGGTTGGGCGCTACATTCAACGAGACACACTTTGACTACTTCAAGCAAGCTGTTGACTATGTCACCCTGACCAAGGGAGCATATGCTATTCTGGATCCGCACAACTACATGCGTTACAACGATCCCAGCTCCCAGCCATATTCGGGCAGCATTATTGGCGACACGTCGGACGCGACCGCCGCCACAACGGAACAATTTGGCGAGTTCTGGGGCGAGCTGGCTTCTCGATTTGCCGACAATGAGCGCGTCATCTTTGGACTCATGAACGAACCGCATGACATGGCTTCTTCGCTCGTCCTTGCCAATAACCAGGCTGCCATTGATGCTATCCGTGCGGCGAACGCTTCGAACCTGATCATCATGCCGGGCAACAGCTGGACTGGTGGGCACGCGTGGACCGAGGGTACGGATCCGAGCTCGGCAGTCATGAACCAGTTCAATGACCCTCTGAACAACACGGCAATCGACATTCACGAGTATTTGGATGTGGACTTTTCCGGCTCCCACTTGGAATGCGTCTCGGACCCTGCTACCAACTTGGCAGCCTTGACTGCGTGGTTGAAGGTGAGTGATGCAAACACTATAGACTGTGTACCAAATCGTGCAAGACGGAAAAAGCCTGGCTGACACCAAGATTGCAGGAAAATAACCTCAAGGCATTCATCACCGAGTTTGGAGGTTCCAACTCGACCTCGTGCCAGACCATGGTCCCAGATATGGTGAACTACATGGCCGAGAACCCCGAATATATTGGTTGGACTGCCTGGGCGGCTGGTCCATTCTGGGGATCTAACAGCCCGTGCTGCACCAACTCCACGCTTCTCGGCAGTCTCGAACCCGGCAGCACCGCGGTTGATGGCAGTCCTGGCTTGTACACCACGGTCTGGCTTGATCTGATCCAGCCTCTTGTGCCGAGTGAGCTGCAGTGGAGTGGACCAGCAAGTGTGAACGGTGGAGACTTGACCGCCAAGGCTTGAGATTTACATTCGTAACTACCGAATTCATGTATCACATGATGTATATAGATGTCAATTTTCATTATTGATTCAATGATTCCATTCTTGGTGTTATGGGTATTATTTCCAAAAACAAGTATATCCTATATGTTCCTAAACGCCATCGTCGACAACATTGACATCATTCTAACTCCGGGCTAGCCAAGCAACAGGCATCCCGAAAAAAGTATATACCAATTCTTACTTGCTTCCAGTCAAGCTAGAGATGCCGGGCAGGTTGGAGGGCAGATAACCACCCTTGTCATCCTTGCCTTGGCGCTCGGCGCGGTTGATGCCCTCCTTGGACAGCATATCGCCCACGGGCTGGAGGAGACCGCCCTGGCCAACCTGGCCGGCAACGAGGTTGTTGACGCCGTCTTGGAGGGTGTCGACCTGTTGGACGCCAGTCACCTTGGACTTGTCGAGTTGTTCTTTAAGGAGGTATAATAGTCAGTCTCGAGTTCATTGTATACATGGACACAAACAAGTCGCAAAGTGGAAAGAGGGGTAAGGAGGGAAAAAGAAATAAAGGTAAGAAACATACGCTTGGTGGCATAGCTGGCCTTGTTGTCCTTTGTAAAGTACTTGAGAAAGTGATCCTCGATCCACGGCATCCAGCTCTCGTACTGCTCATTATACTTTTGCTTGGCCCATTCCATATAGGTCTGCTTCTGCTCCTGCTCGGACAGCTGGTTGAAGTTGGCCGGAGGCTTGAAGTCGGACGAGGAGATTCTAGGGTCGGTGGTGCTGCTGTTCTCGGCCATTTTGATGGATGATTGATGTATAGGGGAGGGGGTTATCAGTTGTAGTGGCTTGCCAGAATATGGTGATATGTTTATTGTATGTGTATAGAAGGGAAAGGATTAGCGTAAACGGTGGACGAGCAAGTCAAGCCACTTCCTTTTTATCATTCCCCCCTCAAAGGCCTCCCAAGCCCGAAAACTTATGTCATTACTTCATATTCCCCATGCCCCATGGCCCATGTTCTTTTTTTTTCCCCTTCTGCAATTTACAGGTTTCGTAATCTTCCCGCCCTGGGCGGACGCGAATATCCAGGTGGTGTGTGGCTGCTCCTACGTCATACCACGGCCGGCATGGCTCGTGATTGGTGCGCTGCCTTGGTTCCTCCTCGAACAGGGAATCTGAGAAGCTTTTTTGGCTTTTGCCTCAGCCACACCACTACAGCACACCAACTTTGTTCAAAAATTGTGGGTTTCAGACAGGCCTAGACGAGAAGCCAAGCTGCTGCTTTTATTATTCTTCTTGGGGTGATCGAGGATTTGAGATCTTCTGACGGAGAGGGGACTGATCGCATACGTTTTTTTCATGCGGGAAGGGTCCTAAGCGATGTTGGTAGTGGTGGGTGGGGCCGCTTATTGCTGGTTTAAGAACTTGGGGAGGAAGGAATTGGACTATACTGACACGCGTGTGCTCAACGTGCACTCTTACTTGTGAGCTTGGTGGGACACATGGTTTGAACCACGAGTGTCGTGGCTTTTGGCAAGTAATGATTGGCTAGAATGGAGCCATACAATAGCAAACTACTCCTGGTCTATGCTTGAGCTTCGTTGATACGATATGCAGGGTATCGGCTCTTTTTACTACTCTATCACCGTCTAGATTGCCTGTTTTCAAACTCTTATTGCCACTCATGCTTCCCAAATTACGGTAGTCTTGACGCTGACAGGACACTCAATATCCTTGTACTTTGTCTCCCGATCCGATACCTTGCTTAACCAGTTCTTAGTTGAGCCCCAGTTCTCAAACTTTTCGGGCGCCTCCTCCAAGCCCTTCATGGTCGCCGCCTCCTCGCTGTCGGGTCCCTCGCTCAACTCCCTCACCCGCCGCGCACTCTCGGCAAAGACGCTTGCCCGCGCAGCGTCCGAGTGCATGGCGCAGATCTGGAAAGCATCGTAGTACAGGCGCGGCAGCCGCGTATCGCGGACCCCTTCGGCCTCGTAGATGCGCAGCAGCTCTTTACAGTCCTTGAGGGCGTCGGCGGGCTGGAGACGAACACGCTTGGCATCACCAATGGACTCGTCGAGGCGGGCGGCGTCGCGCAGCCGCTTGTCGCTCTTGCGCAGCTTCTCGGCCGGCTGCGAGCACAGCTCGCACGCGCAGTCAAAGCCAAAGAACTGCTTGAGCGCCGCTTTCCGCTCCGTCGAGGGCCCGCCGTTGTGGTACGATAGCGTCAGCTCCTCGCCGGCCGCCACGTCCCGCACCGCGTACACGGTCTGCTCGCCCAGCTTGGGGTTCCAGTGATGCTGGGCGTTGGGTCGGCACGAGTGGTTCATGCGTGCGATCAAGGGAAAGATGCCGCCCACCTCGCTGTTGGGGCCCAGGGGATACCCGTTGGACCGGATAATGTTGGAGAAGGGGTTGGGCTGGCCCGGGAAGTTGTTGTGCAGGAAGAGAAAGGCCTTTTGTCCATCCCTGGGAAGAGAGCGCACAATGGCCTGGAGGTCCTTTTCAATGGTTTCTGCATTGGTGAGAGAGGCGGTTGTAAAGAGTGGAGGTTCACTAATGAGCAATGTTCCGGCGGGTATGGCTTTGGAAGCTACAAGACCTTTGCCTTTGGACGGGATTGCTTCTATGGTGAAGAGATCTGTATCGGGAATCCCCGTAGGAACAGTTGTTCGTTCTGCAGACATTGCTATGTACTGTTAACCCGAGACCTGATATACTGATCGGGCTGTCTGCAGAACAAAATAACTCGTGAAGGTGCCGGTGATGATGCTGCCACAGATGTACAATACGTGATCAGGCAATTCTGTGCTTGATTTTGGCTGAAAATGCAATGAGATCTCAAGATGGACTAGCGCAAGCTGTGGTGTTGGTGTTATAGGGATGGGGTATCGTGATGGCAACCAGAGGGAGAGCAGGAATTTGTGCCTTGGATCCAATCCCCGCGAACTTTTTGAGAGTCAACCAACCTTAAGATGCTAGAGCCCAATCAGATTTGTAGCAGGTGTGGGTCTTTGGTGCAAGTCTGACGATATGACAGTATAAAAGGAGTGGTCCCACAGTACGTTTGTTATTAGACTACAACGTGCATTCATTCATTGCACGATTCTGGAGTACAGAAGTCATGTTTGGGGTGTTGGGACACTTGGGTCAATCGAGATATGCCATGTCGACCCCCAATCAAGTCCATTTCAGAGTTGGATACCTGATCATCGTCAAGTGGTAGAAAGGGAGCAATGCTTGACCGAAGTTGGAAAAGAAGAAAGAGAAAAAAAAAAAAAGCATGATCTTACAAAACAAAAAAGTATAGGGATACTACAAGACGATCATTGGACTGCGACGTTTTGATCTCCAATAAATACATGCTGTTTTGGGTGCGACATTGAATGTCCGAGCCAATAAGCAGCCAGCTACTCCCATCCATCAGCACGTGATATGTCGTCTATACACCGGGAAATGGATTGCCTATTTGAGCCAAACGTACTCCGGTAAATGCTCTATACATAATCCTTACATGAAACTTTTCATGGTTCTTCTTCTTGTTGTTTTAATATGAACCTATCGTGACCTACCAAACCGATTAGAGAAAACAATAGCACTCACTCTAAACATGCGTTCCACTGCAAACATCGACGACATTCAGCCAAACACCAACTCGCAACTCACGATTGCTCAAAATAATGAGAAACCAGACCTCTCCGCCAGTACAGAAGAACAAGAACAACCAGCCCTCGATATTGTACCGAATGCGCCTAACCTCAACGAGGTTACTTGGGATGGCCCTGATGATCTCAATGACCCCCGCAATTGGTCTGTAGCCAAACGGGCCTACACTATAGCAGTGGTCATGTGTGTTCTCATGTCAACGTAGGTTGTGTTCCGTTCAATCATTTTCATTCGCCTTCTAATCAGCGTCGCAGCTCTATCGCCTCTTCGGCCATTGCTCCTGGCATACCCCAGCTGCTCAAGGACTTTCATTCGGACGATACATTTGCCGGAACTCTCGTCGTCTCCATCGAGGTAAGTATAGTTTGTGCGATTACTAGTCTCTGATGGTTGGCTAACCGCTTCAGCTTCTGGGCTTTGGTTTCGGCCCGCTGTTCTTTGCGCCCATGTCGGAACTCTACGGACGACACATTGTGTACAATCTCGCCAACGTGGCATTCTGCCTTTTGACCATTGGCTGTGCTCTCGCTCCCTCGCTCGACTCTCTAGTGGCGCTGCGATTCCTCCAAGGGCTGGCAGCGTCCTGTTCAAGCAGCCACGGCGGCGGCACTATTGGCGACCTTGTCCCGGCCCACCGCCGAGGTGCCGTGACGTCCGGCTACACCTGCGCCCTCTTATTCGGTCCTACACTCGGTCCCATATTCGGTGCGTATTTGACCAGAGCAAAAGGATGGCGCTGGGTGTTTTGGGCGATTGCCGTGGTCAACACGGGAGTAACTCTGCTATACATGTTTACGTGTCGAGAGACATATGGACCTGTGCTCCTCAAGTGGAAGGCCAAGAAACTGAGAAAAGAGACTGGCAACCCGCTCCTGCGAGGTCAAGGTGAACAGCTATTGCCCGCGGCAAAGTTGCTGAGAAGGTCCATCATCCGGCCTACCAGAATGCTTTTCCTGTCGCCGATTGTGGCGGGCTTGTCGCTGTACATTGCGACCGTCTATGGTCAAGTTTATCTGCTCTTCTCCACCTTTTCCTTTGTCTTTACAGATCAATATGGATTCACCGAGGAAAACAATGGCCTCACATACCTGGGCCTGGCGATTGGCATGCTCATTTCGCTTCTTATTGCCGGTATCGTGTGCGACAGGACTTATCAACACCTGACCAAGAAATACGGCGAGGAAAAGCCAGAGTATGACAAATTTATAATCTTTAGCTGAAACTTTTGTCCGCTGACCCTGATTAGATACCGCCTCGAGACATTGATTTGGGGAGCAATCGCAACTCCGATCGGTCTCCTCATTTACGGCTGGACAGCTCAGTACTCGGTGCATCCAGCAACCCCAATTTTCGCGACTTCTTTTGTGGGCTTTGGTGTGACATTTACTTTTGTAAGTCCAAAGTATCCTTGAGAATAACAAAATGGCATTGATTCATGTATCTTCGGCTCATGCGTTGGTAGATTCCCATACAGGTGTATCTGATTGATGCTTATACCAAGTACGCTGCAAGTGCGACAGCTGCCGCGAGTGTGCTGAGGGCCATTGCCGGGGCGCTTCTGCCGTCGGTTGGCTTGCCCATGTATCACAGACTTGGTCTTGGCTGGGGAAATACCTTGCTGGCGTTCATAGCGATCGGTCTCTCGGGGTTGCCCTTGTTATTTCTACGGGTTGGAGAGAAATGGAGGACAAGATTCCCGGTTGAACTTGAGTGAGCTCATGGTCAGCAGTCGCGCTGACCGGGTTGCCCTGGAGGAGACCCTACTTTGGCTTGCACCAAGAGAGGTCCAATTGGGATATTGGATCGTCATTCTATTTGGCTGCTCGGTGCCGATCGTACTCAGACAAGCAGAGGATGCTAGGAATTATCATTGGCGAATCGTTGGCGAGACATATGTGCATGGCAAGATGTATAGTGAGGCATTCAATAGATTAGATGAAAATGCATTGGTGGAAAGAATACTTGAGTTCTGTTTAGTTCTAGATGAAACCTGGGCAAATGATTTGAGAACCAGTCTCTTGTGGAGCCTGAGTAGTCTTGCAAAGCTTTCTCCCTCCTTGCAATAGCACAGTGCGGTCATCCACAGACTCTGACTCGTAACACTTTGAGGTTAAAATAGAAAGGCACGCTGTATAATGAGAGATGTGGCCCGGGTGGAAACGCATTGAACCATATACTCCTATGTAATGCGCGATTGACTCTAGGTCATGATGTGATTTTTCAAATTCCTTTTCCTCTCTATTGTAATGACAAGGGAAAACTGCCCTCGACACCTCCTTCTCTCCCAGATCTCAGGAGGAGGGGAGCTTTTCCAAAGCTGTTTGCTTCCCTTCAAAGACGCTGATGATGATCTGGAACAATTTCCGGAATCCTATAATGACTTCCTGGCAATAGCTGAGATTGAGCTGATTCAGACAAGCAGGTGACCGCCCCGTGAGCCGCCGACTCATGGTGTCCTTGGCTAACTGTAGAGACCTGGCATGTCCATCTAAAACATCCAGCAAGGAACTGGCTCTGGTCACCAAATTCATGACAAGCACGGCATCCAACTGCTGCTCGCCATCCTTTGCAGCGTATACTTGATGGTTGCTGATATTGACCCCCGACTTTGCAATTAGGTTGAAACAAAAGGCTGTCTGCTGGAACGCGGTCAGAATGCACACCACATCAACCGTGCCGAGGTGGCAGTCGAGGCAATTGGCGGCAGCGCTGCACTGATTGATGATGTCGTCTGTCACCCTAAACATTCTGCCCAGCCGCGGGTTGGGCTTCTCTCTCATGGCTGCCTCAAGCGCCGGAATCTGGGACATGAATCCCAGTCGACAAGTACATTCGCTTCCGCCCTCGTCAACCTCTTCGCCTTGCCCCAAGATTGCGCTCGGAGATACTCCCAAGTGTATCGTGCCGTCCACGTTATGAACAATCTTATTGGGCTATTGTGACAGTGAGCGTTAGTAAAAGTATATCATTGGATCTGGATCTTGAAGACTCACATCAATACTGGGCTCATCCGTGAAAGTCCAATCGAATTGCTCTAGAGCACGGACGAAAGCATCTTCTGACCAGTCTGTCGTGTCTTGTAAGGCATCACAAAAACCAAATTCATGACTTGGGGATACAAAGTCTTGATGGCTCCTGCTTGAATCGTTGTCGCCATTGATGTTGCTAACTGAACTCGCATGGGCCGGGCCTCCTCGTGGATGATGCGCTTCCGTGGTCCCTGAGTCGGCCTGTTGGATAGGCGTGTATATACATTGAATGTCGCGTCCCTTGCATCGCGCACAGCAAGGTTTAATACCATTGCATTTGGCTTTGGCCTGGCGGCACTGTTGACAGGCCGTCTGGGGCCGCCGCGTTGGTGTCTTTCTTGCGTGGCCATTGACGGGTTCCCATTCAAAGACTGAAAGTCCTGGTATACTTCGGCTCGCTGAGGGTTTCTGCTCTGATGATGATGCCATTGTGGGAAAAAGTCTTGGTAAATCGTTCATGCAACTCAATTAATGCCGGTTTATAAGAGCAGATCCCGCAGCGCCCGCACTTTATCAGAACCCCTGAATACAATGCTTAAGATTGTCCTCGAGACTGAAACTATATCGTGTTGGCTAAACTTCATTTCTATAAGTGGTTCCAATATCGTGTGGTGTTGATTATGTAATCCAAATAATCCTGGAATTCTGCTTCCAGCAAAACAGTCCCTCTCATATAACCCCGCCATACTCAAAGTCGACGTCGTGGGCATGACGCCACTCGGAGGTTCAGATTCGCCATGCTGGCCGGCAGTGTGTTTGCGATATCGACCTCAAAATTTCAAACTTCGCAAACATTTCTACATATGTGTCAACTTTTCGAATGATGTTGGACCATGTTGCTACAAGACCTCCTATTCATCTATAGGTCGGCAACTCTTCAAGTCGCTCGATAGCCAATTACTGTGAATAGCACTTCAGGACGTGACATGCAACTCCAAGGACTATAGACAAATATTCATTAAATCAATTATTTCCAGTGCAAAATAATGTATAGAATTGTGCAAGTAGGATGCACAAGAGAAAGCGCTGGGATTTGGGGTGTAGTATTGCGGTTGGAAAATCATACAGTTTAACAAAAGTTTTTACTACTCTGCCAATATGCGGCAACGATCCTCTGAGAATTGCTTAGTCGTGACATGTTGACTATGCTTCCAAGCTTGAGTTCCAGGTTGCCAGTTTGTTTAATCATGTGAATACAACGCATGCTGCAGAGGTTCGACATTGGTTAAGATTTCTTCAACAAACGCTAGACCATACCCTCGCACCAACGCCACTTGTGCCAACACGACTTTTTACATCATGCTCACTTCATCCCATTATACAATGATACATGCATGTCAATTTCATTTTATTGTCAGTGGTTTATTTCCTTCTGCACAAGAAATAGGCTGTCATGTCCATTTCTCAGCTTCATCACAAAACCAACGTGACAAGAATCAATAGTTCCATCTCACCCACATACGTGGCGTGTGGCTTGCTGACCATGAAGAAAAAGTTCCAACGGTGAACCCACGGGGAGGGGCGAAGACTATACCGAATCCAAGAAACACCACGTCACGAAAATCGCCTGCAAGATGGAACTTGGTGTTGCTGGACTTTTTCTGTTACCCCGCAATATTCAATGTAACCATGAAAAAAGCCTCTCAACCTCCTAGACCGCAACTCTTCCATTTTTTTTTCCTTGTCTGTCTTACCTGCATGAGGCTGACTCTGTATAATGTTCCACGACATATATATTTCCTCCTTTGGGTTAATTTTTTCTTCTCACCTCGCGCAACATGAGTCCTCGACGACGTGTTTAGTTGACCCAAGTGCGTGTCCGGGTAGCGGCAGCACAGAAGCCCACAGATGACCAAGAATAAAAAAGAGGCGCTTACGCTACTGGGAATAAAGAAAGAGGCGTGGCACGTGGACTAGATCACAAAGAGGGGGTGTGTGTGGGCACAAAAGCACCACCGACGTCAGATCTTCCGCTCACACCAAAATTCACCTCCGCCAAATCCTTGGGGGGTTGGTTAGCTTCGCTTGCCAGTTGGATACATCATACTACGCATGTAGTTGGAACTAGATTTTGTCCATACTAAAGGGATCTGCAGGGAGGCAGAAATAGTTTTCTACTAGCTTGGCAAAAGTTCGTATTTCCAACAGCCTACTTGCACATAATTGGGGGAGGCAAAATAGAAACATGTCGTCGGTTTTCTTTTGGGATTAGTATTAACAGTTCTTGGAACCACTATTAGATAAGATACCGATCGGGGGATCTGTGCAAGAGTAGATGCCCTCTTTCCCACCATGATCCAGTCCAGTTTGAACGCCAGTTCCCCGTGAATGATATCATGATTGCATGCTTTGAACCCGGGCGCACGTTGGCGCTTATACCCGTACTTGTGATGCAAAATGAGGAAGTTTTTCGGTTTGTGCAAAACTGTTGTTTTTTTAAGAAAGAGATTGTGGAGACAAGATAGGTATAAAAAGGGATAATCAATAATTATTACTATTTTCTATAGATCAGTAGGTGTATAGGTAGCAGATGGCACCGTTTTCGGTGTCAATAATGTCGCGGACCGTGACGTCGGGACGGAGACCCTGGACGCTGATAACGGTGTCGAGGGTGAGCGGGGTGCAGGGCGAGTTGCTGTCGATGCAGCCCGTGATGGACGTCTTGCGGCTGGCGTCGCCGTTCTGCCAGAGCCAAAAGTTGCGGTCGACAAACAGGTGGTGCATGAAGAAGACGGGGTCCGAGGGCGACGACGACACGTCGGCCATGACGGAGCCGATGCCGTTGTGGCCGTAGGCGTGCGGGCCCAGCTCGGCGCAGTTCTCCATGTCCGGGTACGCTGTGCGCGAGTTGCACGTGTTGACAAAGTCGGCGTTGGACTGTGCCGTCAGGGACTCGTCCACGGCCCGCGACAGGCAGTGGTCCGTGTTGCCCGTGCCGGGCCCAATGTGGCAGATGTGGTTGGCAAAGGCCTTTTTTGAGTTGGGGTTAGCTTGGGAAACGAAAACTCTCATGTAGAAGTCTAAACACTTACACCATCGGTAATGCAGGTACCCTGGCCATTGGTAGCTCCCGGCAGGCTTCCGAAGAAGTCGGCCGTGAAGATGGAGGAGCCGGCAAAGTTACCGGCGTCAAGGGTCTCATCCCACCACGGGAAGGCCCGGTCAAAGCCACACTCGTCCCTCATGATCTGCTCCAGGACCCACACGTAGTAGCGGTGCCAGAAGAGGAAGATGTTGTTTCCGTGAATGGTGCTGGTCATGGCCTGGTGCACGCGGACGATATCCTCCCATCGGTTCTGGGCCGGGGGGTAGTTGCCCGAGGCCGGGGCGTTCATCAGACAGCTGACGGCATTGACAAAGGCGTGTCTGTCCGTGTCCGAGTAGTTCCTCCACTCGAAGCGGATGTTGGGGTTGGGACACGATGCCGAGGCGGCCTGGACAGTGTTGACCTTGGAGAAGGATTCGGTGGTCTCAGAGTCTTCGCTGGAGCCCTTGCTGGGTGCTATGCTCAGAGCATTGGCAATGGCATCGGCCACACCCGAGAAGTCATCTGCGATCTCGCCAACAATCTTGGAGAGACTGCCATTGTGTGACTTGACGATGCCGGACTTGGCATCCTCGAGCGACAAGGTCTCGAACCATCCAAACTGGTCCAGGTCGAGGGGATCAGCGTCGAGTCCACGCTTGTTGGGGCTGGTCTGGGGCAGCGTGAGCGCAGACGCGACAGCACCGCACAGGGCGTGCGATGACACTGTTGAAAACTTCATGATCCGCTTCTGTGTTTCTTTCTTCCCACTTGAATTATTCGGAATCCTTTCTCTGATGGAGTATACACGGACGATCTCTCTTTATGAAAGGTAACAGAAAGAAAATAAAGGACCCTTGGATCTATTATAAGATCGCCAAGTGAACGTGCAGGAAGGGCGGCAACACAAGGCAAGGGTTGTGCAAACGAGCGGCAGGCGAATATGATAAAGATCGCCACGGGGACTTTGAACTTGCGTTGAAGAAACAATTCAGGAAAAAAACAGACACATGCGGGCGGGTATACTTTTCTATTATAAGGAGAACTGGTTCTGCGGCTTAGCGTACCGATCGGGGGAAAGCCAAGGACCCAAGACGATAGTAGGAGAGGGTCACCGCCGCTGACTGACCCCATCCTAGCCAGCCCAAGGGCCGAGCAGACCAGGGGGGGCTTCGAGCGACGGTTGAACCGGGGTGGTTCTGCGATGAGGAGGAGGCGTTGAGACTGGTCAATACTAGCCCGACGCTCTGGTCCACATGAAGTGGAAGATTGTCAATCTATCCTACGGAACATGGCTTCGCGCTTGATTTGGGCCATGCAGACGCCATGCATCATCCGTGACAGGTGATGCGCAGTGAGCATTTGGTGTGGTGGGTGTGGATAGCGGAGAGAACATGGAGTATTAGCACCGTTGAATAGTCATTTAGCTGTACGAAGTACATTACTTTACGATGGGCAATGCGTAGCTAGATAGGTAGCAACTTTGGAAGGGTGTGTGTGGACGAATGATGATGATGAGGAGGAGGAGGAAGATGAGGAGTCATGTGTTGATGACATGATGGGCGGTTGTCTGCTGTCCGTCTGTCTGGCTCGCGGCGGCAAGACGAATGTGATTGAGCAATAGGCAGAGAGCGCGAGCGTGTGAGCAGATCAGCAGAGTAGACAGCAGAGAGAATGGCAAAAAGGGCCTTGCCTACATCACACAGTACCTCTCAGGGCGTTCGGTTGGTGAGGAGGAGTTGATGAACGACAGGACAGGACAGGACAGGATAGGACAGGGGGGGGCCCAGGGTAGCCTAGCGGTGCCTGGCTAAACCACAAGTAGATCGGATCGACCAAGTCTTCATCTTTTGGGAGAATCCTGGTCTGCTTAGCGCAGGAAGTAAGGTTACCTGAAGCGCGGCCAATCATGAGTCGTAAAGTGAAGCATAAAGAAGCGAAACTAATGCCCGAATGAGGCTGGTGGCTTGGGGAGTTGTGGTAAGATGGATCTGAGGTGCAGGACGACGTGGAGATGTGTGCTGATGGGTAGTACTACTGTTGGACAGGGGTGGATAATACGAACTGCCAAATACGAAAAGCCAGCAGAGAGAGTGAGAGTGAGCCAGCGCTCGCCAGCTTGGTTGGGGGGGTGTGCAATTGACGAATGATGAATCCTCTGGGCTTCGGAGATTTTGGTTGTGATTACATAGTACTGTCGTCGTCTCTTGTGTGTTTTCCTCGGCTTGTTCTCCGTGCCAACCAATCCATTACTGTACATGATCCCATAGGCGAATTACATGCAGTATGTAATGTACGTATATGGATTGATGGCGTCGAAATCAAAGAATGCAGTGCATACACATCCTACCTTAGGTACACAGTAAGCAAGCCAGCAAGTGGTATTCGAGATGCACTGCACCTGTAGAAAACAACGCGCCAACTGTCTAGTGTGCCTCAGCCAAAAGGACTGAAGAGCAATAAGTCACAGTATGATGTATCCTATTCCCTGTTTAATGCCTCGCTTTTGCGCTCCGAACTCCGAAGCCGTAACGTAACAAGATCTCTTTTTTCCTTCGCTTCTCCCTTATTCTTCTTCTTCTTTTGCTTTTTGAGTTAGATGCAAGATAGTCAACTGGCTGAGACCACTTTGCTGCATGCATGCATACCCTTTAAAAATGTCTGTACCTGCGCAAAAAAACTGCGTGGCCCTCTAGTAAATAAGGGTGGGATAAGGTTAAAGCGACCTGAAATCCACCCCCTGCAGCTAGGCTTTTTTTTTTCTTCTTCCTGCTGTTCAGGTTCCGTGCAGAGACATGTCAAGCAAACGTCAGTCAGTTCAGAAAGCCAAGAACCGAGAGACGATAAGACGCCGGCAGTTTACTTTTTAGTTTTTCTTCTAATAAGAGCCCAAACACAATCAAAGGGGGACCCACGGCGGCAAGGCAAAAAGTCTTGGTGGTTCTCCTATGCTGCGAATGGCGAAAGGCGCTTTTCAGCATGAAAAACAAGTGTCTCGTCATAGATTATCGAGCCATGCGAGAATGAGAGGTCATCGTTTAATGGGTTTTTTTAGACTTTTCCCCCTACAACCCACTCGTCCACATACCCGCCCGGTATGCAAGTCAGGTCCTCGCATTACTGCGATAAAAAACGGGAAAAGCCATGCGCGCGCTTGTCCAAAGGTTGACGCCGACCTATTGCCCGATTGAGACGACAGAGGAAGAGAGAGAGAACTTGATTCTTCTTGGCAGCCTTCGGTTAAACGGCCGCGGCGGCTTTCTGTTTTCTGTTTGTCGCCTGTAATTTTTTTGGTCTCCTTCTCGGTGATCTTTTTTCGAGTCAGACGAATGAGCATGCCAGAAAGCACATGTCGGTTCTGGCCAGCGCATGTGCCAAAATAGGCATGGTAGACAGACCCATCCATCACTTGAGAGGGGGGCGCAGGGCAGAGAAAAAATGGAGCCCCCAGTGGATGACAATTGTCAATTCTTATCACTGTTCCCCGTATTTTGAGATTTGGCATTTGTTGGAAAGGGATCCTCTCATGCATCTCTCCTCCCGTATCTAGGCCGAGGGATCCATACAACTCATTTCTCTATTCTCGTCCTCAATTTAGAAAAACGAAAAACAATCCCTCACAGAAAAGATCTGGGCAAAAGTATTCCCACTGTTATGCCGAGGGGGAAAAAAACAAGGTGTGTGTTATGGAGTCTGAACGTGCTGAACCGAGAGACAACGCATTCATCTCGAAACAAGGCCAGGGCTGCAGCGTGCATGCAATTTTTTACTACTACAGTACTACTCACTCCCTACTGGACTACTACTACTGTACTGGCAAAAGCGCGCAGCGCATGTCGTATCTGACCGTTGACGGGTCCGAGCTGTTTGGCTTGACAAGGCACGAACTCTAAAACAAAACAAAATCGTGAGCTGAGCACCGTAGTGCCAAGAAGGGGGTATCTTTTCTGCCCACCTCCTTTCAATCCACCATTGTTCTGGATTGAAGTTCTTTTTTCCTTTCCCTCCCTTTTAGAACATGTCCACAAAAAAAAGAAAAGTGCCCACTACAGTCAACGCCACCCGCGCCGCTGGAGCCGATCCCACTTCGGCAGGCAGGAGTAAATAGATCACAAACACGGCAGCATCTTTTTTTTTGGCCAACTCAATCTACTGTTTTTTCGTCGGTGATAAGGCAAGACCTTGTCTTTGATGATGACAATTGCGTGGCATCATACGAGCAAAAAATCCCCACGAGGTTGCGCGTTTTAATTATTCTCTCTATTCCCGTGCCGCTGTCTGTAACTATACTGGTTGATTGATTTTTTTCTCTCTTACACTCGTCTCTCCCCTCACAATGGCGCCGCCCCTCGGCAGTGTCGGTTTAAATTACGCGGAGTGATGGTAAGTCATTAGCCTGTCAGACGAGGGCTTTTGGTGTCCGTCAGCCAGCATCGTCATCCCGCGCGACTGCTTCTTCTAGCGGCCCGTCGTCAGCAGAACCAACACCCGACCAAAAGAAGAAATAGGCCGCGACTGGTCGGTTCATGCCACAAAAAAAAAAAAAAAAGCATACAGACAGCAAACTATCGTCATACATCGTATCCCGTCTTTATCGCGCCGTTCTTGCACGCCTCCCGTCTTGCGATCAATCTGAGTCGTCATCAAGGGTAAAGGCTCCTTGTAGTCTGTAATCAAGTCCGAAGCTCCGAGCTCGCAATTATGTTCTTTGTTTCTTCCTTTCAAATCCTAGATCCGGGCTTGAGCTTGGGAAAAAGACCCTTGATTGAATAGTTCTTTCTTCAAATGTGTCCTTTTTTCCTCTATTGAATGTCCTCATCAAGTGACCCATGCACAGGGCATTTCAGAAGAAATGACGTTGGTCCGAGAACATTCAATATCGACTGAAACTAATGATTAAACTCAATATCGACAAATCAGTCATCAAACGCAGATAAAATGCATCCAGCTAAATAGAGCTCCTGAACCCCAGCAGGATGCAGACCTATGCAATGACAAACAGTGGACCAAGTCCATTTCACAGACAGAATAATCTAAGCAGATATTGCCAGAGAGAGACAAAAGTTTACGCCTACAAAACGCAGCCTGCATCTGAGTGTCTAGATAGATTGCATGCAATGCGCCGAATATGCCCGCAGAGGATGCATCGTGCTCTACTTTCCACCTGTCCCTAAGTCCGAGACTCGATCGCCGCTTTGATTGCTACAGATAAAACGTCAATATCGGTCATAGGGTATGAGGCTAATCAGACACTCACCGTCACAAGTCACCTTGGCATCGCCAAAGAGCATCTTTGTCCCAGGCATGTAGAACATGGGATTCGGGACATCGGCTGAATTTTCTCTTGTCAGTGAAACATCCGACTGTTGAAAAAAATTGGATGGATTCTTACCGTAGCCAGAAGCCATACCCCGCTTCATCACTATGACTTGTTTCGCCTTCCAAGCGTGAAGCACCGGCATACCAGCGATTGGGCTGTTTGGCTCAAGAGCAATAGGATTGACTGTATCGTTAGCCCCAATGACCAGGACCAGGTCTGTATCAGGGAAGTCGTCGTTGATTTCATCCATCTCTAGCACAATATCATATGGGACACTGGCTTCAGCCAGCAAAACGTTGCATTGCCCAGGCATGCGACCGGCAACGGGGTGAATAGCAAATCGGACATTGATCTTCTTGGACCGCAGTGTGCTGACGATCTCGCTGAGGGCATATTGCGCCTTTGCCACTGCCATGCCATAACCAACAACAATGATGACGTTTTCGGCATTTGTCAGTGCTTCAGCAGTGTCGTCGACATTGGTCTGGGTAATCACTCCTTCCACCTTGTACTCTGTCTCGACCGGCGCCGATATACCGCCAAAGAGGACATTGGTTAGAGATCGATTCATGGCGACACACATGATGTACGATAGGATTGAACCAGATACGCCTATCAGGGCACCAATCGTGGTAAGTAAGGGATTATCAAGCATGAAGCCCTCAGCCACGAGTGCAAAACCACTGTAAGCATTCAGCACCGTGATGACGACAGGCATGTCTGCGCCTCCAATTCCAGCTGTCGTCGTAAAACCCTTGGCAAACGACAGTATGGTATTTGCACTCAATGCGAGTGCAGCAATCATTGGAGACCCCGGCGCCATTGTGACGAACGCACCCATGGTGGCAAAGTTTCCAGCCAACATTCCAGAATTGATCAGATGGCGTCCGGGAAGGCGTAGTGGCCGTGAGGACATTTTCCCAGCCAGTTTCAAGAAGGCGACAATGGATCCAGTGAATGTAATACCACCGATGAGCACGCCAAGGTATGCAGTAACGAGATGTAGGGTCGTTACGTGGGACAAATCGCCCATGACACTTCCAATGCTCGTGAGCACGGCAGCTAGGCCGACCACGGAATGAAGAGCCGCCACAGTCTGAGGCAGGTCAGTAGGTATGATCCGACGGCCAATGACGAACCCAACAACGGAGCCAATGGTAGCGAGCACGCCAAACTGTGTCAAGACCTCTGGTGAGAAACCGACAGCTAGGAGCGAGGCAAGGATGCCAGAACCGACACCAAGAATACCAAGAATATTCCCCATGCGAGCTGTCGCTTGGGAGGCTAGGCCCGAGAGGGAGCTGATACATAGGACCGAGCTCACGAGGTATCCAGCCTGCACCAGCCCGGCCGCGCCTGTTGAAGCTGCAGCTAGGAAGCCTCCTCCAAACAATGCAGCCGGGACAGCATAGAGCCATGGATATTCAGGTGGGTCAGTGGGACCTGGGTATGGTAAGCAAAATAACAGAAAAGGATCAGAGTAGGTCCTCACGTTTGAACATGTCCAGCATTCGCTTGGTGAGGACAAATCCACCAGAGACGTTGACAAAGGCCAAGAGTACGGATACCGCACCCAGGACCTGGGGAAACGTTTCGGGGAGATAACCACCTCCCATGACAAAGAATCCGCCAACACCAACCATTCCTTGCAAACATTAGCCACGTATTAAATGGAGCAGTATACCGAACTTACCAGATATGGCGTTGGTGACACTCATGAGCGGCGAGTGAAGGGCAGGCGTCACCCCCCAAACAACTCGATATCCAATGAGCGAGGCCAAAGCAAAAGTGAAAGCATTTCCCATGAAGAGTGGTCCAGTCAATTTGCCAAGAGCCAAAGCCGTTCCCATTCCAGCAGTGACAGCAGTGACCTCCCTTGTGGTCTTCTGGAAAGGAGTAATAGCCACCACTTCCTCCACGGCTGCCGTGGGCTTTGCCACTGGTGCTGGTGGGGGAGCAGGCCTTGGAGCAACAGGGATAGCTTCTCCATTCATTGTGACGATGGCACCTCGCACGACTTCGTCTGAAAAGTCAATTCCGTAGGACTTTTCCTTTGGTGCCATGGACAGGAGAAATTTGACAATGTTGTTGGAGTAAAGTGTCGAAGACTGAGTGGGAAGCCGAGAGGGGAGATCAGTGTAGCCTGAAAAGTGTTAATGGCGATGTACAATATTGCCGACAACTCTTTTACTTACCAATGATTTTGACGCCATTGTGCGTGACCAGCTTTCCAGCTTCAGTCTTTTCGCAGTTGCCACCAGCCTCAGCAGCTAAATCCACAATGACGGAACCGGGCTTCATGATTTCTACCATGGACTTTGTGATCAGTTTGGGGGCGGGCTTCCCGGGGATCAGAGCAGTTGTGATGATTATATCAACCTCTCGGGCCTGTTCCGTAAAGAGTTTCATTTCAGCTGCGATGAACTCGGGAGACATTTCTTTGGCATAGCCACCGGCACCGGAGCCATCTTCCTGAAGTTCAACCTCGACGAATTCAGCGCCCAGTGATTGCACTTGTTCTCTAGCAGCAGACCGTGTATCAAATCCGCGAACAATGGCTCCCATCCTCCGCGCCGTGGCAATTGCACTCAGTCCAGCGACGCCAGCACCAATTACAAGAACCTTGCAGGGGGGGATTTTACCGGCCGCAGTGACTTGACCAGTCAGAAAGCGCCCAAAATTGTTGGACGCTTCCAGAACAGCCTTGTAGCCAGCAATATTTGCCATGGAGCTCAGTGCATCAAAGACTTGGGCACGGGAAATACGCGGAATCATGTCCATTGCGAACGAGGTCACATTACGGGCAGCCAGTCGCTGGACAATGTCCGGATTCTGAGCAGGCTGCAAGAATGAAATGATTGTTGCACCCTCCTTGATGCGATCAATCTCGGCAGTGTTTGGCCCTCGGACCTTGAGAATAATATCGGCCGCGGCCCAGACGCCGCCAGCTTCGACGAGCGTCGCCCCTGCATTCTCATAGGCCTCATCAGGAAAGTCAGCCAGCGTACCAGCGCCGCGCTCAACAATGACTTTGGCAAAGCCCTTCTTCTTCAAAAGTGTCACATTTTGAGGTGTCAAGGCCACGCGACGCTCATTGGCAAAAGTTTCACGTGGTACGCCAACCGTAATGCCATCATAGGGCGTTGAGGGCGGCTCTACAACCGTGGAGTAGGCGGTCGTGGGGATGATGCGAGATGAAGCTGATGCTGCAGGCTGACGGCATTCATGCTTAACAGCCGCTGGTAACACAACAGGCTTCCTGACGACGGTACTGTGCCATTGCTTCTTCTGCTGCTGGCATGAGATGGTGAGACCCGCGATTGGCTGCGTGGCTAAGAGGCGTGCTTTAGTACAGGGAATACACTACATACATGGTGCTTACTGCCTATAGCACAGATGGCGGACAAATAAGGCGGGTGTGTGTGAATGTGTAAGTGTGTGTGGGAGAGAGGAACGAACGCATGAACGACCTAGATGAAGAAGAGGCCGCTACTGGGTAGGTATGTAGGTAGGCATGGATGGGGATTGGAGCGTCGACGAACCTAAAATGCGCGACGTTGCAGCTCGGGCGAGCTGTTCAGTCGCGCGTGAACTGACGCTGCTCGCGACCAATGCTGGCCGCAGGACCGGATGGCATATCATGGCTGACTGCTAGCTACTATGCTGCTGCTGCTGTGAAAGAAGTAAAGAGGAGGCGAGCACGATCAAAGTTGACTGCCTGGATGACAGGGCCGGCCAAGGCAATCACCCGTCATTCATTCGCAATTGAGCTGCTCACAAGAACAGATGGAAACAAATTGAAAAGAAATTTAACTCTGGCAAAAAAAAAAAGAATGCTAGCAAGAGAAAGTGAGAGGAAAACAATCGAGAAGGGACAAAAAATACGCCACGCGGGGAGTAGTTGCAAGCTGGCACGGCTGGGCTGGGTGAATTGGATGGACCCTGAACTCTAGCTTTCTGCCTTTCACCAATTCTCCCAACCTACCTCGCCAGCATTACCTGGTTCTGCATTACCCAGATTCATCATCACCCGAGCCGAATAACCACCAGTACAGTCGACAGGTCATCACAACAGGCGCTTGGTCTCTTGTTTCCCCCTCTTCCGCCGCCCCTCTCTCTTCCTCCTCTCTCCCCGCTCATCCCCCAAGTGGCTTTCTACATATACTGGCGCTTGGGGTGTGTAGCAGAATAGGATGTTCATGGAGCGAGGACGAATGAGATGACGCCGAGAATAGCACAAGGCAAGGTTGTGATTGGATCGGCGAGAAAACGACCGAGCAGTTGGAGATGGACGACACGACACTGGGGGAAATTGGGACCCGGGTAGTCTTTTTTGTTGCAACGTCTCTTTTTGGGATATATGTGTGAATATGCGTAGAGACTCGCGTGCTCTCCCCCCTCTCGCTCTCATGCTATCCATCTTTCCCCCTCATTCCCGAACGAACGTCTGAAGCTCGAATGTGGCACGAGATGGGCGTTTCAATGGTCTGATGGATAGTCCAGCCACCCTGTCCATGACCCTGGGCATCAAAGCAAATGTCTTGTGGGGTTGGTTCAATTGAGCAGCACCAGCTGCGGCCCGCGTCCATTGTTCTCTTGCCAGCGGAGCCTTCTAACTAAGCCCCCCGGAAAGTGCGGGGAAGCGGGGCATCGCTGCTACCTAGGACCTAAATCACGGGTATTAATGGCCTTGTTGTAAATACCACCATCTGAGAGTGATGCACCTTGCCATTACTTTGTTTCACAGGGGGACTGCAATGTTCCCCGGTAAAAAATATATCCCTCAAGTCCTCACCGGAGATAAATGTAGCACCCGAGCCTCATATGTGCTTTGGTCCAATAGATAAGTCTGACAAATTTGCATAACGCGGATGCGCTCTCGACTATGTACATAACTGACCAAGCGTTGCATGTCGCAATATACATTGGATATGTAATGGATCTCTCTCATGATCTAGGTCCCTGACCCGCCGATAACCTTAAAGCACCGCCCGCAAAAGCTTCAAAGGTTTCGCTCCATTGAGGTCCTAGCACAAAGATATTCGTGCACAATTTCCATAATTGACAGCCTTCTTCCTCTTTCGTCATGTTTCGAAAAAGTTTTGAATTGACACAGAAATTCAGGAGGCTTTTTCTTTAGCATTCAGACATTTTTGCTCTGACTGCCTTGGTGCTGATCTCCAACTGATACAAGGCTCTACGGCAAATGCATGCATGTCGCAGAACGAGACAACTGTAAAGAGTCGTAAAAAAGTCGGCAAGCATTTATGTAAACAATAAGATATCTCTTGAGTTCATATATACATTTTATGTGTTCAGAAATAGCAGATCGATATATACAAGGATATGTCTTGGGAAAGAGAAACAATATTGACCATGCCTAGCACGGCCGTATCTAACCAACTCCATCGCTTGCAACCATGTTGTTCATTATGATTTTTGACAATCAACGACCCCAAGCAGCCTCCTGTGTAGACACCTTTTGCGTACGGCTCTTGCCAATGTTCCTCGTCATGATGCCCGCCGCAACAAAGGCAATGGAGATGAGCAGCTCCTCAATAAAGCCGAGGCCGACCTTGTAGCCCATCTTGCCAGTAACGGGACTGAGATCCTGGTTCATGGTGGCGAAATAAACCAAACTGACCAGGATGCGGATTCCGAGAAACGGAATGGCAAACAAGACGGCGTAGAGCAGCCGGTTGCCCTGCTTGATATCGGGGTTGCCGGCGTTGGCCCGGGGCCGCGCGACAAAGGACGTCGCGGCCACGAGAGTGACGAGTATCCAGCTGACGAGGAGGGCCACCATGCCCACCGTGACGAGCCTCTTGTCCCTGGTGCGGACCGCGTCGGTGATGTCGGGCTTGCTCATGCCCGAGGCGCCGGCGGCCGTCAGGGCGACTGCGCCGGTAATGAGTATGTGCAGGACGAGTACCCAGATTCCCTCCGTCTTGCGGTTGAGATTATCGAAAACATAGGATCGGCTAAGGGAGGCAGTTAGTATCAGGGGGTCCAATGATTACCAAAAAGGGTAAAGGCGATACTTACGACTCGTGGACGAGACCTAATGTCGCAAGCAATAATGGTGATAGGCCGATGCTGGCGACCAGAGATGCTGTACTACTCTTGGAGTCTGAGAGCTGCAGTGCGCTGGAGACGATCCGTAGTGTCAGGAAAATAAAAAAGTAAGCCCAGCCCAGGATGGCGCCGTGTCGTAAGCCATGCTTGAAGATGTTGTAAATGGCAGGGAACGATAGCAGGATATCAATAGCCAAGATGGCCGCCGGCAATGAGTGGTCGGTCGACATGGTTGTGGGTCAAGGTGGGTCGGCCTGGTTGTAGATGTATGGTATACCAGGGTTTGCAAGTCCCTTGGGTGTAGTGAACTATTGTAGCTTATTCACTGATGTTGATGATGATGAGTAAAGAGGAATCCTGTGAGATGCGAAAGCCAAGACTTTATAATCATGTATTGATCCAATGTGCCATACAGCCCTGGGGGGACCCTTGGGGGCCGTTTGCAGATGAACTCTTCCATCGCGCGTATTGCAATGTGTGATCACCGCCTAAGAAGCAATAATACATGTGTGATTCCCAACTTAGCCAAGGGGCAGTGCTTCTCTTTTCAGACAAGAGATAGACACCCACGTGGGAAAATTATGGAAATAACGAATAAGGATTCAAGATCGACAAAGGTGTGAACCAGATGAGTTTGACACAGGATGGCGGAGCGATACCCTTGGTTGAGCTGATCAGTACGTGCCGCAAAAAAATGGAGAATACGTGTATTCTGCTCATGTAATAAGGCGGTAGGAATACGCGTATTGGAGCCCGGTAGTGCTTAGCTGTGCTAAAAATGCCGTGCATTACGTCTTTCCGCATCCTGCGCCGCTAGGATGCACTAGTGAGGAACGCCAGCCCCAAATACAGGGTGCAAATATGTCTGTTTAGTGGGAACCTGCCAGCCTGCTTTATCTTTAGGCATACGCGTATTGCATGATTCTGGTAAGCAGACGCCACTGAAGTTGAGAAGTATTCGAGTATTGCGGCAGAATGCGACAAACAGTAATTCTACACCTGCCTCAATCTTCTCCTGCGCCGACGATATATATGAAGGGGGCACAATTGTATGTATGCAATAAATGTATTATTGTTGCATGTGGATGAGAAATATCCCCATCAATGCCTATAAAGCCCGGGACTGTGGTCTTTTAGTGCTGCTTTTGCATCACCAATTCTTCGATATCATGAAAATCGATTAAGCTTCCTTAATAAGACTATTCAAGTCCTCTCACGATATAAGCGCCTTGCCTGCCGGCTGGCTTAGAAACCCTGCTTCTCCACAATCTTCTGTGCATTGGCAATGCTCTGGGCGGCGTTGGGGTCCTCGAAGCCACAGCCAGTCTTTCCCTACATGGTTGGAAAAAGACGAATATTAGCTCCTTGTTCTTGAAATAATCGAAACGCAGCTCATGTTCTTTGACTCACGTTTTGGAACTCGGCACCATTGCCCGAGCAGATGCCCACGGCGTTGCCCTGAGCATCGGTGGCGCCGCCGGCGCAGCATCCCTCGGCGCAGTCGGCATCCGAGACGCAACCTCCGGTAGTGAACTGCTGGCCCTGGCCGTTGCCAACATCACGAGCTCCGGCATCGTTGGGGGTAAGGGCGATGGCGCCGATCGCGACTTGAGTACACATGTCAGCCTACCTAGTCCAAGAGACCACCGGGGCAAAGATTGGATCGGACTTACAAGCGAGAGTTGCAATGATGCTAATGCGAACCATTATGTCTTTTGTAGTGTAGAAACGAATGTCCTGATCCGTAAAAATGAGTGTTATTAGAATTTACGAGAAGCGAAAGGCGCCGGGCCGGAATAGTTGAATGCGATATATTCAAATAAAAGAGTGGTTGATTGACAGGAAGAGCCTTTTGTCAGATGGGTGAATAGATCTTGATATATATATTCTTCATTCCTGGCGTCTTGAATATACGTAAACGTCTGATGAAGCTGCATGTCGGCCGACCTCGATGACGATCATTCCTAGCTTGGCCTTGTCGCTTGAAGCTGCCCCGCGGGCGCTGAAACCCCAGATCAGATGAATCCAGCTCAGCCAAAGCATGGAACGTCGCGGATCCCACACAGCGGAACCACTTCAGACTACAACAATGTTCCCGACAGGGCCCAATAAAAATATGTTACCTAAACAAACTGGCATTGATCCAAACTTCTGTCGACGGAAATCTGTCAAATGTGCCGCCATCCCCTGTGGCGCAGATCGGCGGTTCCTATGCCGGCTGACACCCTTGTGGAGTCATACTAATTGGCCCTGAGCCATGGCAGTCTCATGTCGACTGACCCAGCCAGCCCGTCGTAGCATTGGTCGTCCTGGCTCAGTTCATGCCGCCTCTCCTTTGGGTCCACAAAACAACACAACTGCATAGGAACGTTCGAGCCAGCGACCTTGCGCAGCGGCCGACTTCCGGGCAGGACTTACCCGACACACAGACTACCTTAAGTTTAACTGCATTGCTGGGGCCGTCTTGGTTGTGGGTTCAATGGGGCATTGCGTCGCGCTTGTATCAAGTAGTATGATGATCCGCTCCGTCAAGACTAGAGGTGTTATATGGCGACATGAGGTCTATCGGGAAGAAGTTGAAGAGATCTGTAGTGACCACATCGTTTTGAAAGTACGGAAAGGGGTCAGCGTAGGGCATACTGGAGTCTCCCAGACCAGCCGAGCTGCCAAAAGTCCCTGGATTTGGTACAAAGGGCACGCCGCTAAAGTGGATGAATTGCTGAGATGAATTCGCCGGATTGGCATTGAGCGAAGGAAACTGGGTATTCAGCTGCGGCAAAATCTGGGCGGCAGTTTTGGCGGCTTCATCCGTCACCGTGTCTGGCGCCAAGGACGTCAATTCGGCTGCAGGGTTGTGCGCATTGGTAATGCTGGCTATGGTGAGTTCGACCAGATGCAAGATCTGCTGGACCGAGTTTTGTGTTACTGTGACTGGCTCGTCTTGGATCATGGTACTCAGACATCGCAGAGCCATGTGTATGTAGTCGACATTGTAGGTATGTTTTGCCGGGTGTCGAAGCATGTCATACATGAGTACTACGCAAGCCGCATCGAGAAAGAACGCATTATACCTCAGTGTCTAATACCAATAACTTTAGCGACTTTTCTTGTGCGGATAAAATGGATCGAGCATACCTTGCAGGTGCCCTCTTTCCTATACGACGATGCAGCATATACTATCGAGTCCTGGGCTGCATCGATTGCGTACCTGCATGCCTGTCGAAGCCACATCACATCAGGTTCCTTATTGTCACCAGAAGTGGGCTTCAAGGCAGACTCGGCGATCAAGAATGGCCGATAGGTGAGCATGATCACGTGGTAATAGACTATTGGTTGTCAATGATGAACGCATTGCGATGGGCGATCAGGGAAAGCACTTACCAAAATGCAATCGGAGAGACGCCACCGTTCCCCTGGATGCATGTTTGTTGGGTATCCCGGCGGATCCTATTCCGTTTTGTTCAGCAAATTCTCGGAGACGTGAACCAATCTTCTCGGCAGTAACGTAAAGCTGACCAAGCGAGTCGTATCTTCGTCCATATATAAGCCTTGCTCCATCTTCTGCAATCTGAGCCAGTTTGCACAGACCGACCAGCACGGGTTGTGAGTCTGGAAAGGGTGCTGATATGTCGGACATCTTCAAAGATCCTTCTCTTCCAAGTGCCAGTGCTTGCCACCTAAGTATTTCTCAATTTAGTAGGATATCTCATAGTAAGAACAAATGCATTGCTTACCTTTCATGAAAATACAGACACCATAGAGTCATGCGGCGTTTCTGTAAAATATCTGCCGGAACGCTTATGTGACTTTCCTTGTGGAGGCCCATTGCCAGGGCTTTGCGGCATGCGACGCCGAGATTGATGTATGCAGAATTTGGTCGACCCATGTTGATTTGATATATGGCAATGAGTATTGAAAGCTGAATCATGGATAAACTCGCCATATCATCGCAAACGACTGCCTCTTGTTTTGCTCTGATGAGCAGCAATTCGGCAAGGTCCGTCTCTGTGGTCGTCAAAGCACCGATGGCTAGGATGGCCAGGGTGATTGCCCGTTTCTGCGGAGACAAGGGCGAGTCCGAGCCATCACTGTAAAAGTGATGAAGCAAGTCATCAAGCTCCTGGTTCGTGTATAGTGGTACTATGGACGATGCTGCCTTGAATCCGGCTAAAAACTCGACAGCCTGTCCAACAGGAAGTGCAGACAGAAGGGAAGAATGAGATGGAAGCAGGTTGGCCCGGGTTCGCTGTGGAGTGCCAAAGAAGATGGATCTCTGCACGAAAAGATCCAAACCAGGGCCTCCTTCTGCCACCTCGCGTTCGCCAGAGGTCTGTTGTGTACCGGAACATAAGATCTCACGGTGCAACTGCTGCAGAAAGGCAAATTGGGAAGAGGGCCCGTAGAACAGCCTCGAGCTCTCGACCGAGTCGGCCTCATTACCATGAGTGGCTGCAACGCTCTGGTACAACTGGGCCCGGGCTTGCTCGGTTCTCTCCTTGGGCCTGGAAGCGTCATCACTGGCCTCGGCGATTGATCCTTCGCCCTGAAGCTCATCGATACTTTGATCCTCGTTTAGGGCATTTCTCAGGCTCTGACGTGTCGATTTCCGAATCCTAGCACGTTCCCTATAGGCACAATCGGCGGGCCGCCGTTGGCATCGCCGGCAGGGTCGCTTCCCGTCACACCGCACTTTCTTCTTCCTATCCAGCCATAGGAGTCAGTAATTGCTCTCTCCGGGTCGTACCGGAGCCGAATCAAGAGTCAAAGGGCACGCATTCGAAAATAAGACAAGGCTATCTCTAAAACACACTCTCAAGACATGCCGGAAGGGGAAAGAAATAACACCGAATTACTGACCTACACGGCTCACAGGCTTTAGATATCTTCTCCACGACATCATCCATGGTAGCAGCCAGGGAGCCCCGTTCTGTGTCCCCTCCTCGATGGGTATTGCAAATGCCAAGCGCGTGATTGTAAGCCCGGGGGAAGTGAGCACGCACGGAATTATGGATTTATGAGAGCTGGACGAATCGACGTTGCCGCAGGCACCCGAGGCAAATCAGATCCTTTGCGATTACCAATGACTCTCAAATCGGATCCCCAAAGACAGAGCAAGAGGAGTCTCCAATGAATGCCAGTCGATGGAGGGCGTTATCCTATTGCGTTTCTTTGGGGTCACCTGCACTGTACTGGCTTTACTGGACAGCCGCTGAGAATGCACAGTCGATTGACAGTAGAGACGTGATGATTCAGCCCCCCAATCTCGACTTCACATCTCCGTAAATCCGACATTGGGGCTCTTAGCGCGGCACTTTCTCACTTGGGCCTAGGTTGTTGCTGCTGGCGCCAGTGTGATCAGGGCCTTGCTAATTTCGGACTGTTCCCCACCAACTGCAGCGTGATGTGCTAATTAAGGTATACTCTCTAGTATCGACTGGCGAGCTGGCTATAGGAGCAGGCTGACTAAACCGTACATAGAAGTCCTCGTGCCATTGATGTTGGGTCCTTGAAGGTTTTCTTGCATCAGAATAGTATCCATTCAGAGAAATGTGAACTCAAAGAGCAAAGTGACGAAGTCGGGTTTACGAGTTCCAGTTGCTAATTTAGTACCTTCGAATACCAGTATCAAGCAACTAAAGGGGGCCTCATTCGCGAGTTTATACAGAGAGAAATCTACTTGATCTCAATTCTATTCGAGATTCCAAAAGACTACCATCACTCTGTCGCTACAACTCACTACGGCGTCGTGTAATATTCTCATTACTGGAGCATCAGTATACCTTGGAGGTTCGCTCTTGATGCAAATCTGTCACATCAACCTGGCAGCAAAACTCGATTCGACGACTTGGTGCAGAGCACCTAACATTCGATGCCTAAGATCAATTATCCGTGAGCAAAAGCGATCAGAGAAAATGATGTCTAGGTTGTGCTTCTCATCGACTGCTATACATCCGATAGTGCTGTATGCTTCATCAAAGCGCTCGGTGAATTCCAGAAATAATCTGGCAAGAAGATTCATTCCATTTTTGCAAGTCAAAATTTCTTCACACAAAGATAAGTCTACGGAATTTTCCCAAGACCACTGGAACAAAACAATTTGGCAAACACGCTGGCCCCCCAATGGATGGCTCACTGCTTGATACCAATCCACAGCTGTGGTCTCCAAATGAGGCAATCTATCGTGAGATTCATTTCCTGTCGCATCAGACAGGATGGAATTTACGGTGACAGATGCTTGCTAAAGAATTCCGCAACCTGACGATATCCCCGTTCATACTCTGCCCGATTTTGCTCATCATCCAGCTTCGCCCTCGCACCCATCCAACCGTGGAACATTGAGCTATACGTCTCCACCACACCAGTCTTGCCAGGCTTGGACAGTATTTCTGCGTACTGCGCCACCAAATCGGCAGGTTCTCCAGGAGACGCCAGGCAAATGTACGGCACGTTCAGTGCCTCGGCATCCTGGGCATCGAGCCGACTAGAACTCTGCCATTAGCAGACGTGTTACGAGAAAAAGAAGAAAAAGATAATACTCACGATGGGTGCGCCGTTCCACTCGCGGCAAACCTCCGACCATTTCCCTCATTTCCCTTCCCCGAGACCAACACGCCAACCTTGCCGCCCCAGCACAGCCCAAAGACGGCCCATCCGCCCTCGTCATCCACGGCGCTCCACCGCTCCCCCGCCGCCGCTCGCACCGCCACCAGCCGGTCCACGGCCCGCGCGATATCTGCACGCTCGGCGCGGAACTGCGCAAAGGCGGCCTTTTTCTCCTCCGTGTCCGTCGGCATCCACGCCGGCTGGGCGCGGACGCCCTCGAAAAAGTCCGGGACTAGGACCACGGCGCCCACGGTGGAGGCGAGGCGGTCTGCTCCTTGCAGTGTCTGCGGTGCCGGGCCAAAAATGTCGTAGATGAAGATGATGGCGCGCCGGGCGTCGGGGGACCCGGTTATGTACGTGTTGAGACCCGCGATAGTGTCCCAGCTGCCCTTGGACTTGTAGTCGGAGCTGGCGGGCGGGAGCTTGGCGCAGGCATCTTCGGTCGCAGTGCTGGCCATATTGGAAAGTTTATCACTCTAGGCAGGGATTTAGGGGCCGGTTCTGAAACTGAATTCAATTAGACTGCCAATGACGATGCACGGTTATCTGAAAATATATGAGGGGCTTTATAGTGGTTTCAGGTCCGTGGTCTACTTGTTAGCGGACTATGACGAGCCGTTAGATATGCCGCTCTTGGCATCGGTTGGGTCGCTGAAGCGTGCACGCAATTGGTTCAAGGGTCTTTATTGGATCGCTTGACCGTACTCGGCTCCGAGACTCTCGGATACATCTTAGCGGCTAGAGATATGGCTGGGAGTATCTGATCAGTGCTGCTGGGTAGGACTTGTTCATCGGTCAAGTGCATTCTTTCGTGGGAAATCAAGTAATGGGTATCAGATTCAACTTGTGAAAGTACGCTGCAGTGACAAGAGAATGTGTGTCCCGTATGTAGCCAACGATGTTGAGAAGGCCAGTTTGGCGGGCGGGGTCAAGTATGCTGTGTTTGCTACTGTAGTATTTGTTCGTTGTTTACCCTCTGCCCTTCAAGTGCCCTTCATGTGGCTCGCTCCAACGACTTATAGTAGACCCACCAAGGATCCCAAAGGACCGATGCGTAGAATGATAGAGCAGTATCTTCACGAGAAACATCATTCGCCAAGATGCTCTTTCCCGTTGCAAACAACCTTTTCACCAATTCCAGAATGCGGCTGAGCTCAGCGCTGCTACTTACCCCGCATCCACAGCCTCACGCAATAGGCAGCAATATCACCTGTTCAATGTTTTTTCAAAGCAGAGGCAGCCGAGATGATCACTACAAACAATTTGCATCGCTGCTGCCTCACAATGGCGTTGCTTCTCCATCAACTTTGGCAATTTCAGCGATCGATTTGACACGGTGCGACGATGCGGCTGTTACAACTTGACAGCAATGGCCAGTATAGCCTTACAGCAGACCTCCCTTGCAAGGACATACCTCCTTACGCAATCCTCTCTCATACATGGGGATCAGAGGAGGTAGTCTTCACAGACCTGTCAAAGCCACCACATGACTGGCAGAATAAGTCTGGCTTTGACAAGATCAGGTTCTGCGCCGAGCAAGCAAAACGAGACGGGCTACAGTATTTCTGGGTTGATACCTGCTGCATCGACAAATCTGACAGCATCGTGGTTCAAACGGCGATCAACAGTATGTTCCGTTGGTATCGCGATGCAGAGCGATGCTATGTCTACCTATCCGATGTCTCCAACACCGAAACATCCACGTTGCCCCACGAGTCTCAAGCATTAGAGAAATCATTTCGAGACAGCAAATGGTTTAGTCGTGGATGGACGTTGCAGGAGCTTGTCGCTCCAAAGACGGTTGTGTTCTACTCGAAAGAAGGCATTCGGCTTGGCGATAAGCGGTCGTTGGAGTTTTTGATCCGTGACATCACAGGCATACCCGCAAATGCTCTTCGCGGCACTCCGTTATCCGATTTTACAGTGTCAGATAGAGAGGTCTGGGCTCGCAATCGTCAGACCACACTCGAAGAGGATATGGCATACTGTCTCCTTGGCATATTCGATGTCTTTATGCCATTGATTTACGGTGAGGGACGAGAGAGGGCACAGCAGCGGCTGCGAGAAGAGACTCGGAAAGTCATCCAAGGTAAAAGAAGAATACTAAAATCTATGAAAACTGGAACTTAAAAACTAAGAAGATCAGGAAACCCCACGAGTAACTTCTCCGTATCGTTTAGCCTGTCCGAGGTTCCCGAGACGCAGCAATTTGTCGCAAGAAAAGAGGAATTGGCGGAGATGCGCAGAGCACTCAGTTCAGATGGGAGCCGCCGCATCGTTTCTCTGCACGGTCTCGGCGGCATCGGCAAAACGCAACTCACTGTTGCTTACGCAAAGCAGTACCGAGATGAGTACTCTGCTATATTCTGGTTCAATATCAAGGATGAGACATCTATCCGACAAAGCTTTGCCAAGGTCGCAAAACAGATTTTGCAACAGCACCCGGATGCCAGTCATCTTGGCTCACTAGACTTGGAACGAAACGATAGTGAGATCGTCGAAGCGGTCAAGGCATGGTTGAGCCTGCCAAACAACACTAGGTGGCTTGTTGTATACGACAACTACGACAACCCGAAGCTGCCAAACTCCACGGACACCACAGGAATCGACATTCGACGCTTTTTCCCGGTGGCGTACCAAGGCTCGATAGTCATTACGACGCGATTGTCACAAGTTGATATTGGCTATCGTATTCGAATCAAGAAGCTTGAGGACATGGATGACAGTCTGATGATCTTGTTGGCAACCTCTGGGCGGAGCAATCTTGGACTAGGTATGGCGACTGCAACTACGCCAGGTCTTTCTAACGGTTACTATAGACACGGATGCGAGAAGGCTTATTGATAAGCTTGATGGACTTCCTCTAGCACTAGCTACAGCAGGAGCATACCTCAGGCATGTCCCAATAAGCTTGGGTGACTACCTACGGCATTACGAGAAATCATGGACGAGGCTTCATGCAGACACTCCTAGTCTGGGTTCATACCAAGACCGGACACTCAGCTCTACATGGCAAATCTCCTACGAGCGCGTCAAAGCACAAAATCCACTCGCGGCTCAATTAATTCGGTGGTGGGCCTACTTTGATAACGAAGACATATGGTTCGAACTTTTCCAAGACTCTCGTGATGACGATCCAGCGTGGAGGCAAGAGCTGAATGATGAGCTCAATTTCAATCGTTCGATGGGTATACTGCATAACTACGGATTTGTGGAGCCACACTCTCTGATCTCAGATTATCCAGAATCGAGCGGATATAGTATTCACAGCTGCCTACACAGCTGGTCCATTCACGTGTTGAATCACAGCTGGGATCACGAGCTAGGCAAACTTGCTTTAGAATGTGTAGCTTCACGCGTTACCTCGAGATACGACGATCGGTTCTGGGTGCTCCAGAGGAGGCTTCTCTCACATGCAGACAAGTCTTGCGCTAATATCGATATTCGCGATAAAGACTTGAACTGGGCTTTCTATAACCTGGGGAAACTTTACTTCGACCAAGGCAAGATGAAAGAGGCTGAAAAGCTGAACTTGTGGGCGCTCGAAGGGTATCAAAAGGTTTGGGGACCGGATTATACGGACACACTAGATGCAGTTCATAACTTAGGTCTTCTTTACACCAACCAAGGCAAGCTGCAAGAAGCCGAAAAAGTATATTTACGGGCGCTCGAAGGGTATCAAAAAGCATGGGGGCCAGATTACGCATCGACACTAGAAACGGTCAATAACCTGGGTTCGCTTTATAGCTTTCAAGGAAAGCTGCAAAAAGCCGAGGAAATGTATCTGCGGGCGCTTCAAGGGAAGGAAAAAGCGTTGGGACCGGATCATACATCGACACTGGATACGGTCAATAATCTAGGCTCACTTTATGCCGACCAAGGCAAGCTACAAGAAGCAGAGGAATTATATTTGCGGGCGCTTAAAGGGAAGGAAAAGGCATACGGACCGGATCACACATCGACACTAGAAACGGTCAGTAACCTAGGTGCACTTTCCTCTAAGCAAGGCAAGCTACAAAAAGCCGAAAAAATGTACCTGCGGGCGCTTAAAGGGAAGGAAAGGGCGTGGGGACCGGATCATATGTCGACACTTTCTACGGTTAATAACCTAGGGAACCTTTACGCCAAGCAAGGCAAGATACAAATGGCCAAAGAGATGTATTTGCGGGCATATAAAGGGAAAGAAAAGGCGTTAGGACCGGACCACACGTCGACGCTTTTTACGATTTATAACCTAGGTCTCCTTTACGCAAAGCAAGGCAAGATGCAAAAAGCCGAAGAGATGTATTTGAAGGCGCTTCAAGGGTACGAGAAAGCAGTTGCTCCAGAGATTTTGATGACATATCGGCCGGCAATCAACGTCACGTGGAACTTGGGAAGACTCTTCCGGACCCAAAGTAAGCTAGTTGAAGCCAAACAATTCTGCACCCGAGCTCTTGTTGGCTTAGAACAGTGTTATGGGACGTCGCATCCTGAAGTCCTCTCATGGAGGGAATTTGTCGGAGACCTAGGTAAGGCGTTGTCTACTGAATCGTTAGCTGCCGACTCGGTCGACAGAAATCTATCAGTAGTGCGGAAGGATGATGGTACATCACTGCCAAGTGCTTCTAGAAAGAAGCAACGGGGATCTTTATTGTGAATATCGCATCCTTACGGCGTTAGGAGTTGCTAGCAAGAAGTAATGAAGATTCAAACAAGTACAAATATGTTCTCACCTCTCATATCACACCACATATGCACATCTGAACTTGAGCTGCGTATGTTAAGAACGAAGTTGAATGTGCATGAAATACATTTGCTTAGACACCTTTGCTATATTCTTGATTTGGAAAAGATCAAAGGTTATTGCAGTACTTAGAGTGTATTACACATCATACGGAAATGTCAAATCATGAGATGCTGAGCGGCAATTTAAGCAATGAAGAAAGCTCATCATGGCTCTGCCTTGTTTTTCATCGAAGAAAAAAAAAATTGGTGCTTTCAGGAACGAGCCATATTTAGGCATCCACACAAGCGTCCAGAATTGGCCTCTGACTATAGTTGACATATGACACCCATTCTACCATTTATCGTGTCTCAAAATCATAACCATACACTGGCGCAATTTCAGCGCAATCGCAGCTTAATCCGATTACTCATATTTCCTCCCAATAGTCGGAGCCAAGAAATGTAAAACCTCAAGGCGTTGTTTAAGACTGCCTCCAGGTTCCAAATTCTTCTGACTCTTTCTTTCTTTCTAGGCGGCTGCTCTTTGCTCTCCTGCCGGAAGCTTGCCAATCACATCTTCAAAGAGCTTGGGCAAGAACTCATCAGCTCCGCCCTGAAAGAAGAAGTCATTTTCATCAAGTCCCTCGGCCGACGTGGGGTCCGGGTTGACGACGGCGACGACGGCTCCGCGCCGCTTGGCTTTTCTGGTGTAGCCGGCTGCCGGGTACACGGCGGCAGCGGTGCCAACGACGAGCATGACGTCGACTTTGCCGCGGTAGAGCCAATTGTCCACGCCCTCGAGCATGCCGTCCGGCAGGGCCTCGCCGAACCAGACCACGCCGGGTCGCAAGAGGTTCTTCTTGCCCCGCCGCTCGCAGGCCGGGCAGTGTGGCAGGTCCTCGACCTTGATCTCGGGCGTCGGTATAGCTGGGTTTAGCAGCGGCGCAATCTCACCGGGCGCGGCATCGACAGCGGCCGGGGCGAGGGCGGGACATAGTGGGTCGCGCGTCACGTTGTGCTCAATGTAGCCGCACTTCTCGTCCCAGCACTTGACGTCCAATAGGTTGCCGTGGAGCATGCGGATGCCCTCTTGGGGGTGACCCGCGCGAGGGGACAGGCCGTCGACATTTTGCGTCAGGCAGAGAAAGTTCTTGTTCTTCTTGGCCAGCTCGGCAAGCGCGTAGTGGCCGGCGTTGGGCTGTGCGTTGAGGGCCATGTGCCGCCGCCAAGCGTAGAACAACCAAACCAGCGCGGGATCGTCCTCGAATGCATCTGGTGTTGCCAAATCGGTAGAATCGAATTCACGCCAGAGGCCGCCAGCGCCTCGAAAGGTGGGAAGCCCAGATGCGACAGAGAGTCCTGCGCCGCAGAGGGCCATGACTCGATCCGAGCTCTTCAAGAGCTTCTTGAACTCTTGTACATCGGACTTCATCTTGATGGGTGAGTGATTCCACAAAGACCTATATCATGACACGATCAATAGTCAGCAATGATCCATGTTTACCTACCAAGCAAGAACTCGTTTTCGCAGGTGAAGTGACCGGCCTAGCTATTGTGGCAGATATGGGCTAAAAATGGCGGCTAGAATAAAATACTGACCTGTGATGTTGATGGTTGAAATGTCTATGCGTGAATAGCGGGACAGTTGATCTGGACAAGCGCTTTGCTGGTGTCAAAACACACGAGGCTTTGGTGTTGAATGATCCAAACATGAGAAGCGGCCTTGTTATAAATAGTTGAATGATTGAGCGGACTCATGAGTCTGTGTTCTGTTGTACATTCTTCATGTCTGCCTATCGGTGCAAGGCATACAGCTTTAAGGTGAGCGGGGATGATGTCACCCTGTAGGTACCTATTGGCAGGTGGTTTCCTGTAGCCTATAGTGAGGTAACTGCCAGGTACAATTTGCAACAAATGTGCAACCTACTAGGCATTCGGAAAAAGACATGAAGTTTTGATGGCATATCAGTCATACGGTGTGTTCATTGACTGGCAAAAACTTTTATGCTGGAATCCCAACAACGCCGTCTGCAGCCAGCTCCAGCATCCGCGCGCCGGTAGAACAGAACCATGTATGTTCGGGAGCTACCGGTAGTTGACCACCCACATCCCCCACGACTTGACCTTTTCAATAAATGAGCACTATAATTAAGCATAATGAAAGCACCCACATCACATGTAATACCGGCGTTATTTTTTTTTTTAAATCAGATCTTGAATTTCTATGTCTCTTACGAAGTCACAAGATCACTCTTTTCTATATTGCATCAAGCCCTAAAGGATCATCCTATTCCGAAAGCCTTAGTGCTTCATCAGGTCGCGCTTCATCTTCCTCTTGGTGGCAGAGTCGACACCAATGGTGATATAGCCAACGACACCATTCTCAATATTCTCGCCATCGAGGGGCACAATGGAAATGGTGGGGTCGTAGCCGTTGGCGGTCTCGCCGGCGTAGATGGAGTCAATGTCGTTGGTGGTGCGGTTGATCTCGGTGTGGGTGGCGTAGGGGTCCAGGGCCATGAGCTGGGCGCTCTGGTCCTCGGCGATGAAGATCTGGCCCGTCGACACCGTCGTCGACGACGCCACGGTGCCGTTGCCCCGGATCACGTAGTTCTCGTGCACCTGCACGTGGATGTGGATGGTGCGCTCCACGTAGAAGCCGGGCACAATGGTGGTGAACTCGGAGATACCCTCGCTGTTGGTGGGCCACTGGCAGGGAGACGTGTTAATAAACTGGAACACTATTCAAATATCTCTAAGGAGATCAACTTACGATTCCGCGCAGGAAGGTGGTGTCATCAGTGTGCAGATCCAGATCGGGACCAATGGTGACGTTCAGCTGCTCGAGCAGAGTTTCGAACGGAGTGTTGGGGTCCAGGCCGGTGAAGGAGCTGTACGAGCCGGTGGCGTTGCAGTGCCAGATGTCGACAAGCACGTTGGGAAGAGGCTCGCAAGTCTCAACGTCCAAGACACCAATGTCGAGAATCATGGGAACACCGGCCTCGCCCTCACGAATGTCCTGGCGCAGAGTCTGGGACTGGGGCCAGATGTAGGGGCCACCGGTGACGTCCTCGGTCAAAATACACGTGTCGTTCTGGAGCACATCGTAGTAAGGAGCTTCAGTGGTGATGGTAAAGGTCGTGTTGCCAGAGGATGCGCGCTTGTTCATCATGGCGTTGCGCTTCTCCCAGCGGCGCTTGTTGAGGGCCGCCACGGACGATTCTGGTCAATCGATATATGTTAGCCCATCATGTTGTTCTGGATCGCGTAGAGATCTCCAGCAAGTGCTCAAGCTACAGGGCAAATAGGTATTTCCCGAGCCAAATAATGGGACCGGGAAACAAGGTCTCAGGAATGGAATCGTCTAGAGAAAAGTGCAAAAAACAAAGAGACGACGACAGGTTTTTGTCACTTACCACAGCGCTTCGAGAGGCCGCCGCGGCGGGTCATCTCATGAGCCGACATGTCGTGGGGGTGAGCCACAACTCCGGAGAGAAGGGCAGCACCGGCAGTCAGGACACTGAGGGCGTGCATGGTCACAGATTGGCAAGATGTGAACTCGAGAAAAAAGAGAGCACGCAGTAATAGACAGCAAGAGGAGTTGGGTCAACGAGTGTAATATTCTAGAACGAGCGTCGATCCTATTTGTAATATATACCGAACCGTACTTTATACTCTATTGCGGCTCTTCCACTAACCGGCTTGTTTCTGCCGTGACGTTCCATCTACATCCATGAGCAATGGCCTCGTCAATCTGTTTCTGGAATCCATGAACGGTATACCCTGCAGGACGCGTTTTTTTCCCACCGTCTTGCCGGCTGCAATAGGCAATTGCCCTGGTCGATCATAGTATAATGCGATCTGATGCCTGACACGGGCCAGCCAATCAGCAAGTTGATTATTCGCAGGTTGAGTTGCGTCGTCATCTATTGTGGGCAGACAGTGGACGGGATACTACCGCATACAGGAGAAAAGCATGGCATGGGGCCAACTGACGGGGACTTGTGTCTTGGTATGTCCCACTCCGTGCCTCTCCCACATCCCGACATGCCGGAGTTCGAGCTTGACATTGACTGCCGCTGCGGGCCGCCAAGGCCTTATCGGCGCTGTAAGCTTGCTAATAAGGATGTTTTAAGCCCCGTCTTCAAGGGCCTAGCCACAGAGGGCTTGGGCGTACCAGCAGTCATTGCGCGTCCCATATGGATACGCAATCTACCGGCTCAAGCAAGTAAACGGCTTTGTAAACCTTTTGTAAGGATCGCCCCCTAATAATCCACTGTTCGGGTTTCCCTAGCATGGAAATAGCAGGGCAAAATGCCCATATCGCCGACACCGAACCGCCCTCCTAAAGGTTGATCACAGCAGAGTGCGGGCTTGGCAAGGACGCTCAGGCGGATAACCAGGTATTCAATGACCTCTGGACTGACTCGAGATCAGACGAACACGGCGGGAGAATGTTTACTCCCTAACTTTTATGTTTCGTCCCGTCCCTGGGTCTGCGCTCCGCTGAAGAGGCCGAATAAGTGCAAAGAGTCATGGCCAATTGCCCTACAGTACTGCTGCAAGCATTGTCATGACGTCGGTGTCTGTCCGCGGCGAATAGCCGGAATTAAGCTTTGCAACAAGGACCAGTGTCCATGTCGATTTTGATAGAGCACATCATTACGGCCTACTCACAGAGTACGTAATTGTTTCCTCCATGGTACCAAATAAACGATCACAATTGTCCATGGGGCAGTGGAACCTCTTGTATGCTTTGTTTCTCCGGCATTACCAATCCCTGGCCGGGGAGGCTATCAAAGCAATGCGCTGGGGGACATCTAGAGCACATCGTGGCCTTGTCCAATATTGCCAGCGTTTTCCACCTTTTGCTGTTTCGGGCTCCCTTTTCTCAACCCAAATCCGGGATGGCCAGTCGCCAGGCTATACACAGCAGCTACGACCATACTGCATCGTCAAAAATTCTCGTGTCAGCCAAAATCGTACGCAAAGAACCAACGGGAGCAAAAGACTAGGATAGACTTACACGCCCTCCAGACCAATGAAAAGTCCCTCGTCTCGGATCAAGTTGCCGCTGTACCCGTCCTTCAGCTCTACGAGACGGTAGGCACAGCGAACCAAGATGAGCACAATGGCCAGGGCGAGAAAGCCAAAGAATAACTTCGATCGCATACCCAGCTTGGCCCCTGCCTCGTTGCGGTAAAAATCTGAACGGTAATATCGGACAAGGTAGTCTGCAAAGAGTGCGCAGAAAATCACCATTGCAGCAACTTGCACTACAAGTTTTTCGAGAATCAGCAATCACGCTCCTGGCATACACATCAAAACTTTATACTCACGACTAAGGCCGACCAGCGCCACTGCGGATTCCCCAAGTCAGCAAGTTTCATTCAAGATTGTGCGACAAGAGCATATAGTCCAGCAGGGAAGTAAGAGCCAACCGAGATATATACTCACTATCAACCCCCATCTGGCTTTTTCCCGAAGTCGAAGTAGACAAGCCTCCACCAGCGGCCTGAAAACACAGACATACAATGTCGCAGGGAATGAAGATCCAGTAGAGCAGCTCCGGTCGGACGCGAGACAGGCTCGGCGCAAAGTGCTTGATACTATCACCGACAACTCCGTCAATAATTTCTCTTATTTTCGCGAGGAAGTAAAGACAAGCTAATATTAAACTTAAACCTCAAAGGGTGGGGTAGACTCACGAAGACGACAAGGTAATGTAAATGGAAGCTGAATAATACACAGGACCACTGGTGATGCAGACTTGATATCATAGTCAGTTTTCGTCGTCTTGATCTCTGCTTCCGGAACGACTATTCAACCAATTTACTTACTAATCTGCATCATAAAGGCGGTAAAGTTGAAAGGGTTGTAATACAACATGATCCGGCCCGCATAGCCAACAACAGCGTTGATGGCGCCAACAATCATGAAAGCCATGAAGGAATACGACTTCCACCTGAAGCCGAGATAGGTGTGGACGAGGGCCGAGAGCACGTAGAGCCCCAAAAAGGTAAAATTGGCGGCGAGGCTCGGGCGGTACCCGTACACGCTCATCTCTACCGGGCAAATGTCCAGAGTACAGTTGGCATTGGGCCCAAAGACCTTGACGTACTGTAGCTCTCCGTAGGGAGAGCCCGCTGTCTGATCTGCCATGGTGTTCACAGTGTGGTCGACAGGACTAAGATTGGTTGAACGGGGAGCAAGAAAAAGGCCGTGTATAGGCTATGGTCAGAATCTCGGATCAGGTCGGTAGTCTGCGAACAGGCACTTGAGTATCAGAGGAAGTCGAGGGATGCAAGAAACCCCTCAATCGTGTAAAATGTGCAATGGTGGAAATTGTCTGCCATCGTGCGCCATAATATTCGACCATGAGTCTTATACTACTTGCACGAAAATACCACGCTTGGCGCTGCTAGCAATAACATCTTGAATCTCTGACATGGCCATGGTGAATCATGATCGTGCCAAGCTGATGCGGCTTCCTTTTTCGCAGCAATTGCAGGTCTGGAGCTGATCCACGTTATCTATTCGACTTGTATCAACCTGTCTCGTCTCGCACTCGCATTCCTGCAAGCTCGCTGGGCCGGATCTGGTTTAGGGTACGAAGTTGGGCGTCTTGGTGCGCCCCAGACGGGAGAGGTAAGCGAGTGCGAGTCAAGTTCCACAAAAAATAGTTTAGAGGAGGATGCATAGTATAAGATTCATTCTTTGGGCGGCTGACGCGCTGCAACCTTGGCAAAACCTGCCACACGCTCCCATTCTTTGTGTAAAATAACGGGTGAGGTGACGGGGCTTGAAATTCTGCTAAAGACAACGACGACGACTGCTGCAAACAGTCATGGTCATTTCGACAACAGGCATTCTCCCATCCTTGCTAGGCAGTTACTTGTTCCTCGCGGACAACTGTCAACGGGCAATACAAATACCATGATCATGCACCCGGCATATCAACAATTAGATGTGAAATTATTTGGGAAAAACAAAAAACTTGAATTCAGTATTGAGACATACAGGACAACTCCAAGGCCATGCTAAAGCCCGTATCTACTGATGATTATATATATACACTTTTGAGTGTCAGAGCGATGGTGGGCGCTCAAGGATGTCTCCTCTATTTTTACAAGAGCTCATCCATACTGTACTCGGAACCATTGGCTTGGTTATCTTTCCATTTGCATGCGTGGCATCCCCGCTTCGTGTCTGCCATGCGAGCCCCAACTGTCTGATTTGGGCGTTGCTGCCTTTGAATGCGCCCGTCATGGATCGCATTTCTATTCAACTCCTCAGGCGATGGCTTGTGATTTCTCTACTCATCATCGACAAGCCTCTTCGCCTCATATGCCTTCTTGGCAGCCTTTGTCAGACTTTCCAAGTCGCCGCTCGTTTCGCACATGGACTTGAAGCTTCCATCCGACTTCTTCAGAAGCTCCCAGGGATGGCCGTACTCCACAAGTGAGCCGTGATCCAGGACTAGCACTTTGTCGTAATCGACAATTGTGGCCAAACGGTGGGCAATGGTGATTGTCGTACCCTTGAGCTCACGGATGGTGCCCTGAATCTTGGAATCGGTGGTGTAATCAATGGAGGCTGTTGCCTCATCCATGATTAAAACCTTTGGCTGTTTCAACATGGCACGGGCGAGACAAAGGAGTTGTCGCTGTCCTTGAGAGAGATTCGAACCAGATTCGGCGACAGGCGACGATAGGTCAAGGAAGATATTCTTGTTCGTTGCCGTGGGAGTTGAGGCGCCGCTGGGTCGATCTTCGTCGTCAGATATGCTTCGAAGGGTCTGCCGGCTCGCCGTCAGTGTAACCGGTGTTGCAGGATCCTCATCGGGGCCAATGAGCTGTACGCGTCGAAGGGCCGTAAAGATCTCTTCATTCGTGTACAAGTCAAATGGGTCAAGGTTTGTTCGAATTGTGCCAGTGAAGAGGGTTGGATCTTGGGGCACGATTGTAATGGCCTCGCGGAGATCCTTGAGACCAATCTGGCCGACATCTAGGTCATCAATGAGAATCTTGCCCTTCTCTGCCTCTAGTGCCCGGAAAAGAGCAAGAGCCAGGGAACTCTTGCCAGCGCCTGTGCGGCCAACAATGCCAACCTTTTCGTATGGTTGAATCTTGAAGGTCAAATCACGAAGGACGGGATCGAGATCCTCCCTATACCTTGTTGTGTAACCAATGAATTCCACAGAACCTTGTGCTGGCCAATTCGGAGGCGGTCGGTTCTTCTCATTGATGGGCTCAGCTTCCTGCTCAACATCAAGATACTCCTTGACACGTTCCACCGAGTTCATGTTCTGCTCATTCATGGCGTATAAACGAATGAGCCAAAGAATGTTGTCTGAAAAGCTGATTGCATAACTGAGTGAAATACCAGCTGAACCTGCATCAAGATTCCCAACGCTGAGAACCACAAAGACACCGGCGAAAAAGGCGACCAAGTTACCGAGACAATCAGTTCGGAATGCGAGCCATCTGTTAGCCGCCCACAGATAAATGAATGGGCGCGCTTGCGTATTGATCTTTAACAGGTTCTCGCGAATGAAGCGGCGCTCGTCACCGTAAGCACGGATTGTGGTGACTCCAGAGAGAGTTTCGCCAAACTGCTGGAAAAGCGGACTTCGGTAGACAGAATCCAGTCTCTTCAGATCTCGCGATGCACGCAAGTAGAAAACACCCACGCCAACGTACAGAACAGTTATAAAGGCAGCGGCAACCAAGAATCCAGGGGTAATAGTACCAATCAGCGCGACGGTGACCGTGATAGCCAAGGCGCAACTCATAACTCCAATGGCTACCGGGGCAACTTCTTGATCGATGGCTTCCAGGTCCTTGCTGAAACGGTTCATTAATTGACCAAGGGGCGTGACATCAAAGAACTTGAACTTTGCTCGTGCAACCGACGCCATCAACTTGCTGTGAATTTTCCGAGACGCCGTGAGCGAGCCCAGGAAGAGCCACAGGTCCCTGGCTAAGGCAAAAGCGGCACCAATAATACCGATAAATGCAAGCATGTAGAGGTAATAGTTGACGTTGACATCGGGAGGGGCGCTGCTGGCAGAGTACTGCGCGGGGCTGAGGAATCGCTGGTCCTTGATGTAGGTGGCTACTGATGCAAAGTTCTTTGGAGTAAAGGACGAGCTCAGAGGCGTCAGAGACGAAGCGCCGAATTGAATGCTTGAGACGGCCTGCTCCTCAGTTGCGTACTGGTTTGCCCATTCCTTGATCCACAGGTTCGATGCCACGCTTGATAGCTGCTGGCCCGTGAAGACAAAAACTGTGAGGACCCAGAACCACCACTTGCCCATAGCATTGAGATACAATTTGAGGACAGACCACTTGACAGCACCGGTTGCTTTTGTTTCTTCCATAGCGTCGACCTTTTTCTTCTCCTTCTTGTCTTTGGATGCACCTGTGAGAGTATCACTGCCACCGTTATCGACCAAGGTCTCATCGCTTTCTTCACCCACACTAGAGGGAACACGAGATGGGATTGTTGAAACGTGAACGACGGATCCGGGCCGCGATTTGTTCTGCAACTCCTCACCAAGCGCGCCAGTGGCGATAACCTCGGTTGCAGTGCCCTGGGCAGACACTCGGCCATTGTCCATGACAACAACGTATTCGGAGGATGGAGCGCACAGGGTAACGTTATGGGTGACAAGGATACAAGTTCTGTCTCTCATCAAGGGACCCTGGATGCAGTTCTCAAAAATCCATTGTGCAGTATGAGAGTCAACAGCACTGAGACAATCGTCGAGTAGAATGTGTCTTGAGTTGGAGTAGACGGCACGGGCAAGGGAGATTCGCTGTTTCTGGCCGCCAGATAGTGTTATGCCCTTCTCTCCAACCAGTGTCTCATCTCCATTGTCCAGAATCTCAAGGTCACGCTCGAGAGCGCATGCGATAATCACATTCCGGTAACGCCGAGCATCGTAGGGTGCAGAGAACAAGATGTTTTCCTTGATGTTTGCGTTGACCAACCAAGCACTCTGAGCGACATATGCGCACGTCTCTGCAAGTCCAGTCTCAGGATCCACACGGACATCCTCGCGGCTGCGGCCGCCAGGAAGGTAGACATCACCCTTCACCAGAGTCATCTCTCCCAGGAGAGCCATCAGTAAGGATGTTTTACCAGAACCTGTAGGTCCAGCGATGACGTTGAGTTTGCCAATCTTGAAATCGCAGTCGAGATCCATCAAACGGAAAGCCATGGAGCCATCATCGGCGATGGTGTCCTTACCGCCCCAGATGAATGTGGCGTCACGGAAGCCAATGACATGATTTCCAGTGTCGTCCAAATTGTCCGGGCCGAGTTGCTTGTACTTGTCCGTCTCTTCCTCTTGGAGAAACTCTTCGACACGGTCGATCGAGACCTTGGCTTCTTGCACGTGTGCAATCATGTCACCGAGCTGATCGAGAGGGACACGAAGAAGCATAAACAGGGAGATGGCAGTGAATGCAACAGAAGGATACAGCGGCTTCTTCTCGATCTTGGTGTAGACCAAGAAAGAAAAGAATGTAATAAGGATAGGCACAGTGTTCCAGATAGCAACAGCAGTTGCCCACACCATGTACCGTTTTCTCAGCGCTTTCAGCTCAGCGTCTCTCTTCTCGTCGACGATCTGGCTGAAACGCTGTTCCCAAGCAAAGTATTTGATGATACGGATGTTCTGGAGGACCTCGTTTGTCGTTGCGATGCGCTTGTCGGTTGCGGCCATGATCTTCTTCTGTGTATAACTGAAGCCTCTGGCGAGCAGAATGTTGACGGGTAGAAGAATGACCATGACAACCAATCCGGGAATAGCACTAAGCCCCATGATTTGCCACAAAAGGGCAATTGCAACGATAAGCTGAGAGGGAGCATGTGCGGCCAAGAAGTGCAGGTAAGAAGTCACTTCGCCAATCTTGAAGCTGTCCACTGACATCAGGTTGATAATGGTTCCCAGGTTGGCTTGCTCATCGGGAGCCTTGGCAGTGTCGGCCGTGTCCGCCTTGGTCGGGATGGCGTTGGCTGCCTTTTGGGCATCCTTCTTCCGGAGACTCATCCATCTCTTCACCTTGTCAACCTTTGTCTCTGTGACTTCGTCCTTCTTGGTTTTCGCAAGGGTAGAATCTACACCAGATGCAGCTTTTCGGCGAAGGGCCTTTGCGTAAATCTCGCCGATGACAATGGCGCGCATTCTAATGCACATCTTGCGGCCAATCCACAATCCCTGGTTATCTGCTACCGAGCGAATGAGATCGGACACTGGTAGGAGGATAACGTATAGCCAGAGAACGCTTCTCGGGGCATCGGTGGGATGCTCAACGAATTCCAAGATGGCTTTCAACAAAAGCGTTGGGGCAAAGGTCAAGACACCTGCGACCAGGGCCCAGAGGCATTGCAGGATGAGTGGACCCTTGAAGAACTTGCCCAGGTGCCAGGCCAAGCTGGTGGTCTTCTTGATTTGTCGATATTCCGTGAGCACGGCGGCTGCCTTATCTTTCGGCAGCAAATTCCAAACCATGCCAATCTCGTAGGTCTCCTTGTAACCCTTCCACAAAATACTGTCAACCCATCCAAAGGTCATTAGTGAAAACAACGAAGCCAGTGGCTCGCGTGATGGCTCGATATCCCCTTCCCATTCCAGCAGAACGGTTTTGTTTCCCTTTCTAGTGGTCATGGCCATGCCAAACAACAGACTTGTCAGGGCAAAGTCGACAATGGTGAGGATTTGGGCCAATCTCGAGGTAGGGTGAATGAGAACAGAACGGAAGGGCACCAGAACAAACAGCCACTGGAAAGCATAGATAGTAGCTGTGTGGTTCCAGATATGCGGCACCCTCCATTTCGTGTTTCCAAGAAAGAGCCGTAATGTCGCGAGAATGAGGACATAGGTCCAGGTAATGATGCCCACAGTGGCAGCCAGCACGCTCCGACTACCAGAGTTGTGCGCCACGAGAGCTACAATGTTGATGGCGATCAAGCCAACAATCGCGAGCTCCTCAACCACGACCAAGAGCTGTTGACCAGGAGGGCTGTCGGCTTGGACGATGGAACCCTTAGTAGTGGTCCGCACCAGAGCCAGGTGGCCGCCGCCGTTTTGTGCGATAGAAAGAATATCGTCATCGTCGGTGTTGGATTCTTCGTCTTCTTCTGGCGGAATCTCGGTATGGTCGAGGTGCTGATCCAAAGGGTCGTATTTGCTCTCGCGTTTCCTCCTAACCTTGCGCGAAATGTTCTGAATTATAAGATGTACTAGTGATAGGCCAATTATAATTGTAGGCAAGAGAATCTTGAGGTAGCTGTGTACAGACGCCGATCAGCAATGCTATTCGTTGTGACTTTGTGCCTGTGTAACAATTGACGAATGGGCGTGAACCAGCCCGCGCGTTATGACGTGCCACACATTTACAGCAAGCCAACCAAACTGGGGGGAAAGGGCGTGGGGACTTACTCGAACTGAAAGCACAGGGTGAAGTCGTCGACGTGCCATATCGGCCATCCACAGGACCCTATATCCGGTGCCATTGTTGTGTAGATGCTCCCATGCGAGAGGAAGTGGTTGAGACGAAGGGTGAAGAATGGCGCAACCAGACAAAGAGATGGGAGCGGCGGTGGCGGCGGGCAGCAGGGCGGTTTCGGCTTTGAAGGTGGGCGCTATCCGATGACGAACGACCCGAGACGAGATAAGCGCTGTCTGTCCGAGCTGCTTGTGGCGTCGCCCAGCCGATGTAGGAATTGGCGGCCGGGGAAGGAAGGCGGCAAGTCGTGTGGTCGCGTGCTTTCACGAGACACAATCACAATTCATCGCAAACCTAGGATATCTGTGAAGGAACAATGGACATGAACACAAAAGAGGGTAGGGGAAAAAAAAGTTCAAATGTCACCAACCATAAAAAAGCCGGACGGCAGGTCCTTAGATCAATAGGTCGTCAGAAAGTCAGTCAGGTGAGTGGAGAGATAACAGTCATAGCTTTGTCGCTCTCCCCATGCAGTGGGCTCATGCATAGAATGCGGCTAGGCTCGTCGCTATGCTGCGGGCGGGGGCAGCTAATAGATGCTGCTAGCATGGGATGCTTAGCGCTGCGTCTTGTTCTTCTTCTTCTTCTTCAAACGTCTTGTATGTATATCCAGTAGTACATAGTAGAAGTTCTTTCTGCCCAAGGCGGGCTGTTTTTGACGGTGTAGTACTGCAACGAGCTAGCTGCACCTACAATCTAACTCTTCATCTGGCGGCCCCGATGGGCTTTTCATTCTCTCATTTTACATTGTAGGTTGGTTAGCCCTGTCTGCCAAGGTAAACATGTTAGAGACTTGGCATGTAAATCCAGGTAGTGTTGGGAGGTGAACAAGCAAAATTGTAGGCATCAAAGATGACTGGAGTTTACTGGTGATATATTTCACATTCAGCCTCAAAGGCATCACCGCATTGTGTCTTCTTTAAAATGACCAAACATTTCACTCTACTACCTTTCTTGTCCAACAGGAGATTGTAAGCAGAGTACAGACAATACACCCGAGCACAGCAGTCAATGTCAGGCAGTCTGTCAGTTTTAAACTTTGATGTTGTATCCACTGCAGTCGTAGAGTTCAGTCTGCTGAGGCAAGCTGCCGGCACGAGATCGACAAGATCGGGGCGTCCAGCTTTGTAGTGCACAGGCTGAAAGTGAGCGTGAGCCTCATCTGCTCAGCCTTCTTAAGACATTTGTTTAAAAAATACTACTGTGTACACTCTGTTCATAACGGCTAATCAAAAGAATCTCATGATGCTTACGCAGTGCTCTCAATGCGCCCGGACCTGGGCAGGGGAAGCCAGACCGCGTTGTCCCTGTTACAACGTATGGCCGTTGCTGGTGTAGTACTTGTGTCAATTGACATCATGTTGCGCTTCCTAAGCGTAATCTGCTGTAACCCCACCAAAGAAGAGATCTTACAACGGTCAACCTTGAAGTTACATAGGACGCCGCGGGGTTGGTGCGACTCTTCCTAGGCTGCTTGCGGCCATGGCTTTGTCTGTGCCTACACACATTCCTGCTCGCCATACTGCCCGCCAGGTTTTATCAGAGTGGTGTCGATGCTCGACGTCGACCAGGAGAGTTTAATTTAATTCATCTCGTGTAACCTACGAGCGTACCGCTCAGTCGACTGCCGAATAAAAACCATGTGGTCCAAGTTGCTTTGTTTTTCTGGCTCTGCGCTAGGTAATTGGGCCGCTGCCACATTGATTTTGACAGTGTTTTAACTTCTGCTTCTCTCTCATTAATTCCCACTTGCCTCTTGCTTGACCATGCCCACATCTGATTGTTGGCATTTCGTCGCCCAAGTGGTAGTCGCTCCATTGGTGGTGCTCACTAAAGGTACTAGTGAATTGCCCGCTCAATCTGTGCTGGCCACAACAGAGGAACTTTGAAGTGCCTTTTCGAAGAGGGAAAAAAAAAAAGTCACTGTCGCCTGCATACCGGGGACATGGATAACACATCCGAGGGCCGACATCCACTGCTTCTAGTGCACTTTTTAGTAGCATTGTGCACTACAGGGAAGGTATCAGAGAGCGCCGGACCAATCCGATCGATCCAATGATACACCCCAGACCCCAATGAACAACCTGCCTCATTCATCAGAGCCTCAATGGACAACGAACCAGCAATGGACGTGGTCAACTTGGTGTGCTAGACCCTCGCCTATCTACACGTATGCAGTCAGCACGCATTCCGGTACCGACCAGCATCGCGCAATAGCTGTACAGTATGTCTGTGGGGGAGACCGGATCATATATTGCGACTTCGGCGAGTGCAAGAGGCACTCTGGAAGACGCCAATGAACAGACAGACATCAATGATCTGGACGGCAGCCAGGTCCGAGTACTGACCCGCGACCTACAGCAGCAGCTGCAACACATAAAAGATCGTATAGCTTTTTAGCTGCATGGCCATGGCTTGGGACGCATGCTGAACGAGCGAATCAAGTACCCCGAGTGTATGCTGACGCATGCCGTCTGTTACTTATCAATCAATCTATCTGCATTATCATAGCATCAGCCATTGCAACTATTGCCGGCAACATTGAGCGCTTGGTTCCTTTGTGCCACCATATCTATGGTTATTCTCGTCACCGCCATGGTCTCCATAATAAGAAGCGTTGTCTTGGCTGTACATCTTGCGTGGCTCTCGGTGCCCACTTGGAAGGTAGGGGTGTTCTAGTGCACCTGGCACCTGCGCTAATGTTGTCTGCGGGGTCCAAGTCGTCGAGACCTCAGGGCTGCCACCTCAATTGACTCTGACGATTGGATGGATCATCCATCGCAAGTCGGAACCCCCAGAGTCCTAGTCCCAGACCCAGACAGCCAACAAAACGACAGACCGAACCTGGACAGACACATGGCGGATTGCCAAATCTGCATGGAAACGTTCCGAAGTTTGAACACGTCCGACCGCCTCCACAAAAGGCTTCAAATGCAATGCTCGCTCCCAATGTGTTTTTGTGGTACTACATCCTAGGTAGCTCACTGCAGCTTACGCTTGACAGCATACCTACCTACATCTACCTACCTCGTGCCCTGCAACTCGATACACACACTAGGGCTGGGATACTGAATTTTCTCCCAGCCATTCCTCTTTGACCTCAATGGCAGTCCGTGAAAGCTTCAATGTGGTGCATTGGAATTACCCGACTTAAGGTACATACCTATCTGATTTGCAGCTCGCCAAGGTCAACTTTCAATGATCACTGGTGGTGTTTCTTCTACCACCACCAAAATACAGTGCTGTCAGGGGGCTTACCTTGTAGCTCTGATTGTGAGTGGAGCCTCTCCTTCCTCCCCTGACGACCAAATTGTCATCTTAGGGCAAAGTAAAGTAAACACTACTTGGAGATTCTTCAGCCTCATTTTACGCATCGTCTCATTTCTTTTTAATTGTTTAGATTCTGTGGATAATGTATCGCATCAATTTGTTGTCCTCAATCTCAAAATTCAGATGACCCAGCATCGTGATGACGAATGTGCGCTCAGCCCTAAACCGGCACCGTGGGTGGTAGTCGGATTTACGAGAACGAGTCTCAGGCTCTTTGGTGTATCTTGTTTCGGATCATCCGAGCACTGCGGATTTGACAAGAGGTGGGCAGAACGTGCGACCTGACTGATCTTTTTGTAGCCGAGCATCCTGCTGTCCAATGTTGTTGTGGAAATCGCCTAGAATCGCTCAGCTACCTCACCATTCGGCAAGCTGCTCAACCTCGGAGTATATAATCATGTGGATAGATGACAAGCGCGATATCCTCCGGGACCACGACCACGTCGACGAGGATTGATGTCCTTGATGTCCTCACCCTACTCGATGAGGAGGAGACTCGAAACCTAGACCAGAAGACCGATTCATCTTGGTCCTGAAGCAATGATGTTCAATCATTCTGAGCCGGGTGGCAACGCGTTCAGTTGTTTGGAGGTATCTGCGCAATGACTTTGTGTCACTGCTCGGGATCTACCTTGTGGTACATGAAGTCGAAGTCAATCATAAACATCAACGTCAAAACAGCTCTGGCGATATCAATGGGATCATATATCGGATGACACCCGGACACCTGCCCAAGCAGCTGGTGGAATTGGTGGATCCCTATTTGGAGGGCAAGAAAACCATTCTAGGAACGCTCCTTTGGGAGGCACCATGTAGATGCCGCACCTATTCTAGCTCATTGTGTCAGCCTATGATGTCTCAACGGATTCAAGAGTCCCCTCAAGAAGCTGAACGCACTGAATGCTGACACGAGAGTCATGGGTGCCTATAGCTCGTACACCAAACCCGATCAGGCTATGTAAGACAGCTTGATCGCCAGGATCTAAGCGGCCGGCGTCAAGAAGGATGGACACCAAAGTAAGCACGTAAGGAGTTATGCCACTGACTTGAATGCTGCAGCGCTTTATATCTGAAATGGAATTGGAAGGATTTCTCCTCATCCTGCGTGCCTGCAACTTTTCTTTTTCTCATTCACGCGAGAGCTTTCCCCCCTTATTTACCAAAAGGAAGAATCGCAATAATCATGCCCGTTCATGGTTTTCAATCGCTGCAGAACCTGCTTTAAAAGAAAAAAATAATTGGATACATCCATCATGGCCGCAGTCGAGAAAGTCGCCGTGATAGGCGCCGGTGCCCTGGGCCTCATGGCCACGAAACAGCTGACGGAAGACGGCTTTGACGTGACGGGCTTCGAGGCCCGACCCTACCTGGGCGGCCTATGGAAAGACACCGACGACAGCTCCATCTCGGTGCATCCCACGACCATTTTCAACACAAGTAAATACCGCGCGGCCACGTCTGACTTCCCCTTTCCCGAGAGCGCTGGCGTATACCCCACCGCCGCGCAGATCCATGCCTACCTGAATGCTTATGCGGACCACTTTGACCTCAGACGCAAGATCAGGGTGGGCCACCGCGTCCGCCATATTGTGCGGAGGGAGAGGGAGGAGGGAGGCGAAAGCGCGGGCGGTATATGGGAGATCAAGGTCAAGGACGTGCAGTCGGGGCAGGAGACGACAAACTTCTTTGACCGGGTCTGCGTGGCGACGGGATCGTTCATCACGCCGCGATGGCCCAAACTGGCGGGCCTCGACAAGTTCGCCGGCAGTGTCCACCACAGCATTGACTTTCACGGAAGCGCACCGTTCAAGGACCACAACGTCCTGGTTCTCGGTATCCATGCCACGGCGCAGGACGTCACCAATGCTCTGTCCGAAACGGCCAAACAGGTATATTTGAGCCATCGACACGGCTTGACCCTTCTGCCACGATATAATGACACGGGCACACCCTTTGACGTGGCTCTGGGCCTACCCGTCATGCTGTTTATGATTTTCATGGAGAGGACTCTGCCACGGTTCTGGACTTGGGTTCTCGACAGAATGGTCGGTTCGATCTCCAGGAAATCTTTCCCGGCGATTCCCGAACACTGGGGTCTATCGCCAGCCCCTTCAATGGCCGTCTCGACGCCATTAATGGCAGATACCCTTTGGACTTTTCTCGAGTCTGGGTTCGCCAAGCCGGTCCCTGCCGTCAAGGAGATCACGGGTCCCAAGACGGTCATTCTGACAGACGGCCAGGTGTTGGAGGACATTGATAGTATTATATATTGCACAGGGTATCACTTCAACATGCCCGAAGATCTCATTCCTCGGGCTGCCGAAGGCTCGCTTGCCTACGACCCATATCCCAATGGGCCCGGCCACAATCCCCATTTGTACATGAATATTTTCCCCATGAATGATGATCCCCAGATCCGGACATCACTGGCCTTTCTCGGCCACGCCGCCACAAACTATCCGGGATTCGTGCAATTCGAGCTCCAGGCCATGGCCGTGTCTCAAGTGTGGAAGGGTCGCAGCTCTCTACCGCCTCGTCCCAAGATGCTCGAGTGGTTCCGCAACCATACTTCGTGGCGTCAAATGATGGCGAAAAGACACCATGTGCCCGAGGCAGGACACACTTTTTATCCCGCCATGATACCGCAGGCAGAACTGATCCCCTGGCTAGACGAAATGGCAGGAACAGGTGTGTTCGACACGTTTGGGGGATGGTTCAATGGCCTGTTCAATCCCAGCACGTGGAAGCTGTGGTGGCAAGACCGCGAGCTGTATAACCTGTGCACGAAAAAGTTGCTCTGTCCCGCCATCTTTAGAGCCATTGACACGGGGAAACGCGAGGCTTTGGGGTACGAGGCTGTCAAGGAAATATTGAGAAGCCAGAACGCGAGTCTTGAGCGGTCCATCAAGGCCAAACAGGAAGAGATGGCGCTGAAGGACCAAAAGAAGAAGGCTTGAGAGTTACTGGCCAGTGCTTGTGTAATGATATATATGTCCTTGTGTTCGATCTGAAATTGAAATGACTGTGTAGACCAACATATGAGAAGCTCGTGGACTCTTTGAATAATGTTCTGTTTATCATTCTTGGGAAGCTTTCGTGTCCTTGAATCGAGTATCATGTGTTTATATTACCATTTGATATGTTATTGAAAAGACACGCTTATCCAACTGCTACTAATACAATCCTTCCATCTGACCAAAGTTCAGGGTATCACTGCCCATATATTTTACATCAAAGCACCATAACCTCCGCTGAACACGGGCGGTGTGCCTTCATGTTTCTTGTGTTTCGTTAATAACCCATCGAGTTTGTAAGCCCATTCCATCGGTAGATTCTTGTGTATTCCCCTAATCTGGTTTTCTCCCGCCCTGCCAATGGTCCAGATATGTTCCACCGACATGAACGTGGCCATAAAGTGCGCCAATACCACCAAGGCACGCGGCCGTCGCTCAATGAGGTACTGGGTAAATTCGCTGGGGACGAGCACGGCAAACGCGCCGAGGCGCCGGCAGATGGCGAACTCGGGCTCCTCGCGCGCAATCGCTCGCTGTACGCTGCAGATATACGAAATGGCCTTGTGGTAGACGGACAGGGTGAGCGGGTCGCTCATCTCGGCGTCGAGCTGTTCCGCGGCCTCGGGCGACGAGCCCGGTGGTGTCTCGAGGATCCAGTCCAGCGCGCTGTGGTCGCTGAGAATGGTCTCGTTGGGGTCGCGGAGGCCCGGGGGGTTCTGCACAAAGGTCTGAATCTTGGCCACCTCGCCCCCGCTGCCGCTCTTCGCCATGCGTAGGGCCGTGTGAAAGACGGAACCAGCACCGCTGCCCATGCGCAGGAAATCAGTGGGCGGTTGCCACGGCTCGGACGGAAGCGTCTGGATCAGCGCCAGTGCGTGCGTTAGGATCTTGAGGCTGCAGATGCAGACGGCGTCGGCATTGTCTGGGTCGAGCACGGCCACGTCTTGCCGGTGTTGCCGCAGCATTAGACTCAGATAGGTACGCTGGAGCCGGATAAGTGTCTCCTTCTCCTCCGGATCGGTGCTTCGTGTCCAGAGATTCAACGCCGAGTGTGCAAACGAGCCATACAGCACACCGTCCCGTCCTTCGTTGAGAGCCATTTTCGGTATGTCTATCAAGAACAGATCATTTATCACTTGCGGCTGCGGCGTTGGGAACGGTTTTGCCTGGGTCAGGCTATTATGAAGAAGCCTCAGTTCCCAGATGCGACGTTCCCGCGATTCTGGCAAGTCGGTTTCTGGAATATCACCGTCGGGGGCGACTGAACTGGACGACGACACTGCCGAGTCTTGAGGTGTCTCATACACCGTGTACCCGTCACTCTGCGGGCTTGTCTTTGCCGCTGATGGATTAGACAAAACACTGAGCTCGGACTCCATAGAGGAGAGATTCATGGCATCCAGCTGCGGATTCATGCTTCCAGGAGCAGTGGCCGTTGTCGCGGCAGCTGTCGCTTGGGTCTGATACACACAATCAACCATGTGTCGGACACAACCTCCGCAACTCGGCCGCACCTCGTCGCACTTGACGCGACGCTGTTTGCATCGTATACAGCCTGTCCTTGACTTTTTGTGGTATAGACGTGGACCCCGTGGCTTTGGTTTCAAGGTACCTTGACCTGATGGAGACATGGCGATCAGGATTGTGGATTGTCACGCTCTCGAGTAAGTCGATGGCGGCCGAATATGTAAATTATACCTGGTATGATCTGCGGTTGTCATCAGCAGCAAACAACGATTATACGTGCATATGCCAATGCTGACCTCCTCGGCGGTAGTATGCACAGATGACAAAGGAAATGTTACCTCTGTCAGCCCGAGAGGGCTGGCTGATGTAGATTTAACGTAGCAGGATCGACGGACCCCTACCTAGGCTAGGTGCCCAGATTAGATCCCCCCCGACTTTTGGTAGAAAAGGACCGGAAGTCGGTGGTGGGGCTATCGGGCTGTGCTGGATCTTGTTGGCTGTGCTGGCTAGAGTCGTGGACCTTGGCATTGCTTATATCATGTGAAGGCATCCACATTCCGAGCCTGAAAGATGGTGAATGGAGCACTCCGTCATACCGACCTATTGACAGAGTATATACAGACCTCGGGACCCTGGGCTGATCGGCCCCTAAGCCCTCCGATCGGCTTGGATTGTGTGCTATTCCCGGGATGACCTTCAGCCCTACCCAAAACGGACTGCTGACATTCGATTCATGCATTGTCGTATTAAAGGATTTGATATCAATCTCGCCATTCAGCCAATAAATTGTCGAGGACGTTGCCCGCTGGGATTGAACGTTTTATTTTATTTTCATGCTTTGGGAATCACAAACACACAACCCCGTTTGTGATACATTACAGCCAGCAATGCAGCGCGCCTTTACATCTCCTGACTAGTATTGATCGCAAAATTCCGTTTCCAAGTCCTACAATTACCAAGACCACAGCTTATCCATATTTTGACAACTCTAAATAGACTCGTGTGTCGGGACTTTAAATGTGACACTCTACCTAGTCTTTGTTCTCGTACTTGCTGGCCAGATTCATATGCATGATTGCGTCTCTAGTCCAATCATCAACTTCGCCTGGAGCAGCGCCATCGGCAGATCCCAACAACTCCGGCACCCGACCATCAACGCCCGGGAGACGGATTGCTGGTGTACCTGTCAGGGTCGAGCTGCGCCGTGTCGAGCTGGCACTGTAGTCATCGTGACTGGATAGCTCGAATCTATGACCGGTGGCGGCAGCAGCAGCCGTGTCTAGTCTAGGAGGTTGAGAGGCTCCCGCGACATGTCTTTCGGATTGTGGCTTGTCGCCAAATCCTGCGGGAAGCTCAGACAATCTGTTCATCTGGCTGTCCAGTTCCTCCTGCTCTAATATTTGCGGAGCGTGTTCCATGTTTCTCAACGAACTTGCACCAGGAATGCCGCTGCTCCTGAAGCTGACCATGCTGGCGCGATGAGCATCGATGCCTCCCTCACCCTCTAGAGAGTCCGAGTCTCTGATGGCAAATTGGGCCAAGGTTCGCAATTTCCTCGTTACCCAGCCAGCAAGGATTTTTCCACGCTGCTTCTCTCCGAGACGGCTACGTGGGAAATCACCCTTGCTGACGAATGCAACAATATCGATGATGATCTGATGCTCATTGAGAATTGCGTTCACAATGACGGGAACAATCGAGGCCAGGTATGCTTTTCTAGATACCTCCACAACGCAAGCTACCAGTCCGCCGGCCTGGAAAACGGCACTGCTCTGCATTAGTGTTCCATCCTTTCTTATCATGTGTGGAATGTGACTTACCAACCGCCGGGCACAATGTTTCTGTGGCAGGCCTCTACTGATGCTTCGATATCCATAGGGAAATGGCTTAGTCCATTGATCTCGAAAGTCTCACCAATGTTGCCGAGGACGAAGAGGACTTGCATGTCTACTTGAGCGCCGCCAGGCCCAATAGGTCTGCTGACACTGTGCAAGAAACCCAGATCACCTGTACGGACGTAACTTATGTTGGGGTCGCCATCGAGAGTGCGGCCGTCAAATCTCTCTGAATCAAACGCATCCCTGGAGCCGTAGAAAGACTTGACGCATGCTTCCGAGTCGACCCAAATCTCACCATACTCTCCGTCATGACAAAGTAGACGACTCTCTGGGTTGACAATCGCAATTTGTGTTGATACTGGCACCATGCCAGAGTCTTGCATCAAAAGCGCTTTTGGGTCGGTCTCGGGATCAACAGGGATTATCAGTCCCCTGCGCAGGGCTCGCTGATCCAGCCAGAGCTCAATAGGTTCGATACACATGTATGACCTACTTGCAACCATGGGGTTGAGCACATGTGAGTAGACGGTGTTGATGGCTGTCCGATCAAGACCAGTAGCTGCGAAATGAAGGCGGACGCGTTGAAACACATCAACCCGCGGTCTTCCTTCAGCCGTGATCATCATGTTCTTCAACTCATGCATAGCAAAGCCCTTGCCAGGCATGACGTTCATGGCGTGGTCAAGCATTTGGGGCGTAGCATAAGTATCCTTGATCTTGTACCTGCTGAGCGTCAAGAACAAGGACATGGGGTTCTGCGCAAACTCAACAGGTGACAATAGGTACGTCGGCGTGCCAATGTAGACGCCCATCAGACATGAGTGGATGAAACCAAGACCAGTTGTACTGCGGACACAACCAAGGACTGGTCTAGAACTAGTCATCTGACAAGTTTCCTTTTGAATTTTGCACATGCCTAGAATCGTGTCGTGGCCAAGCTGCACCGCAATTCTGCGTTGATCCGGCGTCCAGTATGTCCAGACTATCGCCGGGTAACCGTGTTGCACCCAGGCTGGATCCATGGTGATGCCTAGATCGCGCAAGCCAGTGTTTTGCTTAGGCGGCTTTGACGTATTGTACACATTAGGAACGTTGATCTTTAGAACTTGTGCAGATTGCTTGATGTGCTGAGAGACTGGTTTCAGCTTCAAAAGGTGATCAACCTCTTGATTCACCAGAACAGTTTTGACCTGGAAATCGGCAATCAGGTGTAGAAAAGCAGGGACGTCTTCATTGAGACGGCGCTCGTCCATCGGGGCGGCAGGGATCACTACAGCGCCAAGGTTGAGGCAGGCGTGCACGGCAAAGACAAAGTCTTCCGAATGTGTGTACATGAGGATGACATGGTCCCGTGGCCGTATCTTGGCCTTGTTACGCAGATACATGGCTACAGCCGCCACCTTTGTATCGAACTTCTTCCAAGTGACGCCCTTTCCTTCTTTGCCTCTGCCATCAATTGTGCAGTAGGCGAGCTCTTCCGGCTGACGAGCGACGCGCCATTGAATGAGGTCTGTGATGGAAGAGAAATTGTTAAGGGGCGTGGATGTGCGATCATCAATGACCACTTCGCGGCGATCGATACCAGAGTACTGCTTGTCAGTGGGGCCAAGGATTTCCGCTCTTGACTCTGATGCGATGTATGACCAGATTCCGCCCATGGGATCCACGCCGACGGGCAAGTTCAAGACAGCATGTTCAACGCCGAACTTGACATGGACGCATGGCAGGTTGCCGAGGTCAAATTCCCTTCGACAAAGCATATTACCGATTTCTTTTCTGCCATTTTTCAGCACCCGTGGCAACGTGTTGGGAGCCGTGATCATGACGCAGTACACCCGGAAGTGGTGCTCCTGCATGAGAACCTCCATACATCTTTCACACAGAGAATCCAACAGCGCGGTGTCAAGCTGCCTAGGCGGAGCACCTGACGTTGTTGGTGCTGTGGAAGCGGCTGCCGATTCGAGCACGAGCACTGGCAAGTGTTCATCATTGACGAACACATCAAAGGCAGAGCAATCGAAGACTTGCTTGGAGAGGCTCTTTAATATGCTCACCACGATATGCTGGACAAAGAAGTACCGATGCTCAGCAATCTCATGGCCATGTTCGACCCATTCAACCTTTTGCCGAATCCGGTCTTCGTAGAGGCCTAGTACGAAGACTTTACCCTCGATGATAGTTCCAAGTAGACCTGTCCGAAGGAACTCGGGCTCGACAGGAGTCGGCGTTGGATCGCCCGGCTCAAATTTGTAAGGCCGGGCATGGAATATCTGCTCCGTGTGTTTCGGCAAAGCCCAAAATCCACCTGAGAGCGATGGGGAGTCGACCCAGATTTCTCCTATCGCATGTGGTGTTGCGAGCAAGCCCGTCTCTGGGTCAACTACCGCCAAGGTTGCGTCGGGGATGGGATATCCGAAGGCGCCAACGCGGACGGTACCCAGCTCTGTGGCTGCCTTCTTCCGAGCCTCCTCGCCAATCGCCACAACGATGACCTCATTGGTCTTGAGAGCCTCTCTATCAAGCAAAACCTCACCAAGTTCGTTCTTAGCTTCTTGCTCCTTGGTTGTGGTTGTGCCTCCGCCCAATAAGCTACCAAACCCATTCGACGGGACAGTTTTCTCTTCCTCCTTCTCGGGGTCTTCTTTCTCTGACTCGGACGCAGATTCGTCGCCCATGTCGAGTTTCAAGGGACAACCCATGCGCTCCTCGCCACCTAGCCAATCACGCACGCTGATGACCATGCCACCGTGCTCAGGGAGACACAGCATTGGTGCAACAACTTCCCGAGCACGAGGGTTTCGGAGCGGCCGGAGCCATCGGTCAGCGAGCACCTCGTGAAACTCACCATCGACAATCAAAGTGTCTATAAGGCAAAGTTTGACATTCTGGAAGTTGGGTTCAGTGCCTTTCTTATAGTTTCGTGTCGTCATTGGGTCGGACTGATAATTGAATGCGGCGGCTCTAAGACCTGGATAGTCGGCAATCATTAAAGTCGCCTTGTACTTGGTGATCAAGTGTGCGTAGAGTCCTGGAACATGGACTGCCTTGTTCTCCAGCCAGACTGTTGTGTGGCCGCTGTAAACATTCAGCAGAACACCAAGAATCATGCCGATACCCTGCCGTGGATCCAGATACGAGAGCAGGATTTCGCTGCTCGCACCACCTCCGATCAAGCGGCCATTCTTGTCCCTTAGATCTCGACTAAATGTATCGCCAGGACCAGAATTAGGCACAGCAGACACAATAGCGCTCATGCATGCCATCTGGTGCATGATGGTCCGATGGCTGAGCACCACACCTCTGAGATCGCCAGTCGGAGCTCTGGAGAATTCGATATAGGCCAGGTCCGGCACAGATAGAGGCGGTACATCTTCCTTTTTCTTTGGGTGGTAGCCACCAAACTCGTTGGTTTTCCACCATTCGACTCCCTTGGGCCACGTCAACTTTTGGGTCGTGATGTCTCGCTGAAAGCTTTTCAGATTGTTATCCGTTGTCAAGGCCAAATGAGCCTGCGTAGAAGTCAGGATGAGATTCAGCTTTTGATAGTCTTGAAGATCGTTGATGGGCACTGCAACTACTCCAGCAATGAAACATCCCAATAAGGCAATTGCGAAATCAATGATTTCGGTGTCTCGGTAGATCAAGGCCACACGATCTCCTCTGTACAGCGAACTCTTGTCCCTTATTACTTGAGCAACCTTCTCGGCTCGGGAGGCCAATTTATCCCAAGTGATGGATGCGATTTCTTTGCCCTTGGCGTCAAGAACCCAGTAAGCAGGCATTTTGGCAGTTGTTCTGCCACGATGCCGCAATACAGCGGCAATGTTGTCGAAGTTTGACATGGCAGTGTTCTTGTCGTGCGGGTCGTGGATGGCGAAAGGCACCTCGCGCGGTTCCAGTGGCTGCTGGTATTGCATTTCAGGTGGTGGTAGATCGCTGGCCGTGAGCATTGGAGGTGCCATGGCGGCGGTTGGCGAGAAGGCATCGCTCGACGAGTATCTCTGCATGCCACCATTGTATTCACCACCGGGTCCCTGATCGTAGGCCTGCTGTCCGGCAAAATCAGAGAAGTATCCCTGAGCATCCATCATGGTACCGGTGCGACTATCGTAGTTCATCGCTGGCGGTGGGCCATAGCCTGCCTGATGTTCTGGTTTGAAAGCATAATCTCCCGAGACCATGGTGCCAGACCGAGTCGGGGAATCCGAGCCCATATCTTGATTATAGCTATGCGCATGCGAGACAGGGTTCAAGAAGAGAGAATCGCGGTTGGTCATGGTCGGTCGCGATTCAGCAAGCGGGCCACCTGGCCGGAGGAGACCGGCTGGGTTCTCATCATGTTGTCGCGAATAGCTGGCTGACGACTCGGGTCGCCAGTCGCTAGGAGGAACGGCATCGATTGGGGAATCGCGCGCATAGTCGGGATTAGTAGCGCTCAAGGAGGCCTGGCGACTGTGTCTATAGCTATCACTCGGACCATAGCGGTCGCTATCGGGTGAGTGTATCCTGAGTCCTCCACCACCTGTCGCAATCGATGTCGCAATCGATGCGGCTTCGGCTGGCGGGAAGTATTGCGAGAGCAGCTGGGTTCTGCGTTTCTGGTATCTGCATGTCTGTTTGTTAGACACCGATCGGGCAAGGACGTGAATCAGGGGAAAGGTCGAGTTATCAGGGGATCACGGAGAGAACAAACCCTTTTTCAGTAATGTCGCCTTCCTGTAATAAAATCAATCGTAAGCATCAACTTCTTGCCAGAGTAGTTTACAAAGTCTTTCAAAACAAAGGCTCGCGTCGCCCCGTCCCGGACATCCGTGAAGACACTGGGAGCGACCGCCAACAGCACAAGCCCCAAGGATGTTTGTGCAGCGTTATGAGAAAGCAGACTAACCTCTAATTCTTGCTGAAGCTGATCCAGCTGGTCCTGGAGGTCAGGATTTAATTGCGCCATGTCGTCGTTGAGATCTATCCTGCCGTTGGTGACGGGCGCCGTTGAGGATAATAGTTCCCAGACCTCATAAGGTCTGTCTTGGTGTGACGTAGGCGGGCCAAGCTTGAGCGAAATGGGCACTGCCGGGCGACAAGGAGGGCTCGCAGCGGCGGCGACGGGAAAGTTGAATATTGGGCAGGGGGTCTGGTCTGTCTGGCCTTGCTTGGTCGGCGCCGCGCAATTATTTGATTGGCAAGCACCTGATTTGGTTGCAACGCGTAATCATATCCTTAAACAAATACCGGGAAAAGCACAAAGCAATGAATGCATCTCCCTGGAAATAAGAGGCTATTCCGAGGAGGGGGAAGAACAGGAACTGAATGGCAAGATGATCACGTACGTACGTACATTCGGTATGTAGTGTACACAGACAGCACTTAGCTCACCAGGTTCCTGGAAAGCACTTGGGCGCTTGCCCCCCAAATATCAAGATCAGGGTTTAGCGGCACTAGACCCTGGAAAGTCTTAGACTCTCCCCTCTCTTCAGTGGAGATGTAGGGATGCGGGATCAATCGACACTCGTTCCAAGGTGGGCTTTGGCGGGCTATCCCACTATCACGCACCACCAGATTCGTCCGGCCGCTTGTTGGAGAGGCTTTTGGCAGAGGTGGTTGGTTCGCGAATTTGTACCAAACCCGCTGTACCTGCCCAATTCCAGAAGCCTAGCAGTCAAAATGGATGAACACCCAGACACCGTCCTGCAGGTTATCCACCCCTCATTGTCCTTGATTGGAGGAATACGAGTTGTTGCTCGTGTCGGTAATATCATCTCAGAGACTTGGTTCCATTGGGACTTGGTAGCCAGATAGTTACCACGACTGATACGAGGCATGGCACAGCGGCTGTCCGTCCAATACACAATTCCTTCATCAAGCTGCGATAAGCTCAATGGCTACAGCTTCAACCAGCCCTGCCAAGATGCACTGCTGACTGGGTACAAGATCTATTTGGTACGCAGGCACCAAACTCAAAACTTGATATGTATGGTTGGCCAGTTGATGATTGCAGCCTTCATGTAGGTAATACTGCCGGCCTGCGCAGGGGTTGTTGCCATCTCGAGACTTTCCGAACTGAACAGCTGAGGATGAATTTATTGTCTACAATCAAAGTCTGTGCTGCTGAACTGTCGTCTTTACTCGTCTTGTGGTGTTTAGATTCCTCGGATCCATTATCCTATTGATTTGTTGAAACTACTTCTGGTTTCAATGGCCTCCATTTTGGTACTTTGATAAGGCGGTCGAGCAAGGCCACTTGACTCAATCCTCTGGCATTGTTACACCTGACATTCATACGTTGTAGTATTAACCCGCCGCATGAAATGGTTTCATTAGCCGCAACGTAGGTCAAAGGGAATTGAGAGTAGACACTTTGTGTACGCTATGCGGGAGGGGAGGTGCAACGGCTTCTTAGCTCGTATGAAGATGATACACAGGTACTATGGAATGCAAATCCGCAGTCCGCTGGACGCCGTTGCGAAATGTCTCGTCGACCATGATCAAGACGATGGTGTTAGGAGGTGGACGTTGACCCCACCTTGAACCTAAGAACCTGACTGTGCAATGGTGTGACAGTGACCCGCGACCTCAGAGTGATTTTACATAATGGGCATCTCGCACGGACCATGGCTCTTCACAAAATCTGCCCGAGAGAAAAAAAAAATCCGATCTTCCCTCTCAACTTTACTCACACAAGAACCCATTTGAGCAGGAGCTTGTCCATCTTCGTCTGCCATGAGGCGCATTGCAATCATGTCAGCTTGACTGTACTCTGATTCTTGCGGTCAAGTACAGTCGTCAACGCAAAAATGTCGACGCCCTCGGTAAAAGAGAGTGCCTGGATCTGATGCGCAAAACGCCGGAACCAACGGCCGCAGAAGCCAAGTTGAGCACGAAAAACGTGCCACAGACTTGACATCTCTGTCGAATTTTTGGGGTTTCCAGCTTCTGAAATACACATTCGCAAACTCAACCGAACCCATAAGGTATGCCACTTTTTCTCCAATATTTCTCCAATTGTTACATGATGAAGCTTTGTAAATTATCACAGACCTGATCGGAATATCTACTGTCGAGAAAATTACTTGAGCTCTACTGATTATAATCACCATTCCATATTCTGTCTACCAAATTGACTTGTCATGGATTGTGTGCTAATTCAACTCTTAGGCATGGTTTCTTAAGCGTCCTAAAAATAATCTGGTTCTTGGCCATTCTGTCTTTCCAAATGTAGACTCTACCGCAAAGACTCCCGTCATGCCGCAACATCTCTGCCTCTTGCCTCCTCATCCTAGTGGCGATCTCGAGCATCACGACTACAGATGTTTTGCTATCTTTTGACAGTGACCATGAATTATTGCACCTTGTTATATTCAACAAAGCCTTTGTGTGACTTGCATGATCTGCACAAAGCACAAAGACACAGGGTATTGTTAGATGCTTTTTGTAGTTGTGTATAAAGGCACAAACGAAGACAATTATACCCATTGCTCATTGTCCCAAACACAACAATATGCCAGTGATTTTTAAATAGTAAAGGAACCGCACTTTAAACTATAGTGCAGTTTGTATTTGGCGAGCAGTGTAGAGTCATTGTGTACGTGACCTCTCTTCAGCCGAATCGCTTCATGTTCGCCGTCCAAAGCTTCAGCTTTGATTGCCAATCATGGATACACACGCCCATGATCCAATCTTCTTTGGCGGCACAGATCTAGCTGCAGGAACTTTGTGCATTGATCAGACTGGTCTTCTTGGGGCTCCAGCCGGTCTAGATTCTTCTATACCATTTGGCCATGACCTCCCAAGTGTGCCAACTCAGTTGGCAGCAGGACTGCCCACAGAATCATTGCTGCCTCAACGTTCCTTTTCCGCATCACCAAGGCAACGTTCGCTTCGACGACCATCCTTCGGACGCGATGTCCTAACCTTTGCTGTTGATGGCGCTCCTGCCGCTGAAGCCGTTGTGCCTCGCGAGGGCAAAATTGAGTTAGTACGAGGGAAGCTGCCGAAGATAACGAGAAAATACAAGAAGAGGGAACAGTTAGAAGACGATTCGGATGATGATATCGAGAGGTCAAAGACGGCAGACATCCCGATTAATCCTCAGGATTATTACGGGAGACCTGCAAAGAGCCCAAAGCCATGGGGATGGATGAGCCTGAAACGCGATGAGTGTACGTTCCGATATAATGAGCTTGGCGAATTCGCGTACACTGTGACGTTTTCAAAGGCAGAATTGCAAGCCTATTTCGATGGCCATCCACCAAAACGCCACGGCCACAACCACTGGGTTGACAGACAATTACTGCCCGGGGAGAGAATCCGACATGGCAAAACACGGTCTGGTCTGACTCTGTGGATAGGTTGGACACCGGCTCATGCAAACAGTCGATATCCCAGCGCAGCTTATTCCAATAAATGCCGGTTCTATGATTGTCCTGTTCCCAACAGAACCTTCAGGGGTGGCTGCCCTAGGGTAGCTTTTGATGAGCGGATGAACACCGACGGTAGGTTTCGTGACCCCTACCATGTCGCTGGTTACGTGCATCTATTCTGCCTAGAGCAGCACTTTGACATTATCAAGCTCATGGAAACAGTTGATATTCGCCTGGATATGAGGATATTCCAAAAGGAAGAGAACCTTGCCGGATTCCATTCGCGTCCAGATCAAGAGACAAAAATACAAGCAGCTTGCGATTGGCTCTCGTCGGAATGGCCCCGAAAGGTTGAGTGGGACCACTACCTCTATAACTTGAACGAACAAAGAATCAAGTCTCGGCATCTCTTGACTCGCGAACAAGCCGTAAGGCCGCGCCACTTTGACGACAGCCTTACAAAGAAGATGGTGGAAACCGACTTCAATAACTACACCCAGTCTGGATCTTCGTCGCGCGAGTCACGCAAGAAGAAGGGCAACGCAGATGGCAAAAAGCCAGTTGATGCTGGTGAACATCTGGGCAATATCGAGTATGTGGCTGCAGAGCGTAGGGCTCGTTCAGGTAAAAGGTTAACCAAGAAGCTCAAGCAGCGACCCGCTGTATTTCGAGATGACAGGTTTCTTCAGCATCGGGTATATGCTGCCGAGCACTTTACTCGCGGCTTCGTACCGGGTCGACAGGGACCTTCGGACCGGGACGCTCTCGGACGACCCCGTCGAGGGTTCAAGCCCGAACCCTTTGTTACTCCCGAATCTTCACTGCTTGCCAGGCCACAGCATGTATATCCTGCACAAGGCTATACTTTTCCCAGCTCAGATCCGCAAGTAACCGGGTTTGACCTGCATCCGTCAATGCCTACCTCTTTCCCTTCGAACGTTCCCAGTAACCAGCTTCTCCCAGACTTTTCGCAACTTCTTGAAGGTCATCAAAAATTTGACATGTCGGATTCAAAAGCCGACGAAACCTCGCTGGTCCCGAACGAATTATCCCAAAAACGACCTAAGCGTGCTCGCGAGCATGATATTTCTGATGTCACTATCGACCAAGTTGCACTCGCTGCTCACGGACCGCAGAAGCGACAACGAAGAAACACGGAGTGGACATCACCACGACGAAGTTTATTACCCTCCCAGTGCCGTCGCGATTCCACTCAGCTCGGGAAAGACCGGGAACAGTCGCCCGAGTGTTTTTGGAGTATGCCTCGTTCTGGTCCAGTACTGTGTATGCACCGAGGATCAAGTCCTGTTGACTTTAACTCAAAATACAGAACTCTGTCATTGAAACGTAAGTGGGACGAGGGAGAAACCCGACCTGGTCAAGAAGAAGGGTCTTCTCAGCATGCAGACAGTCAACCACCAAGAAAGAAGAGTTGCATCGATGCGTTGCTTCCGTCGGAACTTGAGAGGAACATCAGTCCAAACGCTCTGACCGACATGGATTTCCACAACAGCTTGGCCAACTTCAATCCAGATTTCAATTTTCCTGCAAGTGATTTCGACCTCATGGACATGGAGCAAGATCTTGCTCTCTCTGACGAACAGCTTCACCTTCTTTTCCAAAGTGCCGGTCCTGGAGATACTGATCATGTGGAGGGCACATATGACAATTGTACGGCAGAATGGTTCGAAGAGCAGCTAGCGATGACCGGGGATCTTGGCCAAGATCTGATGCCACCAGTTTCGAATACTCCGGTCACATTCTTAGAAAGCGATGAATTTGCGCATGTCAAGAGCGAGGATGCGCTTTCGCAGCCGGCGTTGGACGGCGATACTAACCCGCAAGACGAAGCTACTGTTCAGTTGCCATCAGTTGCGGCTTCAAAGGAGCAGCTACAAGAGATTGCACATTTGGAGAACACGACACACGATAAAGAGATCAATGGGCTGTCTAGCCTCGACGAACCAGCGGAACCATCACCGCAAACACCACCTCCCCATTCGGGTGTCCTAGATACAAAATCTGTGATTTATTTTGCGGACAAGGAAAGTAACCATGAGGAGGATGATATTGATGATCTCTTCAACGAGGACCTGAACGAATAAGAAGTGACGGCAACAAGTGTTTTACGGCCGCATCGGTAAGTGAACAGTCTCCATGAACCTCAGTCGAAACAGAAGACCAGGCCAACATTCGGTGGGTTGATGTTTTCTTCTTCGAGAGCGTGTTTTGAGGTAGTTTCCCTTGCCATACCCTCGCCATATCTACTCATGACCTAGACAGGAGAAATTGTTTTTTTACTTTAAAGAAATCTAGAATACAGTTACTCGGGGAACCAGGCCGATTGTGATTGCAGTAGAAGTGAATCTTGTGCATGATAATTAGGTGTAAGCTGTGCGAAAACAATATAGGATTTGTCGAGCACCCTTGGAACAGGGACAAAGGGTCAACAAGCCGTTAGCCATCACTATAATTTGAAAGAATGAGATATTTGCTGCACAATTGGAATATGCCTCTTTCAGGCAATAAAGGCTGACACCTGCATCGAAACCCTTGAGGATGGATGCGTTAGGCCCCAGAGTCAACGGGTATTATATATGTAGGTACGACCTTGGAGGAAAATAACTGGCGGAAAATGGATGGGATCAAGAGCTGCAAGCGTGAGCGTAAGAATGCATGCAATATTCCTTCTCGGCCGCATCACCCGAAGGGGATCGTGGGGGGAACGGCGTTGCCGATCGATAAGACGCCGCTAGGTAAAGCTTCTCTGCGAGCTTCAGAGTCCCGAGAGCCGTGGTTCGCTGCATGTAGAAGACGGCGGCGGGATCTTACGAATGGGTGATTTGGAGACATTTCATCAGGGTTGGCGGGTTGATCTTACTGATGGCGCTGTTTCTTTTAGCGCTGTGCCTCTTTGCCTTGGCTGCAAGATGGTCGGGAGGACTGGGTAATGATTACATAGGTCAAGAATACCTTAATGCATAGTACTACTACTACAGTAAAATCTGGGCGCACAAAGAGCCAGACGATGACAACTTGAACCCTGCCTACCTAACGTAGCCCAGTGGATTGGGTCGCCGGGGTCGAATCTGCTCAGCTTTGGGTGCTGGATGAAGTTAAATTGGGATAATAAGTAGCGCCAGTCCCGCAGCTTTTGGCACAACTTTGTGCTTGTGGACAATAGGGAAAAAAGGTTTCCTTGTACACTTTTTCTTCCTTGATGAACCGCGGGGAGGGGCCTGGCTGTGGGCGCGGAGAAAGATAAAAAAGAAAACCACAGCATCTTCGACATTCCAGAAAAGACGATTAAAAATCGGCAACGAGGAATCTGAAACCATTTGAACAGGGCGGCGACAGGGCGAGCGATACATTCCCCCCCAATGACAGGCAAGCAAAAAGGGCCCCCCGACTTGAAATCCGGAGACCTTGTCGCCAGCAGCCAGCAGCCAACGCTCGTCCAGACGTCACGTGTCCCAGGCCTACTGTGAGTGACAAGACGCGCGCAGTTGTCAGATCCCAGATTCGCAATCAAATCCCATGGGAGTTTGCTTGCGGCAAGTTGCATCAACGCCTCGAAAACGTGGTCGGTAGAGGTGGGCAAGGCCTCTTTTTCCAGATTTCATCTTCTACGCCCTTTTTTACCCCCTTCTTTTTCTCCTCATTTTGCTGTCATCTACTACACAAGCAATAAATCATCCTCTCTCCACTGCAGCGTGGGACTCTGGGACAGGAATGGTCGACGAGGACTCGGAAGAGGGTCCAAGACCCGCCCTGCAGGTCATCGTTCTGGTGAGTGCTTGCTGCTTTTCCTGATTCAGTATTCCATTATTCCACGGCAATCGCATCGCTTCACATGGCCGCAGCCTGGCCACGGCATCAACAAATCAATCAGTCCCCATCCCCCCCAAAACGGTACAACGACCATGAGCATCGCCAAGCGTACGGTTCATTTCAGTCGCAGTCGCAACACAGCCCAATCAGTCGCCGTTCCAGCTGCCTGGCCATCAAGCGAATGAGTGTTGTCATGGCCTTTTCAGCGTTCGAGTTGCCATAAATGGAAGCAGGTGCTCAACCTCATTCGCTTCAGCGGCTGGTCGACTTATGGAGCCCTTATCCGCTTCTATCCCACTTTATGGCCACCAGCGATTCGACGGGGCCCGGGCTCCACGCCTATGGTGCTGGCTGCGGCACTTGCACCTTGGCCCGGCATCACTAGCTTCTGGGGATTTAGAATGCGCAATGCAGCTGCCAGCACAGAGAAACACGATGCGATATTCCTTTGACAGCTACTCGACCCGGTTGCGAAAGCTCAGGCCGATTGCTTTGTTCTCGGGTTTCATTGTCCGCTTGCCACAATGTCAGCCACGTTCTTGGCCCTGTTTGGGAATTTTGACAGAGATCCCGCCCTCACCATTTCAATGACGCGCTTCACATACAGCAAAGGCCGTTACGAGACCCTCGGCGGCAGCAGCCTTGACACCTCCATTGGACATATCGCTGGACTGCTGGCTTTATTCGTGGCGACTTCCTAGCGACTCAACTCTCTCTGGTCATTGTTGAGTAGTTATACAGTGACGTCACATGCTTTGGACGTTGCACCGAGCCATACAGACATTCTTTACTGTTTGCGGCTGCTGGATGCAGCCAAGCCAGAATGCCTACTACATATGCTGCTCTGGAGATACTGGCCGAATCTTCTATACTTGCTACCTCGCTTCGTGTGTGCTCTATGCATATATACTGACATGCCGATTTTATAGGGCTCCTCTGGCGGCCCCCTGGAGAACAATGTCACTGGCCTTCTCGTGCGCTCGACAAATTCTGGATGGGGTCGAAGTTCCATGGTAGCCGTCGATGCCGGCACCCACTTGTCTGGCATCGCTGAGGTCCTCGAGAAAACGCAACCACAAGGCTTGGGCGTGGATGTGCCACTCCCGCATAAACTCGACTCTGGCCCTTTCGCTGGCCTGGAAATCACATCAAAGTGTGCGAAAACTAACGCGGCTGAAATCACAAAGCAGCTCGTTGATACTTATTTGATTACGCACCCACACATTGATCATACGTGCGGCTTCATCATCAATACTGCTGGTCTGCAGGGGAACCGGCCGAAACGGCTGGCAGGCCTTCCTTCGACCATCTCAGCATTCAAGACGCACATCTTCAACAATATTATCTGGCCGAACCTGTCCGATGAAAATAACGGCGCAGGCCTTGTCACCTATATGCGTCTTGTTGAAGGTGGCAGCCCGGCTCTAGGAGAAGGCGCAGGCAAGGGCTACATAGAGATCTCAGAAGGGCTCTCGGTGAAGGCTTTTGGCGTCAGCCATGGCCACTGTATGGAAAGACACCAACATCGAGGCTCGGCTTCGTCTTCCCGAATCGGTAGTGCAGACCTCTCGACCATGTTGCCAAGGGGCGCTCCCGGGAGTGGCGCTGCCTCGGGTCCAAGCAGCTTATTTAGGCACGCGAGCATAGCCCGGTCATCCGGCGGAGTCAGCCAGGAACAAGAATCGATATGTGTCTACGACTCAACCGCCTTTTTCATCAGACACGGTACCAGCGGAAAAGAGGTACTCATATTTGGTGATGTCGAACCCGACAGTATCTCGTTGTCACCGCGCAACTTGGCCGTCTGGCGGGAAGCGGCACCGCGAATAGCCAGTGGTCATCTCACTGCCATCTTTATTGAGTGCAGCTATACTGATAGCCAAACCAACGATCGTCTATTTGGCCACCAAGCTCCGCGATTCATCATTGAAGAACTGGAGACCTTGGCAAGCGAAGTCGAGGCTGCCCGCCGGATGCCGATTAAACTCGAGACGACTAAGAAACGAAAACGAGAGCAGGGGGACGCTGCGCGCCGCGCGCATCCAACAGCTAGATCCATTCCAGACGAACAGCCCGTGTCGCCCAAATCTACAAAGGTCAAACCCTTAATGCCAGACTCGGATACTGACTCCCCGCCAATGACGCCACATCTTGCAACCCCCACTGCCGAATTAACACTCAAAGACCTAGATCCAACAGCGTCTATTACTTTACCTCAAAAGCCACAATCGTCTCAACCTCTGGCTGGTCTCACGGTGGTGATAATTCATGTCAAGGAAAACTTTCAACCCGACTCACCAGCGGGGGAAACCATTGAGAACCAGCTAAATGACCATGAGGAGGATGCCCAGTTGGGATGCAAATTCGTGATTTCGAGCAGAGGCGCTAGCTTTTCGTTTTAGTTCATGGCTATAGAACAAAGTTTCGGAGTCATAGGGAAGCATTGCAGGATGACGGCGTTTTACACAAGAGCCTATTTGGGCGACGATTTCATATTCGGCATGGAGTTGACCTGCTGGTTCAAGTTTATATGTACCTCAACGAGGAGTTTCTGACAATGTTTTGCAATTGATGAATTTTCTGGCCCTAAGCTGTACTCATTTCTTACCTGCCTATCTGCGTTGCGGAAAGATAAGAACACATTTCGGTACCTTGTCTACCGGGTTACGATACTAATTCTCGACCATTTCATTTACAATACACAAGACCGAACCGCTGCTGGCTTATTTCAGCATTTCCTTATTCTCATGATAGTCTCTGAATTTCTGACTAGTTCAGAGCAGTATGTAATCACGCGCAAATCAAATGTCTGTGAGCATGGACGTGTCACACAAAGTTCCAATAGCCACGGTCAGTAGCGAGACTCAAATTCAGGGAAATCGGCTCATAAAACTGCAATTCATCTGCTCTTGGTGCGGACGAATAATACTTCCGACGACTAGCCTAGTCTCAGAGCACCCCATAACTCGAGAACAATGCCAGTCTACATAGATTGACCTGGCCTAGTGTTGGTGATTGCACTGATAACCAAATGCAGTTCTCTTCTTCTTGGCCTCGCTCAATGGTCTCGGAGGAGGAAGGAACTCGCGTCCCGACAGATCAACATCCTTCTTGGACACCATGACACCGTCTCGCTTGACCTTGGCGACCTTTGCAGAGTAGAGCAAGTTGAGCCAGTTGGCTAGTCGATAGCCGCCCTTGGCAATCTGGAGCTCAATAGTGGGCGTGACGCTATTGTAGTAGGTCGGGTACAGATCACCCTCCTGCAGAGCGGCGACACCGTCGGGCATGACCACGGTGCAGACAAAGGCGTTGGCGTCGGTTGCCCAGGTCATGGCCGAGTCGACGGCTGCGTCGGGGTCGTCGCCGGCGATCCAGCTGGCGGCCTGGCTCTTGTAGCTGCCCGAGTCAATCTCCTTGATCAGCTCGTTGGCCCAGGTCTGGGCGTCGGTCAGGGCCGAGCCGCCAACCAGCTTCTCGGGAATGTACGTGTCCCAGTCTGAGTGCAAGTTGTCGTCGTCGTAGCCGTCAAAGGTGACGGTGATGGTGTTGCCGCCCACGTCGAGGGCCTCGTCGTGCAGCGGCTGCGTGACGTCGCCGAGGAGGTGGACCAGGAACTTGAGCGCCTCGGCCGTGTTGGCGTCGCTCAGGCGGCCGTCGCCGACGCGCTGCGTGTAGTTTGCAATGGCCGAGACGGAGCAGCCCGTGGAGCCGCAGTCGCGGTCATAGTCGACGTTGCAGTCCGTCGGCGGGCTGTCCTCGGCGTCGATGAAGTGGAAGGGCGCCGACCACTTGCCCGCCGTCGTGGCCCGGTACTCGTCGGCCCACGAGGCAATGTTGGCCAGGTACGAGTCCGACGTGTCGCCCAGCAGGCCCTGCGCCCACGACGCCACCGTGTCGTCGACGTAGTTTTGCGCAATGTAGGCGACGGTGGCGTGGCCGAGCGTGCCCCAAGCGCGAGCCGCCGGAAGGGTGGCCGAGGCCAATGCCAAAGTCTTGATTGAAAGCATTTTCTCTCTCTCTGAATAGTATGTATGTATATACCACTACTTCTGGATGCGCTTGCGGCTCTGGACAGGCAATCTGCAAGCGATCTAAGCTGCCGGCTTGGCATCTATATATAAGCCTTTGCCAATGTGGAGTGCATCGTAGTACGCAGATAACGCAGACATGCTCTAACTATTTGCATGATATCTTTCGTGGTATGGAACGGCAATAGGAGATGAATTGCGTACTCTCACCTGGCAATCCGAGGATCTGGTGTTGCATCCGGCGGGCTGTCTCATGCCCTTTTAGGAAGGAGGATGGCATCGTTCTGGGGCCTTCATTAACCCATGTGGGCGCACCGATGCCGGGACCCTCCAATCGCAGGTATCAAGAGATCCCACGTTTGCTTATGATAGACAACACAGACTTTATATTTGTCCAGTACGTCCGGCGGGATACGAAGGGCAAGACAATATTTGGGTTGATATCAGGGTATCAAGAAGATCAGCCAGTAGCCCAAAGCCCGAGGATGGGCTCGGTTTTACATGCAATCTCGGCGTGAATAAATCAGCGAGTGCTATTGATGAATATCAATGTGTGGGCGAAAAGAAAAAGAAAAAAGACGTATTCAGCATTGTGAGCGGGATGCGCATTTGCGATTCTCCTGTTGAAAGATAATAGTGTTGGTAAAAGGAACGACATCTCTACAAGTCAACTTGCGTTTTAGGATGACAGCACGTAAATTAAGCTTGTGCTTTAAGCTTATGCGCGCTCTGTTTACTACCTAGTCTAGTCCCGTTTCTCCATATTTTGTCCGTTTTCACCTACACATTGTAATATATCATCATGTCGTCTTAACGATGCAGCTCATCCATGAGCCAAACAAGTGCTTACTTTTGCGACAATTAGCGACAAGTCGCACTGATTCAGAGTTTGAATTCAAATATCAATTTTACCGACTTTAATTGGATACTCGGCTCGCGCATATTTAACGCCGTTGTCGTTAGCTGATCCAACATCAATGGTCTCAACACGTGCTTTGCGTGACTATAATCTGACAATGGGCTAAATGACCAGCCTTCGAGAAGCCCAAATCATGTCGCCTGATTCTCTTTTGCACGATAGAATCTTGGGTCTTCATTGCCTTTTTCCTTTGATTCTATCTTGCCACGTGCGAAGATGGATCCCTCCGGTTTTGTTCCCAAGCAGGCCATGGCCTTTGGCAGCGAACTATTTGAGATTATTGGTGGCGACGAGACCCTAAAGATCGCTCAGTACGAGATGAAGCTCATTCCGACTTTCCCTTCGGGCTCGTTTATTCACGATGTAGCCTGTGGCCTGGGCCCAGTAACGCAAAGCATTCTTGCTAACGCGCCGCCCGAGGGCATCAAGATTCAAGCCTCTGACGTGTCGCCGGGCATGGTTGGCATATACAACCAGATTGCATCGGGCAAAGGTTGGCCATCACAGGCCGTGGTCATGGACGCACAAAAGGTGGCGTTCCCGGATCACACCTTCTCCCACGTCTTCCTGTCCTTTGGCTTGCCCATCATTGAGGACCCTGTCGCGGCAGCCTGGGAAATGTACCGTACCCTCAAGCCGGGCGGCACCGCCGTCACGGCCTTTTGGCTGCAGGTCCCCCAGGGTGAAAGCGCCATGGCCACGCGCCGGGCACTATGGGGACCCAACGCGCAGCTCGCCGTCGAACCCAAGCCGGAACACAAGGACCGGGACTACCTCAGGAGCTTGCTCGTCCAGGGAGGCTTCCGACACGAAGACGTCGAGCTGTATGAAAAATCGGCGTTCCTACCGGTCAAGGACCTTGATCAATTCGCCGTCGCCATCTGGAGTGCTATTGGCAAGCCGGTAGGTGGGTGGGAGAAAGAGGATGAGGAGAAATGGGACGAGGCGGTCGCCAAGTATAAAGAGCTGTTGCGGGAAAAGACCGGTTTCAACATTGCTGAAGATGGCAGTATTACGCTAGAGGCCATTGCTCAAATCGCCATTGTCCGCAAGGCCGTTGAGTGAGAACTCAGAGCGTGGGCTATTGATCCAATACGTTGAAGCTCAACCAAGAAGATCGGCACCTATTTCTGTCGTCATGTTGCACATTCGAAATTATAATGTAAGACTGGGTCATGGGCGAAAAGTAGATAGTTGTTGCGAGATTTCTCCACGCCACATCAAACAAGGATGGGGCATGTAGACATTAATGGCAACTTTGTAACCAGTTGTCGTGAGAGGCCGTCGACTTTACCGTGTACGAATACATGCACACCCACATGTTTCGCTCATGAAATTGCAATCACGACCTCCACGATTCCGGGTCTCGCGGAATTGAAGCTTCAGTGGTGATCAGCAATGGTCACGAAACTGCTAGAGAATGATGCCATTCTTGGCGTCGCTGGCGTGCATTCTATAGTAGCCACTGACCCCGCCTCTCCAGCACATATAGCAGGGCAATCGACCAATCAGACCGACCGTTGATAGCACTTCAAGCGAGCAGTCAAGGCAATGTCTGTTCCCTGCATGATATTCAGATACTCGGAACTGTTCAATTGGGAACAAGATTGGGACTATTGGATCCCTAGGCTTGCGAGATTGTCTCCCAGCGAGTTCGCCCTAAACTTCATCGCGCCAGTGATGGTTGCAGAGCGGAGCTGCAAGGACGACATCCCGCAACTTGAATGCGCAATCCGGACGGCCGTAATGGTGTGATCAGGAACGGACATTTGAGAGAGGTGTGCAGGATATCGATATCGGAAGTCTCTGGCAATGATATTTGAACCCTTGAAATTGCCCATCTTGGCCACAAACTTGCTTCCAACCATCCTATCACTCCTTTGAACTATCTTGAAAACCTCCTGGCCTAAATTCTCCTTGTCGCGACCGTCATTCATCACAGGATCATTCTGAGAACCCAAACATGTCGGACTCTAACAAGGCAGTACCGAGCACTGATCCAGCAGTGTATAACGAGTATGCGACCAAATGGGCCAATCTGCCTGGAGACGAAGCAGGCTGGATTCAGCGTGCCAGAGACGTCGCGGCTGTACTCGAGCAAGACGCCGCTGTGCGTGAGAGGGAAAACAAGTCACCCAGAGCTGAAGTACAACTGCTCAAGCATTCTGGTTTGCTCAAGATCCTAGGATGGACCAAGTACGGCGGAGGAGGACAGCCGTGGAGTGTAGCTTATCGGGCCATTCGTGAAGTTGCAAAAGCCGACGGGTAAGCCGAGGAAACAAAGAAATGCAATTTGCACAATGCTGACATGGTTTCACGTAGCTCTATTGGAATGTTGCTAGGATACCATCTGCTGTGGTCCACCACTGCCAGTGTGATAGGAACTGCCGAGCAGGCAGATCGCATCCAGAAGCTCGTCATTAGCAACAACTATTTCATTGGTGGAGCGGTGAACCCGCGAGATGCAGACCTCAAGATTACCGTCGATGGTGATCAGCTTGTGTTCAACGGAGCCAAGCATTTCAACACTGGTGGCGTGGTATCTGACCTGACCGTCCTGGAGGGTGTGCTCGACGGCGTAAAGGACCACATCTTTGTCTTCGTGCCTACTCAGCAACCGGGCATCACGTTCAAGCATAACTGGGACAATGTTGGACTTCGCTTGACAGAGTCCGGAGGTGTTACCATTCAGGGTGTCAAGGCAGAGTGGTCCGACGCTTTAGGATGGGATTCAAAGACCAAGACGCCGGACCCGTCGGTGCTGGCCGTTCCATTTGCAAGTCTTTTATTGCCAGGGTGAGTCCTACGTTGATGAGGATATAGGTCTATGGAAATCCGTATCTAATATCGTATTAGCATTCAACTGGTTTTTGCCAATTTCTACCTAGGCATTGCCCTCGGCGCTTTAGAGTATGGCTCAAAGTATACCACGACGAATACACGGGCTTGGCCCTACGGAGGTGATGTAAGTGGGGACCCGGACCATGTATGCTTTGTCTTTCCATTTCTTACTCTAACCTTACGGCCCACCATTTTAGAACAAAGAACAAGCCACGGACGAGTTCTATGTGCTTTCGACCTATGGAAACTTCTTGGCCCACCTGCGGGCCGCAGAGGCGCTGGCGGATAGGGCCGGACAGGAGGTTGACGCCGTCTATGCCCAGCACGCGACGAAACGCGAGGGGCTGACGGCGCGCGCGCGCGGCGAGCTGGCCGAGTGGGTGGCCAGCGCCAAGGTGGTGACCACGGACACGTCGCTGCGCGTCACGGCGGGCATCTTTGAGGTGACGGGCTCCAAGGCTACGGCCACCCGGGTCGGGCTCGACCGGTACTGGCGCGACGTGCGCACGCATACGTTACACGATCCCGTCTCATACAAGAACCGCGAGTTGGGCAGGTATCAGCTCCTAAACGAGGTCCCTGAGCCTACATGGTACACTTAGCTTTTGTTTCTCACTCCAACCGGGGGAGTACGGGAGGGACCGAGATGTGTTGAGTTGAGACGCGTGGTTTTTTGTCTTGAACAAGGTCCTTTTGTTGGTTGTATCTTGGACCAGAGCAGTTATTCTTAGTTACTCGAGGGTCTTGGCAGAAGCTATCGAGTTGTTTTGCAATCCAGGAACCGGGACGTTTCCCTCAAAACACCTGCTTTGTTTTCGCCCAGATTAGGCGTTCATGATGAGACGATCTGCGCATTCCCCGGACTGAGTGATTTTCGTACTGTTTGGTTCTGGGGATGATAAATTAGGTAGATTGCTGCAGAATTCGGCCATACCCAATGACAAAGGTACAGCAGCAGTAGGTAGAGTTCATTTGACAACGTTCGGTGGCTGGGCGAGGAACGTTCGACGGGGTAAAGGTGTCTCAGAAACTCTGGAAGCGCCACACAAGGCGACATCTGCCAGTACCTTTCGGTATTTCACGTACTAAGCCAAGGATACTATACGCACGGAGTTTTCCTTGAGGATTACCTTGTTTGAAGCCCAGACTATAAGCCTAGTTAGCATGGAGCTCAAGAGACCATTCTGGGGTGCCGATTCTGAGGTGTATAGCTGACGGCGCAATGCCTCGCAGAAATGCAAGAACGGGACGGCCCATACAACCAAGACGACGAGAATTGCAACGAGGACGGGCCACAAAACATGCCACAGCGTGCCTGCTCCTCTCAACTTGAATGAACGCGCTTCCGGGAATGCCATTGCCACCTACCCACCTGTATGTGTGCGAGTTAAGCTTTTGGAGGTTACTAGCTCAACTCAGAATGTCGTGCAGCCAGCTGTCCTTGAACCACAGACTTGTGAATTGCAAGAATCATCAATTTGGCGATGCTTTTTGGGCGTCTGAGTATGTGACAAAAGTGCTTGCCTCATGCCACCACGGAAGTAGTCGTTTTCAATACTAATTACTAATTACTATTCAACATGCCCAGATTCTATCTCACATGTGCTGTATCATTGTGTAAATTGATATCAATAACTAGACCAGTTCTTGGCTTCACCATCGTGTGGATGATGAAGAATTGACATCCTAGTGCATCTTGAAGAATATAGACGGGATGAATGGAAGTGGCAAGGCTTCTTCTTTCCCCGTGAACGAATTACTGGCGATTGGGGACCATCCCATCGTTCCGTGCCTCTACAAAAGTTGGCAAATGGCCAAGGTAGATAGATCTCTTACTGGCAAGGCCATAGATTTATTCCTCAACAAAATGGATGTAAACTCAATCTTCTAACCCTCTGCTTCGTCTTCTCCTTCTCCTTCCTCCTTCATTTTTCTGTCAAAATAAATGGGTGACCGATTTGCCAGCTATTGAGTGATTTATCTCGCAATGAATAAATAATGATGACGCGATTTGTGCATCAAATACCCTCTCTGGAGAAGCTTTATGCTTGTCTATCAATACTTATACTTAGCTACTACCTACATACATACCTACCCACACTATGTAGGTACAAATGAATTTAGAAAAGAAAAAAAGAAGGGGAAAAAAGGTCTCTCTGCAGATCTGGGCCCAGCATAATTTAGGATAGACGCGACCCAAAGATCTAGCATATAATTTACTTCATGTTTTGTGGTCTCTTACTGTAAATCATAAGCATCACTGGATCTTGATGGATTTGCTCGTAGTGAAGAAAAAGACCCGAGGTTTCTCAATCAACTTGCCATAGTCATGTATTACATAGTCGGCGACGTTTTCGTGCTGAAAGCTGACTATTGCGACATGTTGGGCTAAGTCAATAAGGTGCTGTAACAGAATGAACCCGCAAAGCCTAATCTGGTGACCTTCTTGAGCTCACACCCTCCCTCAAACCTCGTCGCCCACCACAAACACGACCCGAATCGAGAGCAACGCTTCTGGGGTGTGTCCTGGAGGTGAAAAGGAAGACGCCCATTGTAGAGGTCTTCAGGTGTAGGGAAGCCTCAAGAGAAAGGCGTTGAACCCCGCCCGGCCCCCGTAATTTGTCGCGGGATACAGCTATTCACAAAATACATAGTAGAGAATACACCCCGCCACCACTAACTCCTATGTACTATGACCCCATGTCCCCCGCGTTCACATTAAAGATTTTGGTAAAAAGCTCTGGTCGCGTTGCATCGCGTCGCGTCATTCAACTGGACGTCAGACGCCGACAATTTGCATTGGCACTGAACTGACACTTGCAGTCGGTAGGCGCTGCTTGGCAGATAGTTGGTGAATGTATCGAGAGCCTTACCCACACATCTTTGGTACAATCGAATGATGAAGTTGAATCCGCGCGGGCCATTTCAAACAACGCACACAAGACACTTACAGAACCAGGGTCAGTCAGACCTGGTCGCATCCAAAAACATCACCACACCTGCAGCCTTGTGAGACGGACTCTCTTGTGACTTGTCTTGTATGTATAGAGAGTCATTAGCAAATGACTAGAAAAGAAATGCTGAAAATTCAGAATAGCTGGATGGTTTTCCATCTAATTACTTTCAAGGCTGCTTTGATAATTGCTTCAGATAGGTACTACCTGTACACGGAGGATATGTAGGCATGGTACCTGCAGTGCCTTAGGCAACCCCCTCCCTAAGCTGGGCCTACTAGAGGCAGAGGCTTCGACCTAGAGCCCAGCATATCCCCTAACCCCCCCTCGGCAAGCCTCAGTGCTGGCGGCCTGTTTGGAGAATCGTAAAGCCAATTGCCCTCCCCCAACCCCACCGTGGGAATTATCCTCTGGGGGCAAAGGGGAAAACCATCTATCTCATGCTAACCTCACATACATCACGACTCGTTGTCATGGACAATCAACAAGGGATAGAAGCTCAAGATCGCGGTAACTTACTTCTGCCTATACGCATTGGACACAGACACTCGCAGAAACTCGGACAAGTCGAGATCGGGGCGAATCCCACCTCACCCACCGTCTCTAGAGTTCAAGCCCGGAGGGTGTTAATCTTTGTCAATGCTCCGTTCCTTCTGTGATGCTTCTGACCAGATGCTCGATGTGCATGTCGCAGATCGGCCTCCCGTTTTAGGTTGCATACTTCGCATGCTAACAAGTGTTGGCTGTCTGCCACACGAGGTTACTGACTGTCTCTACTCCTCTGCCTTCTGCCTTTGCCTTCTGCCTCTGGTTAAGCTTTGCTTGCGAGGTACACACACTCCTGCATTCAAGCCCTTCCCATTGTCTGTCGTACTTCCACCTCATGGTCTCACACCCCCCCAACAAGCAACAGTGCAGTGTACTCTCTAGCACACTGATTGAAACACTCAAGGTAGGCGCCGTTGTCCTGTTACTAAACATGCTCACCTGCTGTCGGCAGTGTCACCGAATACCCTCTTCAAGTTGCTCCCGTCTCCACATCGAGGGCTGCAAATAGCAAATATCACCATGGCCGAAATTCGTCTTGCTTGACCCCGTGTGCGGCTCGTGGGTCAGGGATACGTGTAGAGACTTGCTCAGAAGCTATGGCTGCATTTTGTCAGACTGGGCACACTGCGCGAAGAACATGGCCATACCTTCGCACGCTGCAACGATACTATGTCCATGGCCCAGCATGCTGGATGTGCATCATCGTGGCCAATGCCAGCCGAAAACCTTTCCAGCCTCAGACATCTTCGGCGTGCGCATGGGTCGACCTTGGGGGCTACTTTGTGCGTTTCCTTGCTGCCAGCCTCTTCTTAAGTTACTGCAACCCAGTTATTTGGTTGTATCCTGCATGGAAACGGCATCTACGATCGGCTTGGCTTGGCTATTCCGTGCGAGCTCAAACCTTGTTGTCTTCAACCATCCATGCTTCCACGATATAGGGCATATGCTGCGCAAGTCGTCCTCGAATGCACCAGGCGAGTCCCCTGGGCGACGATCTGGCTTGAGCAGTCCATGCACGCCATGTACCTTTTTGATTTCCAACTTGGCGCATTCGGACCGCCAGCATCAGCAACCTCAAACCATCTCATGCTCTGGAGCCATTGAGATACTTCCAATTTTAGCTGCTCTTGCTCTGTCTTTACCGGGCGCCCTTCTCGTATCAAGACTGGCCAGTCCCTGCTCTATTGATCGGAGAATTTAGCGTTTTGCATGTTGCATGGCATCCACCTGAATAACTCAGTTCGCGCAGCCTGCTGCAGTCGCCATGGAGGAACTGGCCAGTGGTGGTTGGGCCATGAGGACGGGACATCATGATGCTATTGCTCCTTTGCCCGTTGGGCAACCGTCCTATAGTCTAGGTCCGATATGCACCCCGGGTAAAGATAAAAAGGCTGTCCATTGCCCTGTTTCCCTTCATGATTACTTCTTGCCGTCTCAACCGCTCTACGATACGCAGTCCCAGGCTCCCAGCTTTCTGGTGATCTCTGCGGCACTCGTCCACGAGTAAAACGTACGCCAAGGTTACTCCCAAAGTCTTATCCATCAACAGTTCTTACGACGCTATTGTTGGGCAGCTCAAGTAGCGGACAACATGAAGGCAACTGCATCCCTTCTTGCCCTCGCCGGCACTGCTCTGGCAACACCCCACGGGGGCTGGGGAGGAAATCAAGGTGGAAACCAGGGAGGTCCGGGAGCTGAACAGTCAAGCTACGCTGCTGCCGCCCAGTCGGCCTATGACAATGGCCAAGTTGGCCCTGGTAACTGGGGTCCCGGACAAGGCGGCGACCACGGAGGCCACGGCCCTGGCGGTGGCGAAGAGGGAGGCTTCGGACACGGCCACGGCCACGGAGACTGGGGCCCTGGTGGCCAGAACGGCCAGGGAGGTCCCAGTGGTGCTCCGAGCGACTGGCAATCATATGCCTCTGCCGCTCAATCCAGCTACTCCTCCCTCTACAGTGGAAGTGCTCCGAGTGACTGGCAATCGTATGCCTCTGCCGCTCAATCCAGCTACTCCTCCCTTTACAGTGGAAGCGCTCCAAGTGACTGGCAGTCATACGCTTCCGCTGCTCGGTCCAGCTACTCGTCTCTCTATGGAGGCAGTGCGCCGAGTGACTGGTCCACATATGCTGCCGCAGCACAATCAAGCTACTCTTCCCTCTATGGTGGAAGCAGTGCAAGCGACTACTCGACATATGCCGCTGCCGCTCAGTCAAGCTACTCTTCCCTTTACGCAGGAGGCGTCCCTAGTGCAACCGTGACGGTCACCAGCACCGCCAGTGCCTCATATAGCTCTGCCTCGCCATCAAGCTCCTCTTCGAGCTCCTCGAGCTACAGTGCATCGTCTGCCTCGCCATCGAGCTCCTCTTCGAGCTACTCAAGCTCCTCATCAGGCTACTCAAGTTCCTCTCCGAGCTACTCAAGCTCCTCCAGCTACAGTGCATCGTCTGCTTCGCCATCGAGCTCCTCTTCGAGCTACTCTTCCTCAAGCTACAGCGCATCATCCGCATCGCCATCGAGCTCCTCTTCGAGCTACTCTTCCTCGAGCTACAGCGCATCGTCTGCCTCGCCATCAAGCTCTTCGAGCTACAGCGCTTCTCAAGCCTCCAGCTCTGCTTCTCAGTCTTCGTACAGCTCTGCTTCTGCTTCGAGCTACGCTTCGGCCGCTCAGTCTAGCTACTCATCGCTGTATAGCGCAAGCTCAGCAAGTGATTCGTCGGCCTCTGCCGCTGCTTCGCAATCTGCCTCAGCTTATTCATCGAACTCGGCCTCTCAGTCGAGCTATAGCGCAGCCTCCCCGTCAAACAGTGCATCTCAGTCATACAACTCTGCTTCTATATCAAGCTACTCTGCTGCCGCTGCTTCAATCTACTCGTCTCTCAGTGCATCAGTCACCCCTGCCTCCTCTTCGGCTGGCTACATTGCTGGAGGAGCAGGAAGCCTGGGAGCTGACCAGGCCAGCTATGGTGCCACTACTTCATCTGCCATCCTCGCTGGTGGTAGTGGGGAAGGCGGTGAGGCAAAGAGCAACGAGGCCCCGGCACAGTCACAGGGTTCGGCTCAAGCCGCCCCCGCTGAGTCCGGCCATGCTGAGGAGTCCCATGCCTCAAGCAACGCCGCCCCTGCTGAGACTGGCCATGCTGAGGAGTCCCATGCCTCAAGCAACGCCGCCCCCGCCGAGACCGGTCATGCTGAGGAGTCTCACGCCTCAAGTAACGCCGCCCCTGCTGAAACCGGTCATGCTGAGGAATCTCACGCTTCAAGCTACTCTGCT